ATACGTCCATCTTTTTATTCTAAGTAAAATGTCATTTCCGAAAATAGAAGCGTAAGTGTTTCAAAAGGTTTAATGGCGATGGCAGATGTGAAGTTAAATTCACCAACTCAAACAAACAGTCAAAGTGTTGTTGTCAATGTCAAAGAAAGAGATGTTGAAGTGGGGAAACCTACGAAGACGAAGATGTATAGCAATTGTTCCTGTAAAAGAACAACCAACATATCCTGAGTTAGCAGAGACTTAAGTTCTGTTGCAGATATTCGAAACGACTACCAACAACTTAAAGACAAACTTAAAACTCAGGAGAAGATTTGTCAAGCTTTAGGTATAATGTTAAAACTTGGTCGAAACAACCCTGTAAAAGTGAACTCATATGTCATCGCACCTCATGAAATTTTGAAAGAACTATTTGAAACTTTTGACAGAGGCAGACGATATAAACATCAAAGAAATAGAACCCGACATTAGTTGCTGTGGTGTTTCATATAATGTCATTGACAAGATATACGTTATGAAAGGAGGTGAAACGTTGAACTTAAAATATAGTTTCCCAGACGTCATAAAAATATTTGACGACCACAACATTTCATTAAAGTTTGTTTGCTAAGTAAATGGCAGAAGACATAGTGGTTTATACTATTACGACTAAAAACCCTGAGTCATATAATTCTATAACAACAAACTTACAAAGTCCTCAAGGACGGTATTGTAAACTGACCTTAAACACGATGACGACTAAAGCCTGTTTTGCTCTTTTGACACCAGAAGACTTTGTTGTTGTGAATGGTAAAAATACTTCTTTGAAGATACTTACTCAGATATACCACCAACAGGTTTTGTTGACTTATTTAATACTTTAAGGACGGATGTAACATGTGCTGCAACTAGAGCAGGTTTCATTATGTTTGGATGTCCGACTGAGTTTAGTATAAACGATATGAGCTATAATACAAAACTTATATCTGTTTTTACTACCAACAGTTTCTATAACAGGAAAAGGTGTCATACAAGGAATGTCTATTCCATTGACTTTAAGTACACCTATTTTATATATTGTTTCAAACTTAGGTTCAAAGTGCTATTCGAATGTCGACAGAACTACTATGACCAAAAGATACTCATGCGTATAAACAACACTTTCTCTGCTGGTTTGCCTATTGTTCATTCGAATGCAGAGTTTTCAGCTTTAGTAAACTCAAACACTTTAGCAAACATAAACTTAACCTTAGTCGACGCAAACTTTGTTCCTGTAAAACTTTTATGTCCTATGTATTTGTCAATGACGGCAGAAAGAGTTTCGAATTGGAAGATGCAACTGGTGAAAGTATTGTACTACAAGAACAACTTCAACAACAAATAGCTCAAGAACAACAAATGCAACAAATGGAACAAATGCAACAACAAAGTCAAGAATAAAAAAAATATTTTTTTTTATTTTTATAAAAATGTACAGAATAGACGTTTCAGATTTTTATGACTTCCAAGCGTTCAGAAATATGTGTCCATTTAGAGACTATAACAAAGCAGTCGAGAATTTGAAACGTTTAGTCATTTATGTCGACTCTGCCCCAGAATGTTATGTCATGAAAGAATGGGATGTTGTCTTTAACAAACCAAGAGCAACAATAGTTTCAGAACAAGAATGTAGACAGAAACTTAAGAAAATAAAAGTCGTACAGGTTGGTATGAAGATGTTAGATGCTTGGGATATCTTATTGTCAAAGTTAGAAGATTTTTCAGTTCGTGGTATAAAGTTCTATACACCTTCTCCAAACTTCTATTCTATCTTCACTGGATATAAATACGAACAAGTAGAATGGAAACACAGTATTATAGAAGCTTGGTTAGACCATGTCAAAGAAATTATATGCAATGGAAACGAAAGAGTCTATGAGTATATCTTATGTTGGTTTGCAAATATCTTACAACATCCAAGTGCTAAAAATGAAACTGCTCTCATTATAATTGGAAAACAAGGAACTGGTAAGAATACTTTCTTTACAGATATTTTGTGCAAACTGTTAGAAGGTTATTCGAACCCTAATATGACAAACTTAGAAAACATCTGTGGCAAGTTTAACTCCTCAATAGAGAATATGAAACTTATAGTTTGCAATGAACTTCAAAGTATAGATACAACAAAAGTTTTGAACTCAGATGCTTTGAAGAGTCTTATAACAGACAAAGTTGGAGTTGTTGAAAGAAAGTATAAAGACCAAAGAGTTTGTGAAAATGTTGCAAACTTCATTATGGTTTCAAACAATGTTGTTCCGATGAAGTTAGAAAGTTCTGACAGAAGATATGTAGTTGTCAGAACGTCAGATTCTCATATGCAAGATACAGAATATTTTGACGACTTAGCAGAAACTTTGACACCTAACTTTTACAACCACTTGTTCTCATATTTCATGACATTAGATATTTCTAAGTTCAATCCAAGACAAATTCCATATACCGAAGAAAGACAAACATTGTTAGAAGCAAACAAGAGTGTATATGAACTGTTTATAGATGAGACTAACTTTGAGTGTTTAGATGAAAGGTCATTGTACGATTCATATAAACAATATTGTCAAGAGTATGGTTATATGGCAGCGTCTAAACGTACATTCTTGGCAAATGTCAAAAGTCTTTTAGACATACAGAATGGTGTATATACAAAGAAAAATTTTTATGAGTAAATTTAAAAAAAATATTTTTTTATCCGATAGAAAAGATGACGAAATATATTTCAGTCAACAAGTACATGACAGAAGTCAAAGAAGAACTAGACCCATTCATATATTTGAATGTTTACTTCTACCATTTTGAAAAGTCTACATTTGACAAAGTTTGGAACATCGAACCTGTTAAGTTTGCTATTGTGACTAAAAATGGTGCGAAATTTGAAGACTTAGACATAGAAGGTTTGTTAGCAGTCAAAGAAAATTTTGACAGAAGGTTTTCAAACCTTAAAGAAGGCAAAGCATACAAACTTGTTATACCTTATGAACCAAAGAAAGCAGACGACTATGAATATTATGAGTCTAAGATAGTTGAAGTTCAAGGTAAATTGGGTAAAAAGATTTTAGAGTCTAAGCCAGTGTTTGCTCCTAAAGAGGAAGAGAACATTGACATTGACCCAGAAATGTTCTAAAAATAAATTTTATTTTTACATGTCAAATTTCTTTTTCTCTGGAACTGGTTCAGGTTCTTTCTTCTCTTCTTCTACTTTCTTTTCTTTTTTCTCTCTCTTCTTCTTCTTCTCTGGTGGAGTTATGTCAAACTTCTCAGAACCATATTTATGTAAAAGTTTTTGTCCTTTAATAGCTCTTCTATTCTGTTTTCTATTTCATCTTCAAGAACAGCGCATGTGTCTTCTTTGCATTCTAAGAACTTTTGTTGGACTTCATCTCTCCAAGAGGCGTCATCTCTGTCAACAAGTCTGTCATTGACAAACTTAAAGACTTCTCTGCCTAATGTTTTATGGTTCTTGTCATATTCCCAGAAACAGAACTTTAGAACAAATTCACCTTTCTTGTTTACACTATGTAAGATTTTATGGTCGACAGATGTTTTGCTGTCAAAAAGTTTGTCTCGAATATAGATAGCGAAATCGCTAGACATTTTCAAAAAGATAAAAATTTTAATTTTTCTAAAAATATGTTAGAAAAAAAGTTTGCTGACATTGACAAGAAATTTGAGAATGTTTTAAATAAGAACAAGAGGAAGTTAGAAAATGCTCAGATAAAACCCATACATGACAAGTTCTTATTTGCTCAGAATGGTATAACAGGTCTAATCGCACCGCCTGGGTCGGGTAAGACTTTCACTTATCTTAAAATGGCTGCACAACAACAAGAACTAGATGAGAAGAACCCATTCTATGAGTTAGTAGTCATTTGTAGTACTTCTGGTCAATTCGATCAAACCGTCAATTCGTTCAAAGATATTATAAAAAAGTCTAAGTTAGTATGTATAAAGGATACTGAGTTGTTAGATTGGATAAAGAAGTACCAAAGAAGAGTTTTGAAGTACAATGCTATAAATGAGTATGTCAATTCTAAGTTTAAAGACCCAAATGAGGAAATGCAGAGAATATTAGAGAAGAAACACTTCAGAAACAAACAGAAAGAGATAGAATACATTTCGAAGAAATTGCAATCTTACGATTGGAAGACTTACCCTCACAGATGTCTTCTTATCTTAGATGATTTCGCCTCTCATCCTTTGTTAAAGAACAGAGAACAAGATATGTGTCGAATTCTTAAGAAGCTCAGACACTTCAACATCTCTGTTGTCATTTGTGTACAGACAGCAAAGAGTTTAAGTAAGGATGTTAAAAGAATACTTACTGATATCATACTTTTCCCTGGATTGTCCGAAGACGATTTCATGGAACTTATGAAAGAGTCCATGGCAGGTAAGTTTGACAGACATGAACTATGGGAGAAGTACAAAGTCATACAAGACCCTCATACTTCTTTCAGAATTCATATCTACGCGAACAAAGTTCAAATTGTAAAAAGTCAAGCGTAAAAAATGTAAGTGTTTGTCTTAGTCTGTTGTGGTGCTGGGGCTGTCGGTTCTTCTGGCTTTGGAAGACATTCAGGAAGAGGAACGTCGGTCATTCGTTTGTGTCCTGTCGGAAGGAAGAACTTTTCCTGTTGGAAGGAAGAACTTTTCCAGTTGTCGGGAAATTTTTTTCCAGTTGTCGGGAAATTTTTTTCCTGTCTGAAGGAAAAATTTTTTCTGTCGTTCGACCAAAAAGTTCTCAATTTTCGAAAATTTGAATGGTTTACGGACGAACAACAGGAAAATTTTTTCCAGTTGTCGGGAAATTTTTTTCCAGTTGGAAGGAAGAACTTGGAATGTCGGAAGGAAGAACTTGGAATGTCGGAAGGAAGAACTTGGAATGTCGGAAGGAAGGACTCGGAATGCCAGAAGGATTTGACAAGACAATTTACCTTATAGAGCTACCTGAGCCATCTGAAGTCAAGCTTGAAAAATAAATGGTTCATCTACTCTACTTGTTTGAAGTTGTCAAAATACTCTGTTATTTTTTCCTTTAACAATGGCAAATCTTCTTTGAAGGTAAGTATTGTACAACCTTTCATATCATAGTGTGTTTGAGGTAACGTATCTTGAACTATTTGTTTCACATCTTCATTCGGTGTCATTGAAATCGGTAAGTTTTCGCGATAGAACCAATTTCTGTCAGATTTGTAAATCTTAGCAAGGTCGTAAAAGCTTTTGTTGTTTCTTCTGACTAAATGCAACATAACCATATCTCTGTCTTCTTCATTTTCCATCTCTTCAGTATAAATCATATACTTATAGTTCTTTTCCTTACCTTTTGGTACCGAACGTGGTATTCTTTTCTGAATGCTTTTGTCTTTTGCTTCAATGACTTCATTTTTTGCTTGAAGTTTCTTTTCCATCTCTTCACGTTCTTGTCTATGAATTTCATCTAACATCATGAAAATATAACAAGCGTAACGAGGCGAAGCCCACATTGCAACAGCATTTACAAGAAGTCTATGAACATAATATCCTTTCAAACTATTTGGCAAATTTTTACGATTTTCGTACGGAATCTCGTTCCTCGGTTTTCCGAGGAACGCAAACATATGAGGAAATTCTTCTAAAAGTTCTTTTGCCTGCTGGTTTTCAAACCAATGATATGCTTGCTTTGTAGAACGAAGAGCTGTCAAAATACTTTGCATTTGGTACATATCGTCTTTGACCGAACGAATGAGACGTAACTGTTTGTTATATTGTATGTACTCGTATTCTTCATTTATGGCTTCATGGACTATAACTGTTGTTGTGTTCTCTGTTGTTGACATATCTGTTCTTACATACAAAATAAAAAAATTTGTTAGAAAAAAATTAGCGTTATTTTCTTACTTTCACAAAAGACCAAAAATAAACGCTTTACATGTATTTTTCAGCAACTTCGTCAAGAAGTCTGTAAATATACCATGCATAACGAGGTGAAGCCCACATTGCTATTGAACTAACTAGGAACTTATGAACATATATACCTTTTAGATGCGATGGTAAGTTTTGTCTGTCTTGGTACATCTTTTTAAGTTCTACATGTTCGAACTCACTCAAAAGTTCATGAGTGCTATTTAATTCAAACCAGTCTTGTGGTTTCTTAGTATCTGGTGTAGCACATGCTGTCAAAATACTTTGCATTTGGTACATGTCATCTTTGACCGAACGAATGAGACGGAGTTGTTTGTTATACTGAACCCACTCGTATTCTTCATTTATGGCTTCATGAACGATAGCAGGTGTTGTGTTCTCTGTTGTTGACATATCTGTTCTTACATACAAAATAAAAAAATAAAAAAAAAATAAAACTAACTTTATTTTTTCTATCTTAAGGAAATTCATGAAATTTCATACGGAATTCAGCAAAAAATAATGTTTAGGTGAAGAGGTGAGATTTCACCTCTTTTTTCACCTCTTTTTTCACCTCATGAATTTTCATGATTTCATCGTAAATGTTTTGTCAAAACTTCTTCGTAATGAGCGTAAATGACCCAAAAATAATGTTTAGGTGAAGAGGTGAGATTTCACCTCTTTTTTCACCTCTTTTCTACCCCAGTTATTTTATAAGCGTTTTACATGGTAAACATTGTGAATTCGTGAAATTCTAAACAGTTTTGTAGCTTCTATTTCTTCGCTGAGGATATCGAATGTTTTAACTATGCCGAAAGTTTCTTTATATTTCTTCTTGACATCAGATAGAAGGAAATCTTCTGCTGTTGGATAGTTTTTGTTCAGAAATTCTAACATGTCCATTTTATTTTCTGCTGGCTTTTCTGCTTCTTTCTTTAAGTCTGCATAGTCGTTTCTCATTCTTTCTATCTCTTTGACGGAGTAGTTATATTTCCTCATTGCTGCTTTACATTTAGAACATTGTGGGTTCATTTTTGCGTTATATTCTGAAACCTTACCTGCTAGAACAACCAAGGCGTCAATGGTTTTCTTTAAATCTGAAGCAGTTGGTCTTATCTGTTCGTTCCATATTTTACCCCTTCTGTCTTTATCTCTTATCTGCCAAACACATTTTGCAACTAACGAAACAAAGTTGTCGTAGGTCTTAAATTCTTCAGATTTGTAAAGGTCAGAGATGTTCTTATATAACATGTCGCAATCTTTGTCCATAACCTTATGGTTGCAATGAAAACCAAGGAATTCATAGTTTACCTTTCGTATGAACTTCTTTATTTCTACCGAGTCAGTTGTTTTTACTTCTATTTCATCGAATTCTGGAATAGTGAGTTTTTGTTGTTGGATTTCAGGCAATTTGGGTAAATGGTCAATAATGTCCTGCATTTCATAAAGATACTGTTCATTTGTTTCATCCTGTGCGGTGCAATCTAAATTATTTGTTAAAAGTTCTTGCTTTATCTTCTGGATTTTTGTTTCGAAAGTATATGAAGAAGGAATGAAGCTTTTCATCTCTACCAACATTGAAGTTGGGTTCATGACTAAAGAGTTTGGTGAAGTTGTTGCTAACATGTTCTTACAATAAAAATAAAAAATATTTTTTTAAAAAAACTAACTTTATTTTTTCTATCTTAAGGAAATTCATGAAAATTCATGAGGTGAAAAAACAGGTGAAAAAACGGGTGAAATCTCACCTCTTCACCTAAACATTATTTTTGCTGAATTCAATAAAAATAAATGGTTCATTTACTCACAATATTTTTGTACAAAACGACCCCAAACTTTTAACTTCTTTTCTGCAGCTTCTAATGAAATTTTAGCGAGTTCATATTCTCTAAATTCTCTCTTTAAATCTTCTTGTTCCCATTGGTCTAGTTCGTATGGCGAGTCTCTATAACCAGAACATATCTCACGTTCATGTTCTATTTGTTTTTCATGCATTTTTCCAACTTCTTCTTCGAACAAAGGTTTTGCATTCTCTGCTGTATCTTCAAGTTCTTCTTCATCTAACTTCTCATGAACTTTCTTGTCTATGGAGTCCATAATTTTTCCAACTGCTATGCAATATTTTGGTGAAGCCCACATTGCTATATAGTTTACAAGTCTTGGGTCTACATACGTTCCTCTAACCTGTTTGATTTCATCCGGAATTCCTGCATGAACCTTGTATAAAAAGCAACCGCCGGAATTCCGGCGGTTGGTATATTCTTCACAAAATGCCGTATAATACTCTTCCCAGGACTTATTTTCCAACAACTTTCTAAAGTCTTTCCCAAACTGCTGACACATATTTGTTACATTTATATAACCATCCTTGTCTCTACGTAAGACTTCAATACCGTTGTAAGTGCCTTTTGTGAATGTTTCGCCATTAGATTTGTTCGTGAACGTTTTTGCTTCGACTGTCATTTCAGTACGTACAATAAAAATAAAAAATATTTTTGAGTGGCTTAACCGTCGGACATCCGTTTGTGGCTTAACCGTCGGACATCCGTTTGTGGCTTAACCGTCGGACATCCGTTTGTGGCTCGACCTCAAAACAAGCATTTTGTGAAGAATATACCAACCCGCGGAAAACAGCGGGTTGCTTTTTTTATACAAAATTCAAGAGTTTTGTGTGTTTTCTACGATGTTGTCAAAATGTCGTGTTGTCACACTTTTTCAGAGAAGTTAAAATGACCTGGTGACCTGGTGACCTGGTGACCTGGTTCCACCTAAAATATATTTTTGCCGAATTCAAGAGTTTTGGTTGAAAAATACGGTGGAGCCAAAAATGGCTCGACCTCAAAACAAGCATTTTGTGAAGAATATACCAACCGCCGGAATTCCGACGGTTGCTTTTTTTATACAAAATTCAAGAGTTTTGTGTGTTTTCTACGATGTTGTCAAAATGTCATGTTGTCACACTTTTTCAGAGAAGTTAAAATGACCGAGGCACATAGGCACATAGGCACACCTAAAAACCATCTAACCAAAACTCATTTTTCAATACTTTTTCAGCACTTTTCCGTAGTTGTATATGAAAGACAATTCGAGATAAAATTTCTTCATCTGATATAGTCCTACCGGCATTTGTAAAGATATAGTCTAACGGTTTTGTATCTGCTACTTTTGTTCTTTGTTTTTCAACCTGAAGCATTTTATATATGTAAAAATATATTTTTAAAAAATGTTTTAAAATGGTATGCAATGTTTTATTTCATGCAATGTTTTATTTCTGTGCCGTCTTCAAGTATACCCCAGTACTTACGCTTGGAGAGAACATGAACTTCGGAAAATACCTTGTCTAGCTTAAAACAGCCCATTTTCTCACCGACCATACCCATTTCAATGAGTTTGTTATAGCCTTCTTCGTTCGTCATGAGTGCGTCAATGTTCTCATAGTATACCTTCACTTTGGATTTAACTTCGGAGAAAAATTTGTTGTAGTTGTCAAGGACTGCCTTTGCGAACTGAGGATAAGACCAATGTTCGACAATAGGTTTTACTGTGGTTACTGAGCCACCTTGACCTTCGGTGAACTCGTATTTCAAAACAAAAGGAGAAAACCTTTCAACAAAGTTGTCGACCTTCTCATAATGTTTACTCTTCATCTCTTGAGGTTTCTTAATGGAATATCCCCATGTCGAATTCATAAGCAATTTGAGTGTCATTGCAAGTTTGGGGTTTGAAGCTTTCCTAATATCATACAGTTGTTGTATGACTTTTCCAACTGTATAGTTCCTTCCTGGGAACTCACCGTCTTCGTTTGGAATTCCAGTCGGGATATATTGGACGAACCTCATGTATGCAGCGTTAAGGTCGACATAGTATATCTTTTCGTTTGAGTCGAACTTGTCGCAACCAATGGGTCCAGTTCGTGGAAATTCAAGTGAGTCTCTTATCTTCTGAGAAACTTCGCCTGCTATCTCATAAACATCGTCGAAGCAACCTGTTTCATATAAAACCTTCTGACCTAACTCCGATGCTCTCCAATACAATTTGACGTCAATTGGATGTCTCAATGGAAGTTTGTTTATAGCATCTTGAAGTTCTTGCAACCTCATTGGAAGTTCTTCTGGTTCAGGTTGGTATCCGAACAATCCAACTCCTTTTGGAACAGTGTACTTCTTTTGTGCTATAACTTTGTCTGGAACAACTTTTGGTCTTGCTAACAATGAAAAGTTTGTTTCGTCTTTTGGTACAAAAGTTTCTGTCAGCTTGTCATCTGGAATTGGTTCCAACAAACCTTTCTCGAAAAGAATGTTTACAGCTCTGACAATGTTGCACTTGCCTTTTCCGAACATAAGACTTTCGTTCAACATGAAGTGGTTGTGGACAATTACAATCTTCAACCATGGTAATTTGAAGTCAACAACATAGTCGTCGTGTGAAGAACCTTTCTCAGTCGGAATGTTAACTCGGATATTGACATTTGCCAACGGTGCAATTTTTGCCAATTGACCTCTGAGAATGTACCTTGTCTTCACACATGACTCAAGATACTTCATCTTCTCATCTGTAACAAGACCAGAGTTCCTGAGACATGTAAGAATACAAGGTTCATTGACAATTGTTTCAATTGAATTGTAAATTCCATACCTTGTCAAGTCAATGTCAGACTTATTTATGAACGGGAAGTATCCAGCATGTTGTCTGACTGCTTGAGGGTTAGGTTGGTACCATTCAAATTTTACACTTGCAATTCCTTCAATTGCATTCAAAATGTCTGAGTCGGAGTCAAACATTTGTTCTCTCTTTGTAGTCTTGAAAGCGTCAAGAAGTTGTGCAGCTGTTGTGACATTGCCATGTGCATAGTAAATGTGACCGTCCAAATCTGTTACGGTTAGTCTGAGATTGTATCCTTTCTTATTTCCGTCTTGAATGGCAGCAAGTACTCCCATGAAGCCTTCTTTGTTCTTTCCTTCGTCAAAGTTTACTGTAAAGGTTCGACCAGATGTAATTTTACTTCTAACTTCACGGTACTTTTCATATGCATATCTTGTTCTTTCCATGGGAGCATGTGTGTCTTCACCTTTTCCTTTTTTCCTTCTCAAAGGATGCAATTGTTCGTCATGTTTCCAGTAGAATCTGGCAAAGCCGTCTTGTCCTTCAACCTGAGGCTCACTAACATCGAAAGGCATGTTCATAAGACGCTCTTCCTCTAACCTCTCTAGTCTGTTTGGATAATTGGCGCGTGCTGTTTCAAGGTCCATTTCGTAGGTCAGACCAGCCAGTTTGTCATAGACTTTTATTGGCTTTCCCTTCCTATATTTAAACTTCTTTGAAACTTTCCAACCATATCTTTGCAACTCTGCTTTTATTCTAGCAGACCTTCTATCCATTCTATGCGAGGGCATTTTTATAAAAATAAAAAAATGTTTTTTTTAAAATGGTATGCCATATAGCTTCTTGAATTTGTTAAGAAGTATTCGAACGTATTTTCCATCTGTATCTCTAGCGTTTACATAAGCATAGCCATCCTTAGTAAAATATACTTGTAATTTTCTATAGTTTACGCCGGTATAAAAGTAGAAAGAGTCTTGTTCTTCGCTATAGTAGTAAAACTCAAACGTATGCTTACCATAGTCTGTAATTTCAATTGCTTCATCTTCTAGTTCGTCGACAAATTCGAATACTATATCTCCAAATTTGCCTCTGTTCTTATTGTTTTCAGAACAAGTGACCCAGCGTAAGTTTTCAAGTCTATTGTCGTTTCTTATACGGTTTATATGGTCTACAAAAGGTAAATTGTTAGGGTTCGGTATAAAATGAGTTGCAATGACAATATGTTTAAAATAGCATTTCCCACCAATCCTCATCCTAGCATATCCGTCATTTCGCTCACATTCGCTTAAAACTCTTTTTGTCTTTTTGTTTCTGACTTCAAATGACTCACAACAGTGAATTTCATATTTCTCATCTAACAAACAAGTTTCCCAACGGTCTTTTCCAACAAACTCGGCGTACATTTCAAATAAAATAAAAAAATATATTTTAAAAAATATATGTTTTTCTTTATTTTACATAACCTCCCGCTACCAGAAGTCTTTGACGCCAACCCATACCAGCTAATGAAGGTTGACTTGGTTTAGTTTGGAAACTAACCTTTGGTTTTGGTTTTTCTTCAGTTTGTGGCTTCCCTTCTTCTATCGGTTTTTCGTCACTTTTCGGTTCCTCTGACTTTACCTCACTTGCAGGTATGGTTGTGTCGTCAACATCTTCATAAATATCATATGCCATTTGTTTTTGTTTTCCTTTCAACTTTTTGTGTTTGTTGTAAAGTTTAGAATATTTCGACTCTAAGTCAATGAGATGTTCTATAATGAACTGTTGGTCAGTGAAGTAAACTTTTCCATCTGTTGTCTCGAAAGCTCCTTCAGACTTCAATATTTTATTTGTGAGAGTCTGTTTCTTTTTTGAGATACTAGCCGTTCCATTTCTATGAAAAGTGACTTTGTAGTTAGGGTTTGTATTTCCAGACCTGGCACTTTCTATTATTGAATTTTTCTCTTCATCTGTAAGTTCTTTGACAGGTTTTGACAATGGTTCTGAACTTTTTGTTTGTGGTGTCAAATCTACCTGAAGTCATTTTTGTTTGTGGTGTCAAATCCGTTTACTCTCTTCGTCATTTCATTTCTCAGTAAAAAGTCGGTCTAAAACTTCTTGAGGTATAGGAAGAACTTGACAAACACGTGGTTGTGTAACTGCTGGAAGCCGACAAATCCATCTTGAACCCATTTGTCTCAATGCTGTATTGTTCATTTCATCTCAGTAAAAAAATTTACATTCCCCACGTTTGAGGCGGTTGAGGTTGGTTATTGTTTACCCATTGTTGTGCATGGTTATATCCTCTGTTAAAGAATCTTTCACCTTGGTCCATATAGTGTCCTGCTTGGTTATAGTAGTCATTTGCTTTGTTATAATAGTTTCCTGCTTGTCTTCCTACATTGTCCATCCATCCTTGAACTTTTCCTCTTGTTTCAGGATTTGGAATAAGATTTGCTGCATCTCGTGCTACATCCCAACCTTTCTGTACAGTTTGTATAATAGGTTGTGCTTTCTCTTTAAGTATACCTAATGTACTCAAAACTTCCTTCCAACTCCAAATACACCTCTGGCTATTGTTCCCACTGCGGGCAAAAATCTGGATGCAACTCCTGCTAATGCGCCAAATAAACCCATTTCTTATGGGTTAAAAAATGACGAATCCAAACAAGGACCCCTATGTTTCTAAAGCAACAAAGAAAGCACTCATGGTAAAAATCTTTAGTTCAACACCAAATGCTTGGTTTATGGATATCTTGGAAAACATTCCGAGGTATAGAGAAGATGGACCACCATACTGGCTAATATTTGTCGGTCAAAACACAAGATACTGTGAAGCCATACCATTACAGTCCAAAAATATTTTAGATGTGAAAACTGCTTTGACAATATTCGTTGACAAATACCATCCAACAAAACTGACATCTGACTGTGAAAGTTCTTTCAAATCAGACGATATTAAAAACTATCTGCGTTCAAAAAATGTAAACCAATATTTCATTGTCGACCAAAACCATTCTGCTCTTGGTGTCATTGACAGTTGTATAAAAATCTTAAGAGACTTAAACCAACCACAAGGTGGTGAGGTAGATGAAATGTCATATGACGACAAGTATAGACATTTCTCCATGGCAAAGATGAGACAAGTTTTAAATATTTACAATAGCCGTAAACAAAAAGGTTTGGGAAACCACTCCCCCGAAGAAATGAAAAACAACCCTGACTTAGAGAAAGACTATATATTTAACAATTTAGTCAAAAGAGACAAACAAGAAAGAATGCCGGGCTTCAAACTTCAGAAAGGTGACAAAGTAAAAATAGAAATACCTAAACGCGACCCATATGAAAATACTATTGACTATGACAACAATGGGAACCCGACAGGTACTCACATTCGTGTTCGTAAAAATAGAAGAAAGTATACAAGAGAATATTATGAAGTTTTAGGCAAACATGGCAAAATGTACAGACTGCAAGCAGAAGATAAAACGACTATTGTCAGACCTCGTTTCAAACTTGTTAAGGTTCAAGGTGGTATACTTTCAAAGACAGTTCCTAACAAATATAAGACAACTCCTGACGAATATGCTAAAGAAGTTGAAAATGACGACTAAGCAATTCTATACCATGCGTAAACTGTCATGTAAGGTGGCATGTAGTCTTTACTTTGTCCCGTTGTTTGCGTATATCCTGAAACGCGATGTGTATGGTTTCCATCTCCCTGAGTGTCACTCCAGTAACAATTTATAGCAAACTGAACGTCGTCTTTAACATCATATCCTTTACCTTTTTTCAAGGCGTGCCAATCCCAAAATTTATGCTTATGCCAACCTGCTTGAGATGTACTTAAATCTACGTAGTGACTGTGTGCAGGTAGGTTTTTCTGAAATCGTTTTACTTCCACCTGTTTCCTTTGAAGAGTTTGCACAATACAAAAACCTGTCGACTATTTGTTCCCATGCACCAACACCAAACATTACTTGAGGACCTCTTGCTTCCATAGATGTATAAATAGAACCTACTGGGTTCATTAAATCAAACATATGAGATATTATAGGATTGTCTCTTTTGAACTTAAAATATAGTGTAACTATTTCTGGTTTCTTCTGGTTTGTGTCAGAATATTTTTTATAATATAATCTTATGTTTTCGGGGTAGGTAAAATCTTGACTATAATATTTATTTCTGTCATCTTCATAATAGTATACTATTCTCGTTTTTTCTATTGCATTATATCTTTTATATCTATAATATTCTAAATATAATGTTTGCTTTTTTGGGTCTACACGTGCGTCAACACCATAGTCATAATAATGTGGTACTGGAGCTGGGTCAGGCAATGTCATATCTGTCATTTCATAAACTCTTAAATATTTCTTTTGTTCGTCTCCATATAAGTTTAAGTAGCAGTTGTTGTCTAATGGAACTTTAACTTGTGTACCATCGTTCTTTTTATAGCTTACATACATTTCATTGTTATTTTTCGGAATGAGTTTATACCGTGTACCATTTTCTAAGGACTGTACCAACTGCCATCTAAAATATTTGTTTTCTTCATTGACAGAAAAGTCACCAACCATAGTTTCAATATTTTTTGTTCCAACTAAACTTTGGTACATTTCATTGACATATGTTTTATCTGCTTTTGTCTCTAATGTTTCTTGTAAGTTTGTAATATTTGCAATGGTATGTGTATGTCCAACGTCACTTTTCCTGTTTAAGGTTTCTTGTAAGTTTGTAATATTTGCAATGGTATGTGTATGTCCAACGTCACTTTTCCTGTTTAAGGTTTCTTGTAAGTTTGTAATATTTGCAATGGTATGTGTATGAGTCTTTTTAGAATATTCTTTGTCAGCTCTTGTCACTTCACTTGACATTTTATTGTCAACATATGTTTTGTCCGCTAGTTCAGGATGAGTATGTTCTTTTGTTGCATATGTTGCATCTGCTCTGTCATGTTCTTCTTGAACTTTTTCAATGACATACTCTTTGTCAGCTTTGTTGTCAACATCTGCTTTCGTTGCATATGTTGCATCTGCTCTGTCATGTTCTTCTTGAACTTTTTCAATGACATACTCTTTGTCAGCTTTGTTGTCAACATCTGCTTTCAAAAGAAGTTCTTTTATAGGTTTCTCGTTTAAAGTTCCTTTTGTTGGATTTATACAAACAGTATGGTTCTTACTGTCTTGAAATAGAAACTCGTCTGTCAATGGGTTTAATGTCAGTTTTAAGTTTCCTTCTTTCAATGACTCAGATATCTTAGAATAGTTTGAAAAGTTTGTTGTGTTCTTATTTAGAGCTTGCAAAATGAGTTGTCGGTTGTGTTTTATTTCTCTCATAGACGCTGTTTCTTTCGACATTTTTATTCTAGATAAAATATGCTTTCAATAGAAAAAGAAAATTCAAGAGTTGCTACAACTAAACCATTAGATGAACTTTTTACGAATGTCGGTCAAAAGTTTGAGACAGAGACCGTAAAGCATGAAGGCTATCGTTTTGACTACCCATTGAGATGGTTAAGAGACCCATCCGTCACAAAAGCTATTGGCTTTCGTAGAATGAAGTTTGTGTCTGTAGAAGATAAAAGTTTTCCATTTATTGTAAGGTTTCATATAGATTATATATCTGAAGGGAAACGAAAAATGTGGGAAGAAATTGAGCTAATACAAGTTGACCTTTCATCTTCTCTACAGACTGCGTTAAAAAATATAGAAGATAAAATAAATTCATGTTATGCAAAATATGCTGATGAATATGCAAATACCGAGAGCACACTTTATGTGAGAATTGTATATGACAAACAAAATTCACAAGTGTCATTTCAAATCTACGAAGACAATCCAAAGAAAGACGAACAAATATATACAGAATTCACTGCAATGTCATGGTATTATTTGCAAAGAATGTTAAATCAGAAAGTCGAACTTCCTTTAGCAAATATTTACAGTCGATATGCAAGAGATGAACCATATTTATTTAAAGATGTTTTCGACCCAGCTGCTATTATTGTTCATGCTTCATTTTCTGGCGCCCAAAACTCTTTCTTATGCTTGGCAAATGACTTTTACGAAAAACCTACAAAGCTATATGAACCACCAAGTGGAAGTATTTCAGACTTTCAAGTATGGTTTACAACAGATGGAAGAAAGAGAATAATTCCATTATACCATGCGTTTTACTTAGAACTTAGTTTCATATACAACTACTATCGAACGGTAAAAAATATAATTTTTTAATACGGTTGAGGTGTTGGATTTGGTTGCCAACTTGACTGTGGTGCAGGTTCAGGCTGTTGTATAACAGGAGCTTGTTCTTCTGGTTCAGGGTCTTTAGTATAATACCAACGAACTGACCTACTCTTTTACCAATATTTTTGACTCCGTTCCAATTCCTCTTCCTACGGTTTTTATTCCATTCCATATACCTCTTCCAACATTTCGAAAGAAGTTTCCTATCTTACTGAAGAAACCCATTTTACTATATGTAAAAATCTAATGTCCGCCTAGTCTCTTACGTTTCCTGTTGAGTTCCATAGCATTCTTTAACTGGAGCTCATACATTCTGTTTCTCCTCTGGTAGAAAACATATTCTGGGTCAACTCCTGTGTTCGCGTCATCTGCATAGAGTTGTTTATATCCCACTTCAGGGTTTGTATAAAACTCTTTCCATCTCATATTTGCATACCATGGTGGCAAACCTAACGCAGCGTCATTTGACATGGCAGTTTGCATTTGTACATCTGTTGGCACTTGACCATAGTTTGCCATTGCAGTTTGTATTCTAACTTCATTTGGAATATTCTCTGGGTTTGGTTGTCCAGGTTGCTGTGCATTCGCTAAGTTCTGTGCGTCCATTTAATATTAGATAAAAATATCTCTTACGAGTACATATACTGAACATTTGCAGGCATTGGTTCATCTTCATATTCTCTGTACCTTTCTGCCACGTCAAATAAGTAAATGACACAATGGAAAAAACCTAAAACAAGTAGTCCTATTTCAAACCACATTTAGTTACCAATAAAATTTCTTTGTTATGACACTTTTTCCGGTTTATAGGACCTCTCTCATATTCTATCTTATCGTATCTAAACTCATAGTCATGTATATCCTCTAACCATCTCATGACACTTTCCAAACCACTTTTATCGGATGTAAAGTAAAAGCATGGATGGTTATGTAAAACGTCTAAAGTTTCTAAAGAGTCTCTCAAAGTCCAGTCTACTTGGTATTGAAAATCGTATGTGTTAAAGAACGGCGGGTCTACTATAAAGAAAACATTTTCCTTGTCTTTATATTTTTCATACAACTCTGTCCAATGACATCTCACAAACTCTATACCCTCAATATATTTTTCTATGTTCTCTTTGAAAACATTTGTATAGTTAAGATATAAAACTTTTGACATAAGTGTTTCAATGTCATGAACTCTTATAGCACCACTATATAATAGTCTAGCAGATATACTATCCCAGTCAATATACTCTGCCTTTTTCAAAACCTCTCTGACAGTATTTTTCTTATCTAATGGTATACGTTCCATCTTACCTATAGGTATCTTTTCTTTTAACTCTTTCAATATTTTGTTTGTGTCTGGTATATGTTTGAGACGGTTCATATAGTTGTCGAAGTCATTGCATATAATCTTTGAGTCAGGAAATATTGTATGGCACAAATGAGATATATAGAAACTTCCACCGAACAAGTCTACAAATGTTAGACCATTCGGTAGTTTCTTAAGTTCTCTCAATATAATATCTTTACATCTACTCTTATTTCCAAAGAACGGTAACGGTGGTTTTGTAAAATTCATTTATATATAATAATAAAAATGTTTTTACCCGAAAAGTGACAGAAAAGTGACAAAGCATTTACGATGAAATCATGAAAATTCATGAGGTGAGAAAACAGGTGAGAAAAGAGGTGACATCTCACCTCTTCACCTAAATTATATTTTTGGGTCATTTACGCTCATTACGAAGAAGTCTTGACAAAACATTTACGAAGAAGTCTTGACAAAACATTTACGAAGAAGTCTTGACAAAACATTTACGAAGAAGTCTTGACAAAACATTTACGAAGAAGTCTTGACAAAACATTTACGAAGAAGTCTTGACAAAACATTTACGAAGAAGTCTTGACAAAACATGAAAACATATATAATTTGTGAAAAGCTCCTGGAAGACCTCCGAATAAAAACTTCATTTATGTGGGCTAGAAGGCACGAAGTGCCTGGAAGCTCACCCCAAGAAAAAAAAAACTTCATTATATCAATCATCCTCAGGGCTAGAAGGCACGAAGTGCCTGGAAGCCCCACTTCCTTTTTTTTTTTTTTTTTTTTTTTTTTTACCGTACATTATTTTTTAAGCTATCTTATTTTTTGAACTTTTATTCAAATCTTTGGTCGCAAGAAGAATTGCATGATAAATAAAAACATTTAATCAAAGTCAATTTTATTTTTCATATTCAAATGGACTGAGTGTTAACATTTAACATTTTTTGCTAATTGTCGTCAAAAATTAGGCGTAAAGCAAAAATTAATATTTCATATGGTTTTATGATAGATAAGCATTATATTCCCACTCATTATATTCGTAAATTTTGAGGTTTATCATTCGCTTTTAAGATCATTGAATTGATTTTTATATAAAATAGTTATATATTAGAAAATAATATGAGTTTATGTGATATTATTTTTCAGAAGATTTCATTCTATATGCCTATGAAAAGTACTCTCAAAACTAACTTTTTCCTAATTATAATTAAATCTAGAATATTGTATTATGCTTAGTATTATTTCATTTTTCTCATTCAATTTAGAATTTACAAATGTCAAAAAATTGAGAGCTGTCACTTTTGATGAATTTCTGTTTATTACATATGTGTGTTCTGCAGATAATATACTCATCAAATCCTAATTTTTTACACTTTTTGGAGAAAAAAATTGAAAATATTTGAAAATTTCGACAATATACATCTTTACGTCATTGTTAAGAATTACAACTTTTATTTTAAAATCTTTATGAATATCGTAATCTCATCAAGTTTTTGGATCTGATCTTAAATTTGAATACCCTCTCAATTTTTTTAGTACAATGTTAGCGATTTTTCCTCTGTTTATCAGGTCAGATTTAAATGTTTGTATTGATCAAACAGAGGAATACAACAACTGTCCTACAAAGAATTATCAAATTATTAATAATACCGATGATTTATATCATTTACTCGAAAATACATCTTCAAAGTTCCATTTAATCACATTTTTAACAGGCGAAAAGATACTAAAGCTGCCAGTAACAGAAAACTTTCCAAACAATTTAATCGTCAATGGAAATGACGCTAATATAATTTTACAAAATCCTAATTTGTTTCGTGAGACAGTATTTGAATTTCGAAATCTCACTCTTGATGTTGAATTAGATTCTAGCAATAAAAGGCCATCATTTAAAGCATTTACAGCAGATGATGTAATTTTTACCAATAATTTTTCCGAAATCTCAGTTACTGGCGTATTATCTATTGACGTTGCGTCACTACGATACTTGAAGAATGTTATCGCCGTACAAATTATTTTGAATGACATAAAATCTCCTTTAGATCAGAAAGTAACATCCACAATAACTGATGTTTCTTTGCAAAACGATGGATTCAAAGTTTATTTATCCAAGAACACATTCAACATGAAATTCACCGATACTTTAATATATTTCAAAAATGAAATCATAAATTACACAATTACTATGGCATGTAGCAAAGAACCTACTTCCAGAATAGAGTTATCTGATCAATCAATAGATGCCACATTAAATTTAACCTACCACAGGAGTTTGCATTTCTTCATTCAAATTTCTGTTTCGAATCAAGCCAAATTACATGTTTCCAGCAGTACAAGTGATAATGTAAAAGAGTCTCTCGAAATAACAGTCCAAGATTCCTATGTTTCCTTTGATTCTGGCTTGAATTTTCCTTTAATTTTAAATACAAATGGAAATTCAACAATTTTCACTCAAAGTAACAACATAAGTCTGAAAAAGATCGATATGCAGGTAGGCGCACTTTATATTGATGCTCCACCAGACACTGTCTTTGACATGGTATCAGTTTCGATGCAAGATTTCACGAGTTTAATTTCGAAAAATAGTTTTCGTGTTTTTGTTGATTTTGCTGAATTTAAAGGCAACGAAATCTATTCATCAGACGAAGTATTGTGGGATGTTGAATCTGCAATCGAAGTACGTGATGCAAATGTTTCAATTGCAAATCTAAAATCATATCCTGATCTAAAAATTTTAAACAGAATCGGTTTATTGGTAAATTACACGGGAATTCACATCCGAAATCCAATTAATTATCTGAATTGGAATATAGAAATGAGATACTCAGGATCAGCATTGCCAACAGAAGAAAAAATCCATCAACACATCAATCAGACATACAATGCTTTTTGCGCGAAAAACAACATTTGTAAAGATCATTTATATAATTTTGAAACAGCAGAAAAAGGAATTAAATTCGAACCAACGTGTAGACAAATAGATGATGACTATTGCATTGGCGGATACTACTCAGATGATCCAAGAATGATTGATCTACACATTTGTTACGCGTATAACATTAAATTATGCGCAATGGAAGATTATTCTTATTTCTGCACTGTTTCTAATATTTCTGACATCAAAAATTATGTTCAAATAAAGACAAATAACATAACATATACATTTAAGTCTACTGCTGATGTTGCTGTAGGAATGGGTGATTTACCTATATCGGATTTCGATTTAGAAATAAGAGGTTTTGACCAATCTTATATAAAATTTGATGTAATTTTGCCAACATTTAACAAACTCAGAAATCTGAAACTTAAATCAACAAAATGTGAGTTCAACATCCTTACTCATGATAATTTAATCACGCCGCAGATTGATAGCATCACCATGTTAGATAACAGTGTTCTTCTCTTGAATGATAGGGATTTTAAATTCGATATGTCACATATTAAATCATTTTGGATTGACCAAACTTCTCTCAAAAATTTCAAGGCTTATAATGGAACCATGGCAAATTGTTCTTTACAAACAAATAATATAAGTATTTCTTTGATGAAGAATTCTATATATATGGATGGTAATATTCATTCGCTCTCTAGAATCAAATCTGTTTTGTTTATTTGTCCAAATAAGACAATTTTAGTTAATGTAAGCCTTGAATCAACATTTTCTGATTATGCAACAATTAATTTTGCTGGTAATCCTAAATCTGAAATCAATATCAACTTCCTCAATGGTTTTGATAATATTCCATCCATGAAAATCTTCAATATCACATCAATTGGAAAAGTTTTTATTAGGTCTTCTTCTCTTTATCTTCCACTTGCAATAACAAATTGCAACGGAGTTTTTTTGTCAACTTTTTCATCTGCTGTTAGTTTGCAGTCATTAACAGTTGATAACTTTAATTGTACAATCAAATTCCCTAGTGACAACAAAAATAGAACTTTAACTTTTCAAAAATTGATTATTAATGGAACTTCATCAGTTTCTTGTGAATTTTCAACAATAAGTGATGCAATTGTTGAAGAATTAATAATGGATAAGTTCGCTACTGCTCATTTTGCTGGTTTGAAGTTTACTAATTTGGTAAGTTTCAGTTATGATACAACTGTTTCTTTCTCTAATTGTGATATTTCTAAAATGAAAATTGCTTCTATAATAGAAAACAATTCTGTTGCAGACATTGCGTTAAGAGATGCAGATATATATGAAATGGTTCCTCCTATGAATCATTTTGTTATATTTAAAGACTTTAACTTCGATCCTTCAAAGGATTTCGTCATTGTTGATGCTTACTCGAATCAATTAGCAAGACTTTGGGTAGATTCTGTGAAAATTGATCCGAAAGTTGTTAAATTAAATGGTGTGAAATACTACACGAAAACAGAAGTATCCAATGCTGTTGTGAAAGTTGTTTTATCTAGCAATGAAGAAGCGAAACTTTCAACAGTTCATATTTCTTTGATTGCTGGCTCTGTAATTTTTGTTTTCTTATCTATTGTTGTCGCTGTTTTCTTAGTCATAAATTACAAGAAGAAGAGACTCGCAGCAATGAAAACTCTTGATTCGAATTTGTTGTTCGAAATCCAATAATATTCATTTTTATATTAATGTTTTTTGTTATCAATATATTATAAATTGTAAATATACCATTTGTGCTATTTTTCATTCGAAAATTCATTCTTACTGTTATGTTATATCAAAGTTACTCACGTGGGATTATCCAGTTCATTTATTGTTCTTTGTTGCACATTTTTGGGGTATCTTAATCCAATTTACTTTTCAAAGTTGTATTTGTTAATGAAATTCAGGCGATTTGAGAGAATGATCGTTTTTGTCTCAATTTTATATCACATTTCGTCAATCCTGCCTTCTTTTTAGATTATAGACTGTAAGCTAGTACGGAAGAAGCTTGAAATAACTTTCAGAATAATTAACTGTGAATATTCAGAGCAGGTAGAATTCAAATTGCAAATAATCTGAATAATAACTTTAAATCTTCACGAATATCATACAATATCTTTGCATCATTTTCATCTACTAGCAATGGAGGGAGCATTTGTAACATTAATTCTAAAATACCTCTTGAAATTCAGAATTGTGTTTTTATTAATAGCTCATCTTCAACAGAAGGTGGTGCATTATATCTATATAATAGTCCAACATACTTATCTTATAATTACTTTTATGGCTGTTCAGCTAATTCTAACAAAGATGGAAAATTTGGAAACGCAATATTTATGCGTCAGTCCCAATCAGACCTTAATGAATCCTCATTCTATTCTTGCGCCAAAGATTATACGATGTGTTCTGACAGCTGCGTTTGTTTGGCCGGTGAAAAATACATATCGATTTTATGTAACGGAACTAATAACTATGGAATATTAGGTTCAAGCCTGGTGTCGATTTATGATTCGAAACCTGGGACATTTGTTAAATTTAATAAAGTTTATAAATGCTTTGATATGTATTTTATTGAATTTGTTCGATCTAGTTACATCGCATCATTTTGTGATTTTGTAGATATATCTGGCCAAGAAAGATGTTTTTGTGTACTAGATGCCATTGCCACATTTGAAAAATGTATTTTCATTGATGCATTAAGTAAAGAAATATCTAGATTTGGTACCACTGTAATCAACTATATAAATTGCTCATCCAATGTAAATTTTCAAAGTATGAATTTAACATCGATCGATAAGATGAATTATCAGAGAACATTCTATTATAATCAATTAGTTTGTAATAATGGCCATTGCTCAAAATTATATCCTGAATCGTACCCTTATTTACATATTGTCATGCTTTTTGTTTTATGTTAAAATTGTTTGTGGTATCCAAATATTTGTTTGAATTCATTTTTGATTTTTTATGAGTCACTTACACCATATATGGCCTTCAGTTCTGGCGTTTAAGGTTGATTTTCGATGACACTTCACGACTGTTGTCAGAAAATTGAATTGATCAGGGTAAGTACGCTCTTATTAATCGCGATCAGATCTTAACGAAACTTCTTTCAATTCTTGTGTCAAAGATTATACTAAATGTTCTGACAGCTGTGCTTGCTTGACTGAAGAAAAATGCATATCGATTTTTTGTATTGGAACGAATAATTACGGCACAATTGGTTGTGGCCTTGTGACGATTTATGATATGAAAGTCATGACATTTGTAAAATTTAATAGAGTTTATCAATGCTTTGATGCATTTTATTTTGAATTTGTTAGTTCTAATTATGTTTCTTCATTTTGCAAATTTATCGTTTCTATTTAGGCAAAACATCTTTATGCTTGGGCTTACTCCATATTTCAGCTGATCTGAGTTAGGATATTCTTATTTCAATCAAAAAGCGGAGAGAATATCTAGTAGGTAAGCGTTTTAAAACTAAAAACATATTTACATAATGATAGTTTTATAATATATATCTAAAAAAATGTTTTTGTTTTGTCAATAACAAATATAAACAAATAAATTTATTTGATCATTGATAGTGCTAAATCTCTAGCAGCATTATCGCCGACCTTTTCAGCCATATCCTTGGCCATCTTAATCTGCAAAATGTACTCCTTTCGCTTCTTCTTCATCAAGTTCAATGCGTCAATCAAAAATCTATTCTGCATGAAAATTCCTATCTTTGCTCTCTCTGTTTTCACGCATGTGTCAATGAACGCTCTCAAAGAGTTCCTGTCAGTTGTCAACTGTGACATTGCCGACATTATATTGGAAACTGTTGTTTCATACAACGCTTCATCCTTTATATTCATTGCAAGACAGTATTTGTTCAATGCAATTGGTCCGTTTTTCGCCAGTTTTCTGACAAATTCTTTGAAAACAGATGTAGGTTGAACACCAGTACTCAAGACATCGAAAACCAAAGAATACTCATGGTTATTCAGAAGAAATACAGCTGTTGATTCCGCGTTTTCTCTTGATCTGATGATTTCCAAATCAGGATTAAACGGAAGTTTGTTTTTCATTGCATAATTAACGATACTTTCTTGTACTTGTGTCCTTGTCAACATCATTGAAAGGTTTTCCAAAGAAAGAATATTTCTTTTCTGTGCAATTTCGCTTTGTTCCGATGAAATTCTCTTCTTTAATCCGTCTTTTATACAATGAACAATTTGCAAACACGTTGACCATTTGTTTGCCAAATGATAACCTTCGACAGCAGATTTAATCGCATCTTCATAAAGTCCTAGTTTCATTTGGATGTCGTACAAAGTTCGCGTCATGTTGCTCTTCGACAAAAATTGGAAGAAAATTTCAATAAAACTGATTCTTGACGCTAAAGATTTGTATACCAATCTCCAGAGTTTGTTCCAGTTTGAGTTTGCCAATGCTGGATAAACAATAGTGCTTCTAAACATGGTCATCCGTTTTTGTTGTGGCACTTTTTCTAATTGAGAGAAAACCGTTTCAAATTCTCCCAAAGTTGACAACAAATAAATCAAACGTCTGTTTTCATTAAACGATGCCAAGCATTCGCAAAGAGATTTCATCTGTTTGGAGCTGAATGTGACACTGTTTAAATTGGTCGACCATCTATTCAAAATTGGAAAAGTGTCAATACTTTCCAACAATTTAAATGTGTATTGCATTATGTCACAAGTATTTTTATGTTTAGTCATGTACATGAGGCATTCGTTACTGAATACATCCATGATTGCTTCATACAATTCTCCTCTTCTTCCCTTCCATTCGCGATCTTGTTTGATCACTTCATCTCTCATGTCAAACAACAAATTTCCACTCAAAATTTGAATCATTTGTTCGATCAATTCTTTTGATTCCGTAGAAACACTTGAGATCTTCGCGTGATTAGAGAAAACAACTGTCTTGACCATCTCTAGTTCCTTAACTCCTTCGTCTATAAACGATTGTCTGAAACAAACAATCGCTCTCTTAAAAAGAAATGGACAAAAATCTAATCTCCACAAAGCGCAAAATTGTAACATCAATTGTCTTTGGTTCATCTCTGAACAAATAGTAGCAAAAACATAGCCTTTGTTCTCTGCTTGAAAATCATGGAAGTCATATTTTTTGGCGGTTTTTGTAAACGGGAAAATTGACACAAATTGAGACAAAGTAATTATTTTGTCAATTGTTGATTCTCCAGTTATATCTCTCATCTTTTCGAGTACTCTGTTGCATCTTTGCATCATTACGTTTGCGCGTGCTTCTAAGCCACCAGAAAATACAGTTAAAAATGATACTTGTTCAACAATTCTTTTGACAAAATATTCTGTCAAATTTTGTGGTGGCAAATTTTCTCTTTTTATGTTTTTGAAGAGTTTTATGACTTTTGGTAAATCCTCATAAACTTTTGATGGATTTGGAATGATCTTCTCGAATTCTTGTTTGAGTGTTTCGTAGTAAGAATAGCTCTCTTTTTGTGGAAATTGTTTTGTCAAATCTCTGAATAATTTTATCGGAGAATTCCTCAATTTTTCAACAATTTCTGGATTCTGTTTACAAATCATTGTCAATTGATTTAGAATATTAACTCTAAAATCTTCAGAGAACTCGTACAAGCCAACGAAATCACCAAAGTAAATAAATGTGTTTACAACAGTTTCTACGGGCGTGAAGTATGTCAAACCTAATTTTTGAGCTCTTACAGTTCTTATATATGAGAAAACATGTAATCTAGATATTTCAGATGTAGTGTATTCGAGAGGATTCATTCCGATAAACAATGTTTCATCTTTTTCCCAAATTAAATTCATTGCTTTAACAGATCTTTCTTTAATAGCAATTTCAGCACATATTTTAAGTATATCATTGGGAATTTCCATGAAATTGTCTTCGTAATAATAAATAATTTCAAAAACTTCTGACAAATTTCTTGGAATTGCTTTGATTGTCACTTTTTTAAAATTAGAAGTATATTTTGCAATAATTTGAGAAACAAACATTCCGCTATCTTGTTTTCTATCAACAGCAATCGCAATCGCTACCAAAGGGAAGTTAGTTTTCAGCAATTTGAAGAAAACAGAATCCAATAAAATCCTTCTAGAAAATTGCAACGCGACTTCCAAAGCGTTTGGTCCTAATAATGTTGTTATGTCTTCCCACGAATAGTTTGATGAGTTATTAAGGATATCAACGATTGATTGAGCACCAACATTCGTTGAGAAGCCACTCAACTTCTTTATCAAACCAATGTAAGAACAAAAACTTGAAAACAAATTGTATTTCGGAAAAACTTTTCCTTCAAAGAAACCAATGTCGTAAAATTGGATTGCGCTTGCCAAAGAATCTGTTTGGATGATGTCTAATGCTTCTTGATTCCTAAACTCCTTTCTCCTCTCAACAACAATCTTTATATCATTGTCATCGGAGTTTAATGGTAAAATTGAGTCTCCAAATGACAAGAAATATTCAATTCCAAGCAAATCTCTGTTGTTTATCTCGATTTGCCAAACGAATTTGCCTTTCATCAGCTCTCTGATCTCTTTTATCAAGAATATTTTATCTAATGTGCTTTTGTTCCCTTGGCAAAGTTGTAAGGCTGGAGCAATGTCTGATTCTGAATTTTTCAAAAGTGACAAAATGACGGTTTGAGGGTGAACCAAGCAAGATTTCAAGTCCTGGAAACCTCTGACTCTTGCGTATGTTAATTTCATGTTTGCTGAGTTAAATAGGACAGGATTATTCAAGAAACCAGTAATTGAAGACAAGATTAATTCTGCTTTTTCAACATCGCAGATATATTGGGTTCCGACTTGTAGGAAAATCAAGGACATGATGTCTATGATGACAGCATCCATTACTTCATCATCTTCGATCATTTCGAGGTAATAAGTTAATTTATTTGATTTCTTGCGGCCAATGATGATCCCCATGACTTCAATGAGTGCGAAATAGGCATACATGAATGAAGAATCTTTCATTCTATCACTATCACTGATGTTAAACAGAGATTTTCCAAAAATTGATTTTAATTGAGCGACAGAAAGGGAATCCATCATTGGATATAAGATGAATGGAACAGATTTGGTCTCAAATGTCTTTAAAGTTACTTTGTTGCCTGTAATTTTGTATAATAATGATAATAAATTTTGATCATTGTTCATTGCGTCATAAACTGATGTTAGTACCTTATGTTTAGTTGTTTTCATGACAGAAACCAATATCTTGACGAATTTCTGCTGGTCAGGCTGAGTTTGATAAGATGCCAGAACAATATAAGGATAAAACAAAGGTAAATCGTTAGCAATGTCATGTGATACCTCGTAGTTTCCTGCAATGAGTTCTCTGATTGAGTATGTAATGATTTCGTCGAGAAAATGCGTTGTATTTCCCATTTTATTTTTTCGAATGACTTGGTTTATTAATGAAAAGATTCGATTTTGTTCAAATAGTGTAGATTTCCTTGGATACGGTTCGCTGTATATTGCAAGTGACTGCAATCTCATTACGTCCATCGGATTTTTCAATAAAACTAATAATGGGGCAAATTCTTTCATATATTTCTGTTGCAGGAATTCGATTGGAAAGTATTGTATAATGTCATTGTTGATATCTGATTTTAATATGAATAAATCGAGTTTTAAATAAGAAAATAAAGTAGGTCCGGGAATTTTCGATAAAACTCTGTTGATTGTTGACTGAATTGCTGTATACAATCCAGGTAAGTATGAATAAAGCATGACTAAGATGTCAAGGAAACCTTGAACTTCCAAATCTGGAATTTTCTGGGTAATTCCTAATTTAAGATACTCTCCAAGTTTATTCATCCATTGGAATGGACTCTTGTCAAGCAAAGAAAGGAAAAAATCTTCAGAAGGAACAAAATTAGAAGGTATATTGAAATATGCAAGGACTGAATACGCACTCCATTTAACGTAGAAGTATATAGGGCAAAAATCGCATGGTTTCCATTCGGCTGGTTGTCCTGTTTCCAGTAATGGTCGTAATATCTCTTTTAATTCTGATGTAGTGAATTTTTCAGCGTTAAGGATGCATAACCTTCCTTGCCCACGAAAAAGGTGTTTGATTGTTTGCGAAAGATGGAACTGATTACTCAGACATCCTATCGAAATCATCAAAAAACCTTTTTTGGGAGTGTCAAATAGCAAAAAAAATTTATTTTATCATTACGACGAATGTTTCTCATTAATTCTTTACTTTTAGCTAAAACTAATATGGCAGTAGAAACTACTAACTGCATGTACAATAATACTTACCGCGATGAAAACAATAATTGTGTTTGTTTGCCAGGATATTTCAATGATCCCGAAAAAGGTATTAATGATTGCTATACATGTAAAGATGGATGTCATAGTATGGCTTTATGTGTTCATCCCGGTATATGTATTTGCGCACAAGGTCTTATTGGTGATGGTCAAAAGTGTTGGTTCCCTCTTCCAAAGCAATATGTATTCGATATACCAGAACCACTTGAAACAGGTGGTTACAACCTAACCATTAAGGTCAGACATCCAAAAAATCATATTGTTTATAAATTATATTGTCAGATTGGAGGAGAAATATTCGAATCACATAGTTTCAATGTTACGGTTGCTTATTTCATCATTCCTATGTCAATTTACGGTTATCAAAATATCACAATTTCTTACGATAAAATGAATTGGTCTCCTGACGTCAAAAGAATATACTTCCAAAAGACTTATAGCCATCAATTTATTAACGAAAGTACTCCATTCGTATTCGCTCTTCTCGTAGTCGTTCTCATTGGTACGTGTTTGTTACACGGAAAAGGAGCTATTTTTGATAAAGAGGAAGAGATACCACTTCCTCATGTCACAGACAATGCTAAATAAAATTTGTTTGTATATTTTTTATTTCCAAATCATATGGTTTTTGAGAGTTTTCCTAATGTTTTCTTATTTGTTGTATGGAAATCTAATAATTGGTAATATTAATATGATATAATGAACGTATTTTATTTCGGATTTTATTCGTTACTACAGGATTTTGATCAGTTTTTTGAGTTTTTTATTACAAATGATGACAAAGAGAGATTTTAATAATGAAAAATCTGTTCTCAAAATCAAGATTTTATCCTGTCACCTTTTTGATCTCTGTTGACTCGAAACGAGAGAAAAAGTAGTCCATCAACATAGGACAGGCAGTATTTAGCTCTGAAATGATCTTAGTATTGAAATAAATACCGTACATATTCAACTAAACCTATATATTTCCCAATAATTGAAAGATAATCATGGGACAGAAAGTTGATATGAAATGTCTCCAATATTTATGTATTTTAATAAATGATAGGAATACAGTAAGAATAGCTATAAGATATCGAATTTTGGAGAGGGTACACAAAAATTTTTGGATGATGGCCATGGGTTCTTCCTATCGTCGTCCTATTTCATTTTATCATGCCGCCAAAAGCGCGCACAGAAGAAGAGATCGATCCAATCGAATTGTTCAAGATCAAGCGCCTCATCAACTACCTTCGTGATGCACATGGTGATGGCACTTCCATGGTTACAATTCTTATTCCACCAGGTGATGCTGTTCACCGTATGCGTCAGAAGCTTACAGATGAACTTGGTACAGCCTCAAACATCAAGAACAGAGTTAACAGACAATCAGTCGAAGCAGCCATTACAGCCGCTATTCAAAAACTTGGTCAATTCAACAGCACACCTCCAAATGGCCTTTGCGTCTTCTGTGGCACAATCATTGAAGAAGGCAAGGAAAAGAAGCTTATGAAAGATTTCGAGCCTTTCCGTCCACTCCACCAATCTCTTTACATTTGCGATCGCCGCTTCCACGTCGAGCCACTCGCTGATCTTCTCCAGACCAACGAAAAGTTCGGCTTCATCATTATGGATGGTCAAGGTACTCTTTACGGTATGGTCGCTGGTGCATCCCGTACAGTCCTTCACAAATTCTCTGTCGACCTTCCAAAGAAGCACAACAAGGGTGGTCAGTCATCCATCCGTTTCGCACGTCTTCGTCTCGAAGCCCGTCACAACTACGTCCACAAGGTCGCTGAATACGCCGTCCAGCACTTCATTCCAGATGGTGCTGAGCCAAACGTTACAGGTCTTATCCTTGCTGGTTCTGCAGATTTCAAGAACGTCCTTGCCCAATCAGATCTTTTCGATATCCGTCTTAGAAACATCATTCTTGGTATCTACGATATTTGCTATGGTGGCGAAGAAGGTTTCAACCAGACAATCAAGATGGCTGCTCCACTTCTTGCCGATGTCAGACTTGTTCGTGAACAAGAGCTTCTCCAGAAGCTTTTCGATACAATCGGTACAAACGGCCCATGCGCTTTCGGTATCAAGGAAACAATGATGGCCTACGATTCCGGTGCTATCGAAACAATGATCTTATGGGATGAACTCAACGTTTACCGCTGCACAATGGAAAAGGATAACGGTGACTCAGAAGTCGAGTACTATACAGAATACCAGCTCGAAAAGGGTGACCACCTCAAGTCCGAATATCACCACCTCAAGGAGAAGATCCTCCTTACAGAATGGATGGCTGATCACCATAAAGAGAAGGGTGCTAAGCTCGAATTCGTTACAGATAAGAGCCCAGAAGGTGCTCAGTTCATCAAGGGCCTTTCCGGCATTGGCGCGCTCCTCCGCTTCCAGATGAGCTTCGATGTTTATAAGGAGAACACAGACGACGACGGATTTGACTCTGACTTCGATGACGATGAGGATCTCCTCTAAATTGGATAAAGTATTTTGCAGAATATTAAGCTTAAACTCATTATATTTAATTTCATTTAAATAGATTCCTTTTTATGATTCTATTTAAGATTTCAATAAATTTTATGAATTTGTTTCGATTTGTTGAATGTAAGAAAGAGCTCTTCATTATTCTGCAACTGAAGATAGCAAAGAGATAGCAGAATTTCTTATACAATGGATAAATTCGGAAAATCTGTTCATCACTATGCAGTATATGGGAAAATATCAATGAAATTAAGTCATTGTTCCATCCAAACAGTTAAGGAACACAGTCCCTTGCTAATTTTGGTGAATTTTTATTTTTCAAAAAAAATTATCGGGAAACTTATATTAAAATTAATGGAATATTTTGGATTCTAATTGATTTACTATTTGTTTTTGCAATTTGTTAATGAATTTCAAGTTGAGAGCAAAAAGCGGTTTTGATGGACCTTTGTTATGAAGAGTGTCCAAGTTTTTGGTCGTAAGAAGACAGCTACAGCCGTCGCTTACTGCTGCGAAGGAAGTGGTCTCATCAAGCTTAATGGCACACCAATCAACATGGTCTCCTCTGAGACTCTCCGTGCTAAGATCCTTGAACCTCTTCAACTTATCGGCGAAGAGTCATGGGGCAACCTCGATATCCGCGTTCGCGTTCACGGTGGTGGCCATGTCGCTCAGGTCTACGCTATCCGCCAGGCTGTTGCCAAGGCCATCGTTGCATACTACCAGAAGTATGTAGATGAGGCTACAAAGACAGAAATCAAGAACACACTCCTCGGCTACGATCGTACACTCCTTGTTGCTGATCCACGTCGTATGGAGCCAAAGAAGTTTGGTGGTCAGGGTGCCCGTGTCCGCAGACAGATGTCATACCGTTAAAGATTTAATAATTATACTAACTTTAATGCAAATATATTAAATACAACAAAAAATTAATAATTTATTTTTACTTACAATATCTCTACAGTTTCTAACACATTAGATCTATTCATTTCATTTGATATTTGAGTTGCAACTAATATTTCTTGAAATTTCTATTAAATAAATACAACATCGCCAGAATTATAAAGATGCTCAATTGCATCATATTTGGCGAAGTAAATTTGATCTTTGACAATGTCAACAGGTTCAGAGTCTTGGAATGCGGTTAATGATTGTGAACCACTTGTACGAAGAGCTTTGAAGAATACAAAGCCATGATCAACACTAGCTTCACTCTCTGGGGTGAACTCCAAAGTGGCTGGTCCTTGATTGTTTTTCATTGCATTAACTAAATTTGTTACAAATTGATTTTCTACTGAAGAGAGATTGGCTTCTTCCGGTATTATACCTCCTTCTACGTATTTAACAATCTTGTTGAATCTTGTTTGATAATATGATCTGATTAAAAATTTAATTCGAAGTAAATCGAGTTCTTGTGCTTGTTGGATACGACGTAATATTTTGGATCCATCATTATCAGCTGCATTTTCGCGAGCATTATCTCTCATCTGTTCGAATTTTTCTGTTTCTGCATCAACTACTTCTTTTAATGCTTCAACATTCTCTGGTTTATATGGTAATATAAATTCTGTAGACTTTTCGTTGCTTAAGTCGTTTATGAGACGAGGTATTAGTTCTTGGCTACTCATAATGGACGTTTTAAAAATAAATTGCAGTAACTTGTCAACCAAAAGTATCTTTATATGTTCATCACAATGAGTGCGTTATCCTTAATTTCACCAGATCCTAAAAAAGAAATAATGAAATTATTGAAAAACTTTTGATTATCAAGCATCTTCACTGTAAATTAATGTTTGTTTGGTGTTTGTGTATGCAAATTCTTATAATACGTATATCATATAAGAGATTTTGATTCATATCATGGTTTTAATCAAGCAGATAATAGATAAATTCTAAATTAGATTATCACGATTTATACAATAAGTTTAAAAATAAATACAAATAAAAAATAAAAATAAAAAAAAATAATATTAAGCTTTTTGAGTAAGTTTCTTGTAAGCATTTACAAGGATATTAGATTTAACATCCCTGTACATTGGATTTATATCGAGTATGCATCTGCAAACATGCAAAGCTTCCTGTTCTCTTCCACTCCTCATCAAACAAACAGCCAAATTATAAGCCATTTCCAAGTCTTTTCTATCAGTTAGTTCCCAGCACATTCCGTATGCATTTGCTGCTTCATTGTACATCTTAATCTTTTGGTTGAATGTTGCAGACAATTCCCAAGCAGCGAAAGAACTTTTGTTGATACTCAAAGCCAAAGATGAATCATGTTTTGCTGATAGATATGTTCCTGACTGTGACATTACTGTTGCTCTGATCAAATAAGCTTCAACAAAGAAAGAATGTGTCTCGTGTGTTATTGGTGATTGTACGAGGTTATAAACATGTTTCAATGCGATATCAACCTTTTGTTGTCTCATTCCACATCTTGCACATCCAATTGTAGCTGCTAATGATATTTGGAGAAGTGGATTTTCGCTGTTACTTTCAGAAATAGCACTATAAATCGTGTAGGCTTCTGCAACACTTTTTTCATCATTTCTAGCACATAAAACATCGGCATTTAACAGTTGTTTCTCGTATGCATCGATGTCCATTGTTTGGATTAAGCTCTTGGCTTTCTCAAGGTTCTCATCTGTACTCAATTTCTCTTTCGTCATCCATATATATCTGCATTTCGGATTTGTCAGAATTTGGAATGCGACCAATTTTGCGGAAAGTCCCCACATTCTGCTGGCAAAGATCTTTGTCATGAGCTTGAGGCTGCCATCTGTATCTCCTGAGTGCATGAGATAGAGTCCTTGAACGAAAATGAAGTTGGAAGAAGTGTTTTGGAAATTAACAAAAGGTTTTGCAAGATCTAGTTTTCCTGCACGTGCGCAAATCTCTATAAGACGAATTGCAGCACGAGAATAGTTAGGATGTTCTTGTAAAACCGTTCTAAGGCAATTTATCAGTTCATCATATTCTCTGATGTCCAAAGATGTGACCAATAGTGCTATATTCTCGCGATCTGTGTTCTTCATGATGTGATCAGATACAATGGAGAGACATTTCTGATAATTATTTCTTGACCTGTAAAATTTGAACAATTCCATGACTGCATCTGAGTTCATTGGCCATATTTCGAGTGAATCGTTATAAAAATTGATTGCTTCTTCATCCCTGCCTTGCAATGAAATGACTTTTCCTAAATAAAAAGCCGCTTTTGAGGCCATTTCGTTGACAGCATTGACAAAACAGTTATGTATGTTCTTGGGAATAAAAGCTTTGTAGATTGCAAGAGCTTTGATGTAACTTAATTCGGATTTTTCAAATTCTGAACATTTCATTGCTGTGAAACCGATTAATTCATGGTATTCAGCAGCCAATAATTGCATTTTATCCTTCAAAGAGTTCGCAGATTCAAGGCATTGAAGAGCTTGTTTGTATCTCTTCATTCTAATGAGAAGTTTAACGAAGAACAAGGTATCTTTGAATGTTGTTGAGCTTGTTTTCTTATAATTTTCAATGGCTTTTTCATATCTGTGAGCATTAAACAAAGTTTTGATATATGTTGGGGCAATTGATTGATCTTCTTTAAGAACGAATTCATATGCCTCTGCCGCTTTATCAAATAGCAATAATTTTGAGTAAGCGTTGCCTAACAAAGAATAATTTCTTGTTGTTGGATTTTTCTTGCAAAGTTCTTCGAATAGCTTGATGTACTGGCCTTCATCCTTCATGTAGTAATAATAAATATCAGCTTTACATAACAAAGCCTTCTCTGCGTACTTTTCATGTCCTTCTAATTTTTCTAATTGGGCAAATGCTTTATCGTACATCTGTTTCGAAGCGAAAACATAACTTTGTCTCAAAAGAACTTCCACTTTGTCTCTTCCTTTTATTATTTTTGAGATACATAATTTTGTAATTTTCGCTGCTATGTTGTATTCGCCTATTTTGAGGCAGATATCGACAAAGTCCAATAAGAAATGTAAATCTATACCTTCACTTTGTCTTTCAAAAAGATCTGAAACTTTCATTGCGGCGTTATGGCCATTTCCCTTCGCAACTTCACATTTTAGCCATATTAGATTGAAATGTGGGGTCTGCGCTATGGTTGGCTTGTAAGCAATGCTTTCTTTTATGCATTTTTGGGCAAATTTCATTTGATCTGTTTGAATATAAGCAATTGCTGCGTAGCTAAGGCACCATTCCTTCTTGTATTGCCAGTCGCTGATCATTATGTACCTTGCAAGGTCAATTGCTTTTTCATATTTCTCATCTTGCACTAAACTGACCAAAAAAACATATTTGAATGGGCTGAGTCCAGGAACAAGCTTGATTACTTTCGAAATTTTGTCTGAATACCCCTTTCCGTAGTTTTTAATAACTAATTCAATGAAAACATCAGTAACTGAGTCGAATCTGAACGCTATGTACTTGTCAAAGGCATTTTCGACGATGGATTCGAGGTCATTTGCGAAAACCGATTTTCCATTTTTAAAATTTTCGTTTTTTTGCAAAATTTTTTCGAGAAGAAGGTCGAAATCCATGTCAACATTATTTACTTTCTTCAATGCATACATCTTCAAAGCGTCAATTGAGAAATCCAAGTCATCAGGTAAGAAATCAATTTGATCTCGAACTTCTGAGAATCTGTTTGAATCTACTGTAATCCTTAGCTGCGCTTCGATGCCAAATGATGAGATAGGATCGAGGAAAAGTCCTTTGTTGATTGAATTTATGGCAGAAAAATAATTTCCTGTTGCAATTTGAAAATGTCCGAGAATAAACAAAGGAAGTGCAATTCCTGGATGTGTATCAGCTGTAAATGTTACGAGAGGTAGTAATCTTGAAGCAATTAATGAATTTCGACATGAAACTGAATAAAAAAGAAAACATATTGCATTTTGTAGTTTCCAATTGAATCTTTCGTATATATGCATCTGTTTAATAACTCTATCTATTTTACGTAATGCAAATTCGAATTTTGCGTCGATAGTAATTGAATATATCACTTTGTAGATATTACATTCAAGATTTGATATTGTAGTACCGCGAGATCTGTTTATATGTTTTAAAAGAGCTTCGTAATTTGTTGTAAACAAGGTACATCTGATTTGTTCGAGAACAATTTCGGGAAATTGATATGTTGACTCGATTTTATAAAAGTATTCCGCTGAATCAGCAAATTTATCTAAGTAGTATGAGGCTAATGCCTTTCCATAATATGTCATGCAATTTGGGCCTTTAAGTTTCTCTAAAGCAGAGTTAAAGTAGTCAAGACTCTCTTGTATCTTATCCCTGAAGAATGATAACCACCCTTTATACGCAATAAACTCTGGTTCTGTAGAATCTCCAATAATTTCTTCGCAAAGGTCGAACTCATGAAATATTAACGCAATAAATATTGATGATAGTCTAGAGAACGTATTTGCCTGGCTAATTTTTTGCTCGCATTCGTATTTCAGCAGTTGATACGATTCTGATTTTTGGTCGGGAGATGTTTTAGTAATTACGTATTGATTAACAAGATAGAGGAGCTCTAAATCCTGTCTACAATCGAGTACTTTTATAGAATCGAGAGAATTGATTGTTGGTTTTTGAATATGAGTTGCAAGTGTTGCCCACATTGCTATAAACAGGTCATTTTGGTTAGTTTGTTGCATTTTCTCGCATAAAGCAACCACATGGCCAAAAAAACCGTGTCTCCAGTAGTAGAAAACCCGCTCCTGGAGGCAGCTCATTCAATTTCTAAAATTTTCAAAAATCGGATGTACTGAGAAATAATATTACCCATTCGATTGTTCATATTTTTCCTTTAATTCAGTTTTCTGTAGGATCTTTTCAATTTTTTTCTAAACGTCAAATTTCAATTAGTCCGAGTTTCAGATTGAAAAATTGATTTTGTTTTTTTACAATTTTTCGCACCTTTTCACATTTTAGTTCTTTAATAGAAGTGATGATTCCCTTTGTAGAAACTATTTTCCAATACAAGGAGGTTATCCTTAAAGTTAGGAAATGGATATCCAGTTCATCTGCAAATCTTATTTATCATGGTATAAATATCGACTTACTCCTCTTTGTTCTGCCAAATCACTTAACTATAAAGAAATATCATGGTTTCTTGTATCAATTGATCCCACTACCGAAGAAAATGAATGATAGTACAAAATTCTGTAATTGCAGATAGAAAAGTAGTTGTGGTAGTTATTTCATAGATTCATGTTCCATCAAAGAATGGTCAAACCTATAAAGAAGAAAGAAGAAGACTGTAACACTAACTCTGACGAAATCTAATATTTAGCTCGTCATTAATAAGATGTGTGCTTCATGTATAAAAGGTATATTCTTTTGATTTCTTTTTAATAATACCCAGATTTTCCTTACTTTTACCACCCCTCTAAAGCTGGGGACACCGCCTATCGTTGGGAGTAGCTATTAAATAGAACCACCAAGGGTATTTTTCGAACTGCCGGTGTGGTGTAATCGAAACATCTGATATAGTGATTCATTATGCCAAAGCTTGATTCCCATTTAGATAATTTTTTTCTTTTTTGGATCATGAATTTTTTTTTGGGTCACTATAAGATTTGTTTCATGTTCTAAATCTGCTGCATATGTAATCTATTTTTATTTACCTATTTTTTAAAAATCTATTGGATTGCCAAATTTGAATATATTTAAAATCATAAAACTCCAAAAAAACTATAAATATATGTTTTATGCATAGTGCCGATACTCAAATATCAGATTACTTAGATCCATGAATAATATCCGAATTTTTTTCTTAAAATTAAACTTCAAAACTTCTTCCAATCTTATTCTTCAACAATTGTAAATTTTTAAAACCATTTTTAAAAATAATTTTGCGTAAATTTTATTCTCATGTTGTTTTAATCGAAAATTGATACATTTTCAAAAAAATAATATTGACTTATGAAATTCATTTTTAAGGTGAAATAGTATTGTTTTTATTAAAGTATATGAATAATATATAAAAAATTAATGAATAATATAAGCAGATTTTTAGTTTACAAAACAAATATGAGCAATGCAATTTCAAACTTTTGCTGGCAATTTCGATATTGCTCAAGTTTGTAGTATTTGTGATACCTATAACATCGGCTTAATCAAAATTCGATTTTTCTTATGAGTTATTGAGAAAATTTGATTGCAATGAGAAGGATTTCGACGTTTTTGATAAACTAAGAGCTGAGCTTTAGGGGTTCAGTTCATTTATGGCTGTAGTTTGATGCGTAGATCTCTTTTTTATTGTAAATTCTTTCAGCATGGAGATCGAGAATGAATCTTTTGAGAACTTTATGAGTTTTTACACCCGTAAAGAGGTCCTTCGAGGAAAGATAGTCCAGAATACATGAAGATGTGGGTTAACCAAAAAATCCGATGGTTTCCCCATATTCATGTAGATCTTCGAAAAAATGAGCACCAAAAAAGCCAAAAAAATAGGCTTTTTATTGGATTTGTACACTAGATCAATAACCTATTTAGGATCTGACACTCTTTTTAGCCAGAGATATGAGGTCCTTTCTAGGAAAACGATCTATTCATCCATAAAAAAAATGAATTATCGTTTTCCCCAGAAATTACATGGGGAGTGGTAAAAGTAAGGAAAATCTGGGTAAAACAATATCTACTATCATTTTATTCTAATTTGAATTTCTTTTATACAAGAAAGAGAATGTTCTTATTTACAAATAAGAAATGCTAAAATCATACTTCAAGCCTTTATAATTCCTTTTGTGTCACTTTTCAAAATGCTGTTAAAAAAGGAAGTCTATCTTATAGGCATGGCTTTATCTGCTATTGTTTTTCTTGCCTCGACATTAGTTTCTGTTTCAAATACTGCCATTCTTTCGCATGATCATTGCGATTCTTTACCAGATATCCAATTTCTTAACAGATCTGAAGTTCATACAGAATTAAATGCTGCGTTTAGTAATGCCAAAGAATCAATAACTATTATTTTAACGTCATATATTCTCGATGAAGAGTTACAACTTTTGAAAACCATTGATCAAAATAAAATCAAGACAGAAGTCATTTTAGGCAACGACGATAATCTAGAATCAAAACTAAGAGACAACGGATTCAAAAATTTAGTTAAACCAGGTTCTATTAAAAATACTCTTGATTTAAACGCAATTCGTGTCGATAATACCATATATTTACTACCAGATTATTTCATTGGAAACAAAACCGAAGGAATTCCTTCTACATCTATGATACAAAGGATAAAAATTGAAAATTGCCAACCATTATACGACGATTTCATTTCTTTTCTCGATTTTTACAAGTTACAAATCGAAGGATCAAGTAGATACAAAGAATCCTACAGCCAATCATTAATTGCTCATTCATCTGCAGTAAGACCAACAATTGTCGGTGAATCTTCAGTTTACGCGTTCCATTCATCGATGTCGCAGATGCCATTTAGGATTAGTGCCCATGACGTAATCAACAGATCCCTAAATACTGATATTGACGCTGTTCCAAAAAAATTATGGTTATATTCAACACAATTCCCTAGTATTCCACAAGAAGAGCGTATTAAAAACATAGGAAGCCCAGATGTATTCCTTCTCCTCAAAGCCCTTCAATTTCTCAATCAAACTGACATGAAATACTTAATTTTCAAAGATGCGCCAAGATTAGTAGGCGCTGATGACTATCCGAGTGTAGAAGTAAGAACACTAAGCTCTGAGAACAATGGCCCTTCATTTATGGTCTTGGATGATGAAATTTTCTTCTTCGGACACGATATCAGTTATATTGAAGGAGATTTGCTATCGTACAACCTCAGAATTAACGATAAAACAATACAAAACAAGACAATTGAATTCTTTAACTCAATTTGGGCGAAAAGTCCTCATATTAACAAAAGTGATTAATTTGTTTCTTAAAAATGTAAATACTGTTGCATGCTAAGTAGTGTCAACGATAGAAATTGAGAGCCTATTAATCGTCGAGGAAGTACGATTATTTTTTGGGCGAAAAAGTATCTTAAAATATGATTATTAATATGTTTTTAAAATAAAAAATTTGAAAGTTAATTTGAGATTCTCATATAATTTTTTGAATGAAAAAAATAAATATAGTCTATATGAGTTTTTGAATAATCACACTTGAGATATATCTAAAAAATAATTAAAAATAGAGTTTGAGAAGACTTTTCAAGGTGTAATGAAAAGTGTGATATAGAAAATAATTATAGATATTTTAATTTTATATATTGTGCTAAGCATTATATTAAATTTTTAGGAAAAACACTTTTCAGAGGTAGGGCAACGATAGGTCAAAAAGGCTTCTCTGATAGATTTCCTTGCCTTTTGGATATGCTATAATATATAGCCTAGCATGATAGGATATGATGTCAAAAGTTAGAACATAACTTAGGATCTTGAGAAAAATGAAAAACAAAAATTACATAAAAAAAGAAAAAATTTATCTAATTTGTTTTTTTGGACCGAATAAGTAATTTTATTGAATTTCAATACGACACATAGATTTTATTATTAGTACTAAATATAATGGTTTACTATTAACAAGGAACCTAAACTAATGAAAATTTGATTTCAAATATTGTATATGATTATCATAGATTACCAAAATATATTGCTATTTATGAGGATATAATATTGATTATTAGTAAATCGTATAAATTTAATAAATATACCATGAATATTGAATGAATTTCTTGATTCATAGGGGTAAAACGCGCTTTTATATGATTTAGACAGAGAATTTATGAGATGTAAATAACACAATAAAGGTTTATATTGAATATTTTCTAAAAATAAATCGAAATTATAAAAAACAATACATTTATTCATTGAAACTACTTGGACAAATATGAAACAAGCATTCAGGCAATTCTTTTGAGACTTCAACGCATCTGATAATTTTTATATAACTTCACCTCTTATGCTTAGAGTGGAGGTATTGAGATCGTATAAGTATAGATGAGCTCACATTCAGATATGATGTGTGAACTTCTGTTTTCACTGCAATTTTGAATCAGAATAAACTCAAAACAAGAATAAAATGATATACTCACTCTCTAAATGTGTTCGAGATTTAAAGTTGTATGAATAAAACGATTCATCTTTCGAAGCCTCCATTTAATGAGAGACTTCGAAAGATGAATGTATTCATGTAGATGAAATACTATATATGACCATGTGTGATACTAAAGATATCAAAATGTTCATTTTTAAGTGCAATAGAAGGGTTATCTCTCGTAAAATCTCAATTTAAGGAAGATTTAGAAAGAACTCCTTTCCTAAGTAGATAGTGTGTGGTTTCTGTCTTTTGGTTGATCAGGAACTATGAAATTAAGTCGGACAGAAAGAAGTTCTTTCCAAAACAGACTCAAAATGAGTTGTTCGAAAAGAACTTCCTTCTGTATATGGATAATTGTAGTTACCGCACTGAAGTATGTGATTGTGATGATGGAGTTCTCGATAAATCTAAAATCGGATTAAGATTAATTGAAAACTCAAGTAATTCTTTGAAATCTTGTGTTGTCTGGCACTATAATAACCAAAGAATGAGAATATTATGTTGAATGATGAGTACGTGTGCTCGGCATTCGCCGAGCGAATTGAGTTTAACGTACTATGAAAAGTGACAAATTTGGGCTTTTTTTCCTAGGGTTATGATCTCTTCCTTTCTGCTCAATACGACAGAAATGAAAGAATGAATTTGTACTCCCTAATTGATTACTACAATCTGTATCTATCTTTAACATAGAATTAGCTGCATTGTGATTTATACTCCAGAATTATTCAATTTAAGATATCAACCTCGTAAATTTTAATCATATTGCACCAATTCTCCTACGTTGAGATAAGAACATGATTATACATACCAAAGCCCCATATTAAAATCAAAATTTAGCACCTCCATTATGCAACCACATTATTCGTCGCAAATAAGTATATTTACGCATATTATGATGCATATTCACACAACTCGTATACATGAAAAGTTATTAAAATCAGACAAAATTATTGCAATAAGGAAAAAAAAACAACTTTATTATATATGTTAGTAATGAATTACAAATATTTCTACAAAGAATGCTCAATACTTCATATAATCTTCGAATATTTCTTATTACAAGTTAATACATTTTGACTCGAACATGATAAACAAAAGCTGACACGCTGATTACTACATTTATGAAAATATAGTACGTTTCCATTCATCTGTTTACTTGTTTTTGTTGGAATAAAATCATTTTTTTTTTCTTTCATGAAATAAGAATTTTGCTGCGAAAGCAATATCTCTAACAATAATTAATACATTACGTCAACTCTGGAATGAGTATTTATCAAATATGATATCAAAATCAAAAATTAGTTGTTTTTTATGAGTAAAAACGATGTAAATTGATTATTTGACTAATTATCAAATACTTTGATTTTCCAAATTTTTTTCGAAATTGATTTTTTCATGTGAAAATTCAAATTGTTTAATTTCATTTTTGAAATTTTGAATTTTTTTTGGAATTTTGAGTTGATCAATTCAGCAGAATTGATAATGCTATTGCTTTAGGGCATACCACAAGGTGATGAATAAAAGGTGAACATTAACAAATTATTTTAAATCACAAATATCATCCTCATCAACTTTAATTCTAAAAAGAACTGTACTGAATTATGAAAATGCATGATTTACATTATTAAAATCTTTGAATGAAAATAGTACAAGATAAGTTTTTATTCATTTTTAATTAGATTTAAACGAAAAACTACTCCATATTAAAATTTAAGTCGAGAAATCGTATTTTGTTCTTATTTGTTAGCATTTTGTAGACATTCTAATCTTGAATTAATTTGTTACATGATATTATTAACAAATTTAACTGAAAAAATATGTTAATATGGAATAAACCATGATTATATAAGCTATCAATGCTATATATACATATGTAAAAGATTCATATTAACTCAATTAACAAAAATGATAGATTTTCATAAAGGTTCAATCTAGGTTCGTCCGAAAATTTTGATTTTTATATAGAAGACATAGTTTCATATACATAATTAAATTTTCAAACAAATTTGATCATACCATTTATTAAGCAGGATAGTATATTAATTACTATCAGTATAAAAATATAAAAATGATTATATTTAATTATTGCATAATTTAGTCAAAGAGTTATAAGCCTCAAGTGATCGTTATCACCTTCAATGCACGTATACTTTATTGATTCATAGATATTTAATCTATGTTTGACATGTTGTTGTCGTCATTCGTTTTGTTCCATTCTTCCTAAGTTAAAATTAGAGAATACACCATCCACATCATCTAATTTGGTCCTCAGCGATAGATTGGTTCATTTTGGAGGAGTCCCATCAGACAGTTTTCGAGCACCAAATATCAAATTTTAATGTATACAAATCTTTAGTGATTTATCTCTTTTATGATGAGTAAAAGGTTTCTGCTCATCAACATTTGATTTCCGACATATATGATTTCTAATTGCAATTATTTACTTTCTTTTTATAATCTAACTCTGTGACTCATACCATAAATTAATTATTGGAAAGTGTCAATATGTTTGGCACAACGCATGGCGGAAGATACCAAACCATGCAGGGAATATGATACGTTTAAGATCTCCGAACTTTTTTTCCAAAAATTTTCTATCGTTGCCCTACCTCTCACTTTTCATAAGTATTCAATATTTGAAAATACGCTCCAAAAAAGAATAGATTCTTTTATATTCGCTTATATAAAAGGAGACTCTCTATCAGATGCGAATGCCTGAATTCAGCACCTCTGATAGAGAGTTTCCTCTTATATAAGCGGATCTTTTTCATGAGTTATTGTTAATATAAAAACATAAAAAGCTACCAATATGAGAAATTAAACCCTGCGAGGTGCCAGTTCTAGACTGGCACCTCGCAGGGTTTAATTTCTCTTGACAAAATACAATAATCAAATGCTCCAAAGTTTTCAAATTTTTATTAGGAATAGGAGCCTACAAAGCACTGATTATATATCAGTGCTGGTAGGCTCCTATTCCTTCTCTCAATGGGAGAAACTTTGTTTGAATAAGATAACATGCGAACAAAGTTTCTCCCATTTAGAGTGGGATTTGGAGGGTGGGAGGTACATAGATAGACTATGTATCTCTCACCCTCCAATTCCCTCGGGAAAGTTCGAAAACTTTGGTGCAATCAGCAACGATTGCACCAAAGTTTTTGCGTTTAATTGAAGGAATTGCTCTTTATGATATATACAGTTACAATGCATATATCATAAGGAGCAATTCCTTCCAGATATCTGGCAAACTTGCTCGCAATGGTTCACAATTGCGAACAAGTTTTGTCATTTGTCAAGAGAAATTAAACCCTGCGAGGTGCCAGTCTAGAACTGGCACTTCGCAGGGTTTAATTTCTCATATTGGTAGCTTTTTATGTTTTTATATTAACAATAACTCATGAAAAAGATCCGCTTATATAAGAGGAAACTCTCTATCAGAGGTGCTGAATTCAGGCATTCGCATCTGATAGAGAGTCTCCTTTTATATAAGCGAATATAAAAGAATCTATTCTTTTTTGGAGCGTATTTTCAAATATTGAATACTTATGAAAAGTGTTTTTTTCTAAAAATCTCAGAATATATTTACAATAGTAAAATAAATAAGATATTTAAATTTATTTTTAAATGCTTTTTTTTATATGAGATTCTCAAAAGTTATATCAAAAGTCTGTTTTTTCTAAAATCTAATATCATAATCTATTTCTCATTTTAAGTACATCTTAATTCATTTTATTTTCTATATTTTTTCAATATTTTTGAGGGAATTGTGTTGCTTCCCCGACGATAAAATTGAGAGGTTTACACATTGACACTACTTAGCATGCAACAATACTGTTTGATTTAATTATAATCTAATCTATTTTTAATGTTAGATTCTGGAAGATATTTTATGAAAAATTTTATAGTCGAAAAAGTCAAAAACAAATTATATGAAATTTTTTCATATCCTAATATAAACAATTATGACGGGAAAATAAAGAATTATTGAAAAAGGATAATAATGAAATAGAATATATAAACTTTACCTGTTTAAATATCTAATCCGAATGTAATCAAAAAATCAAAAGGTTTATTATCAAATATAATACGGGAAAGGAGGGGAGTATTTATCCGCAAATTGGTGAATTGCTACCAGCAAGTGGTGATTCACCATCAGCTGGGGCTTCACCTTCTGTAATCTGTGCATTGTATGGAACTGTTGTTGGCTGTTCTTCTTGTTTCTGTTCGTTGCCGTTTTTCATTGCCCAATCTGCTGAATCGAAAAACTTTACACCACCACGGCGATTACGAGCCTTTGGATTTGCTTTTAATTTACCATAGCCTGAACTCTGCTCTTCTTGAGCAGGTGCCTCTGAGCCTGGTGCCAGGAAAGACATTAAAAAATGGCCAAACCGTCAACTTAATTTTTTATCGGTGATTTATAATTATTTTCTGCTTAGATTTATATGCGTAATTTGGATCCTTGAACTATAAAATTTTTTTCTGACAATATGCAACTCCACCTCATTTTTTTTTTCAAAGTTCTTGTCCAATATTTTATTTCGCCTAATATGTTTCCCATGTATATTTGTATGACAAATGATCAAAAATTTGTTTTGATCAGGCCGATTTTTTGTGTTCATCAATTTTTTGTTTGCCAATTTTGGATACCTTGAAATCTACTCAATTAATCAATCGTAGATATGTTATCATAGTTCAATATAATTACGATGAGATGATTTCCATTCATTCTGATTGATTTTCAAGAAAAATTTTTCAAATTTTCATTTCAAGTTGAATTTCAAAGAATTTTGTTGAATTATGTAAAATCGTGGTATATAAATACGCATTTTTGTATCGGACAAAATGCATTTCAAATAAAAAATCAAATGAGATAATTTTATCATAAGCAATTTCCAGATCATATTATAGTTCATTAATTTCAGCGAAAGAATGTCAAATAAATTTTATTGTTTCAATGCTCTGAAACTTGATATTTTACAGGGTTTTAGAGGAAAATTTGCACGTTTTTTATAAAATTTGTCACTTTTTGTTGAAATTGTTTACAAAGAATGGATGATTTAGAACAAATTCTTCGCCTGACTGACATATCATGTGATGGTGAAGCAGTTGAATATAACAAGAACGGCAATCCATTCATCACTGTATCAAGGAACACTAAAGCAGAAACGCGAGAAAGTAGAAACAACAGATTATCTCGTGAACAGCTTGAATTATCTCAAAGATCACTTGAAGAGCGAGCTGAACAAACTCGTGTGCGTGTTCCTGTCTTAATTACACCAGCTACTTCCGCTCATCAAAGTCGTGCAAATTCTCGTGCAACTTCTGCTGCGTCAAAATCATTAAATTCAGTCACTATGAACCAAGTGAAAGCAAGAACTAAAACAATGCCTGAAAAAATGTATCAAATGCGTCAAGTTTATTTAACTCAGTTATTAATCAATAAAAAGCAGCATGACATCGCAAAATTGCATAGAATACAGGTTAATACGGAAGCTCAAGTCATCAAAGATGAACAAGATTGCGCAGATGAAGCAAATGAATATAAAATTTCAATGAATAAACTTCAGGCTGCACTTTCTAAGAGCAGGAAGCAAGCAGCAGAGAACTCTGCGATGTATTCTACTCTAAACAAAGAGCTAATTCAATTACAAGCAAGTGTAAATACAAAAACCTCAATTATCTCCAAAAACGAGGAAATTTTGGAGACTTACCAAGAGTGCGAAAAGTTTTTGAAGGGATTTCTTAATGAAGGATATAATAATATTTTTGAATATTTCAATCACCCTTCTGTCCTTGTTGACGAGCTTGATCTTCTTCAGAGTGAGACTCTCAATCTCGTGAAGTGCTACAATCATTACGTTGAAGCTCAGGGAGTCATAAATGAAAAAGTTCAGAAAAAAGCCAGCCAACAAGAGCAAGAAGAGAAAGATATAACAGCCTCTGAGAACAAGCCACGTGAATTAGAGTCCAGGGACTACAATGGAACAGAGGCTGCGAAGAAAAATGATTCATTAGATCAAGAAATCGCCAAATTAAAGCAATTGGTTACTGATACTTATGTAGCTTGTTTTGGAAGCAAGCCTGATATCAGTCCCATGAATATGCTTGAAAAAATCGAGTCTTCTCTCGAAAGTATGATCAAAATTGAAGATACTGTTTCCTCTGACATCCTTTCTGAGATCAAAACGAAGAAGGATGAAGAACGTAAGCTTAAAGAACGTTTGGATGGCCAGGAAAAGCGTCGTCTTGAACAATTGCGAAAAGTTGAACAAGCTTTGCAGAGAGCGAACAAATCTATTCCAAAGCATGATAAGAAGCGTTCCATTGAGCGTATGCTTCCTTACAAGCTTGTTACAAAGCACCGCAACCAATCTGATATTCTTGCCGCCCAACAAGAAAAAGAGAATGCTCTTCTCTTTGGCCCACCCGAGTAAATTTTGTTTGTATGTGTTTTTTCCAATTAATTTAACTTTTTTCAAAATATCTTTTTATTCCTCCAAAATTACTGCTATGCTATATATGAATCATTAGTCGCACTAAGATCTAAAGGTTTGTATGTGTTTTTTCCAATTAATTTAACTTTTTTCAAAATATCTTTTTAATAATGCAAAATGACTGCTATGTTATATATGAATCATTAATAGCACTAAGATACAAAGGGTTGTATGTGCTTTTTCCAATTAATTTAACTTTTTTCAAAATATCTTTTTAATAATGCAAAATGACTGCTATGCTATATATGAATCATTAATTGCACTAAGATCTAAATGTGTCAAATTACTTGTTAATGAATTAAATCTCATAATTCAAAATAAAATTTCAAAAACCTTTGATTTTTAGATTGATTATTTAATGATTCAAAAGTACATTTGATACGTATTTTCTTTTTGCTGATATCAAATCCATGTCCTTTTCACTAAAATCTTGTAAATTTTCCTATCGTCGCAGGAGCACAATATGGAATCATTACCAAAGCCACAAGATATATTTGATACGTTACTCATTGTCAATGCAGCTAAAAAGGTTAAAGCTGATGATGCTGAATATGTTTCTGGTATTTTAAAGCAGGCTTTTGGTAAGAAAATACTTGAAATTCATGTAATTGATGCCCAAAAGCTTGTTTTTGGAATCAATTTCGACCAGGCAGAAGATATTTCATCAAAAGTAATTAGAGGTCCTCATCCAAAAGCAGAAGATGCACCAGATTTTGTAAAGTTTTGGAATAACAAGTCAACAATTCACAGATTTACAGATGGTTCACTTGCAGAAGGTATCGATTTGAAGACAGACAATCCTGTTATTGAAACTGCGCAGTTAGCACTTCAAATTCACTACGATCCAAAAGTTTCTATAGAACTTGCGAACCGTGACATCAATTCAATATTCGAGATAGGTGGCAAAGAACTTCCACAAGCAGATCCACAGTCAGCATTCGACGAACTCACTACAAAACTCATAACTCTTCAAGATTTAACAATTTCTATTTCAAACGTCATCCCAACTTCCCCATTCTTGAGAAAAACCGCCGTATTCCCTTACTCACTCGTTTCCGAGAAGTCTGATTACAATTCTTTGGCTCCAGAAGTTATCAAAATTATTATTAAGCTCGAAGGCTTCTCAGCCTGGCCAACACGTCAAAGAGAAGTTGTACCATTCAAAGTTGCAGCGTTTCTCGCAATTTCAAAGGCTTTGGCCAAATTAAATATTGAATCAAGAACTACGCCAACTGGCATCGAAATACTGTTCCGCGGATACGTGTTTAGTGCTGTAGGTATCCACAACAACGAATTGAGTGATTTTGAAGGCACAGTTTATGGAAAACAATTAGAACAACTAGAACGCGTTGATCGTTTACAACACGCGAATGTTTTAGCCATGTCAAACAAATACAACTCATTTTCCATTGCTGTACGTGCTGCAATTCGTTGGATGCGCTGCAAATGCGTTGCATCCGAATTATTTACGAGCGAAGCCATCGAACTCTTAATGATTTATATCTACGAGAACACAATACCACCAAAATTTGCGTTTACAGCCTTCGCAAGGTTCCTTTCCCTTTTATCTCATCTTGATGACAGTCATCAGAACGTTTTCTCCATTTTGGAGGCTTCTCCTGACCTGGCCCATGATGACAAGCGTCTTCTGATCGTAGCTGCACCGCACTGCAGGAAATCTGAGTACACATCTCGTGGTCCATCTCAATCTGTCATCAAATACATCAGAGCAGCGGCCAGGGACAGTCTAAAGACAATTGTCGAGAGGGAACTGAAGATTTCACAGCATCAGGCAACGCTAGAAAAGGTTTTCGGAACTCCAACAAACAAATGGAACTTTGTCATCAAAGTAAACCACAAGGAAAGGCCATTCGCGGGTAGAGTAATATTCTCTAAGCAGAATTTCCATGGTAAATACGATGTAAGAGGAAGTGGAGTCGCTCCGAAATTAGATTCTTTAATGCCAGGCTTTGATCCTGTTCACATGCTTGTAGAAGAGATTGCTGAGAGATATGGATCTGTCCTCTCTATCTGGTATAACGAATTCGGCGGTCCTTCAATAGGTTTGTCTTTATCTGAGGACACATTAAATAAAGAGCTGCCTTTGGAGCCACAAAACATGAATAGCGCCAAACTAAGTGAGTCAGGAAAGCTGAAACTAGATGTAGAAGACGTAATGCAACAAATCCGAATTATTGGTGGAGAAATTATTAAATCTCTTGACCATAAGTTATGAAATATTTTATTATTTGAACAATAGAGTAATATAGAGTTGGAATTTTTTTATTTATAAAGATTTATACTTTTTAATTTAATTCTTAATTTAACTTTGAAGAATAGAGTAATATAGAGTTTGAATTTCTTCATTTTTGAAGAATAGAGTAATATAGAGTTTGAATTTCTTCATTTTTGAAGAATAGAGTAATACAGAGTTTGAATTTCTTCATTTTTGAAGAATAGAGTAATACAGAGTTTGAATTTCTTCATTTTTGAAGAAAAGAGTAATACAGAGTTTGAATTTCTTCATTTTTGAAGAATAGAGTAATACAGAGTTTGAATTTCTTCATTTTTGAAGAATAGAGTAATACAGAGTTTGAATTTCTTCATTTTTGAAGAAAAGAGTAATACAGAGTTTGAATTTCTTCATTTTTGAAAAGATTTTATTTAACAACAAAAAGATAGTTTATATTTGGCTGGAGTAATGACTTAAATCAGAGTGTTTTATGTTCTAAAGCCATTTTTTGTAAATTAAAAAAAATGGGAAAAAATATTGGATGAATTCAGTATTTAACTTTGTATTAAGCTACCAAGTCCTTAATGACGGAAATGGGTTCTGAAATATCTGGTTTCCTAAGAACTTGGATTTGTGGATCAAAGTTTTCTTGACTTTTATAGTTATTTTTATCACCCATTGTTTTTTCGATATTCGAATTATTTGATTTGATTGCTGCTTCGAGAGAATCTCTAAATGCTTCATTATCTTTTTGAATGGTTTTCTTTTTATAATTTGATAGTAGTTCCTTAAATTTGCTTTCATCTAAGTGTTCTATAATTTCTTTATGACTTGGAATTTCTGTAGGATTTTGATTTTCGTTTGGTTTGTTATGCAACATTTGTGTTAGTAATTTTTTACCTGATGTTTTTGTTGGTTTGTCTTCAACAAAACCTAATGATTTGCATTTTTCGACATTCCATTTGTTAAAATCTTTGGTCAGCTCTCCTATTTTAACTGCTTCAGAAACTAATTGTTCCATTTTGATTGATTCAATGCCTGTTTGAGAATCTGTACTTGGCACTGGATTAGAATCTGAACTAGACATCAAAAAAGTAAAGTGTTGGAAAATTAATTAAATTTGAAAAAAAAAATTGACAATTTTATCGAAAATTTTCATCTCTTTGAATATATCTGTTAAAAATTTATGGAACAAAGATCTGTGTGATGCATTTTCCAAGGTTCAGCCGAACACAAGATCCGCATTGGAAACAATGCATTATTAACAGTCAGATGTTCAACGTTTAATAGTATTGCTGCAACTCAAACTCTTGTATATTCAAACTCAGCAGTAATCTATCATTACTGTATCAAGAGCACAGCCAATGCATCATCGAAAGGCTCTATAGTTTCCCGTAGCGGTTCTATGTATAATGTTATATACAATAATATCACCTCATCATAAATGCCTTCAATCCATATGAATACTCACTAAAATATAGTTTTATTTATCAAAATTAACTTTTGATTTTGTTTGCGTTCATTATACACCTAGAAAACATTGAATTTGTAATTAGTTGATTTTTTTATTCGTATCAATGTATTAATATTAATATAAATCACTGAATACAATATAAAAATTTGTTTATTTCATATCAATGAATCACAAATACAATCATATGGAATTAAAAGTTTAATTTCTTCGATAGAATAGTTCCTCCAACGCGATATGACTTATCGAAGTCAATAACATATAATGGGAACTTTGATTCAAACTCTTTCAGCAAGTCTGACTTTTCAAACCACATGAAATCGATTTCAAATCTTACTTTTCCTGTTGATTTGACTGAAATGTTGAAAGGAGCACTAAACGGAGAATATTTGAATAATACAGAATAATCTGTGAAATATGAAACGTTATCAAACCCGCTGATACTCTTAATGCAGTGAGATTCTTCGCATTTTCCAAAAATGTAAAGAATATCTGCTTTTTGATCATTGTTTGGAATACTTAAATCAAAACCATCAGAGTTCTGAGTTAAATTGTAATCCGGCCATTTAGCAATGAAGTTTGGCAAACTAACATTATCATGCTTAACATAAAGAGCTTCTTTATCAAACAAACCAACAGAAAACTTCTCATCAAATTGTAAGCCATTTATTTGGACATTTTTCTGTAAAGTTTTAATTGGATTCTTTCCATTTTCAGGCATGAAATATACCTCGCTTGTAAGATTTTCATAGATATACTGTCCGAACCATCCTTTAACCTTGTATGTTGTGTTGTAAGGAGGATCAGTAACACAGAAATAAATAACAATACAAATCGGAATTATCAAGAAAAACAATCTGTATAAGATCATATCCTTATTCAAACCACAATTACAAATGGGTTCTTTTGGTTCATCATGATTAGATTTGTTAGATTTCTCTTCATTTTTATCACTTTTTTCATCTAGATTTTCATTATCATTTTCTTGATTTTCATTATCATTTTCTTTTTCTGGATTTTCTACATCTTTGTCATGATCTTTTGCGATGTTATCTAATTCGGCTTCTAAATCTTCCTCATTTGATCCTTTTGGAACAATAGTAAAACTCAAGTAACTGTAAAAGAATTTGACAGCAAACAAAAATGAAACTGAAAAAGGAGCAATTTCTCCCATCAAATTTCTCATATGAACTGTGTATCCGCATACAGCTCTAAACAATAATGTATAAACAAATATTGATGGAATCAAGAACATCAATTCCAAGAAGAATTTGATACCTCTATGGCAAAAATCATTTGAAACAAAAGAAATAGCTAATGTTGAACCAATCCAGAATATAACCAATGTGCAAAGGTCGAGCTTGATAACAATAAATCCAAAAATTACATCCAATAAGCATCTCGTCATTAAAATAGAGTTTTCAGATATATTAAAGAAACTTACAACAAAAGAATTAGTTAAATAAAAAATCAATGGCAGCAAAATTGCTGCTGCTGTCGGCATACTTCCATAACTTACTGGGTTAGCTTTCCAACAAATGAACATATAAATATAATAAATAATAATCGATATAATTAAAGAACAAATAATAAATAAGCCAATTAGCAAATCCCTTAAACTAAAATGGGGAATCATTGCAACAATTGTTAATATCATCATGATAATGAGCAAAGCTTGAGCCCATTTCAAGCTAATAACAGCAACAAAAGGAGAAACTCCAACTAATATTTTGTTGTCTTCTTTTTCATAAACTTTGAATTCATTCAAAAAATTCGTCAACAAATTTCCATGATATTTAATGTCATCTCTATTTTCCAATAAATCAAGATGGGTATGATAATGCGATGGATTTCCTGTGTATACTAATTCGGCACCTGTTACACCTAATTTCTCGTATGTCCTGAGATCAGAAGTTGACTTAATTAAATTAGTTTTCGCCAAATCATTGAAATAAGTAAAACCGATTGCGCCTTTTACTTTAGACCATGCTCTTACAACTGATTTAGAATTAAATGCTTTTGTCGTCATGACTAAAGGTCTTCCTGTAGCAATGACTTCCATGTTTAGTATATGGCCTTGCATAGTAAAGTTTGCTACATAAGCTGTGGAACCTTCTAATCCGTATTCTTCGCCACCAATGAATAGAAATTGGATGTTGAAATCAAATGATTTGTCACTTTTTGAGATTTGTTGAACGAGTTGTAGCATAACAGAAATACTAATAATATCATCATAATATGTTGGACCAACAGCGTGGCCATCAATATGAGCAGAAAAGTATAATGTTTTTGATTTATCGGAATTAAAGTCGAATTTGACGAGAATTGTTTTGATATATTGTCTAATACCGTTTAATCCTACTGCTTGATAATGATAAGCATCTGATTTGAAGAGTTGATACGTAAATTTAATTTTGCCAGATTCGTTGTATTTCCGTAGCTCTTCTAATATATAATCAACAGAAAATAATAAACAGCACCCTCGTATGATACAATAATTATTACACTGGCCTAAACAAAAATTAATGAATATCCATATCTCAAATTCCACTCAAAAAAACTTTTACTGGAAGGCAGAAATTTGGAACAAAGTTTCAAATTTCTCAAGCTTGCATTCTTGGCGCGTAAATGCCAAGAATGCTAAAATGTACGTAGCGCCGATGCTGAATTCACAATTAATATATTAAAATCGAATAGTTATTACATGCTTATGCATTATATCAATTTACTTAACCTCTAAATCTATAAAACATAAATGAGATAACATTGCAGATTTGTGCGCCCTTAAGTTAATTTTCTCAGTGAGAATACTGTTAATATTCACTGTATAAAGTCCTTTTTATCTTTAATACTTCTATATCAGTTAGTAACATTCTATACAAATCTTCGAACAATGTGAAAGAGATGTATCTGATAAGATATAAGATATATGTATTAAACATGTAATCCTGGCATGAGCTGTGCATCTTTATTGTCGTATTGTAATTAAAACTTGATCAAAATATTCATCTATGTATAGTTTGGATAGAGTTTTATGACAATCATGTCATGATGCTATTTCTTTTTAGTGAAAAAAGCAAATAATGTATTTCATTCTACGTAATACGATCATTTTTTATTCAAATTATCAAAAAATGGTGATCGATTAACATTTTAAGAATTTGGAATTGCAAATCCGAAATGAGTGCTGGAAGCCTCAGCATATATCAGTGTACCCGTATCATTCTTGCAATCAAACAATAATTCAGAAGATCAACGATAAAAACGATGACAAAAAAATCATATTTATGGAGAATACTCTCTTCCGCTGGGATAACCCATCCCAATCATGCTTCGATGCTGATGGTCGCATTCAACCACTTAACTGCAAGAAGGGTGAGTTATCAAACAGGATCATCACCGTTGGAGATCCGAACAGAGCTTTAAAGATTTCACAATCATTCGATAAGGACTTCCCGGTCATTGTTCGCAAGTCAAACATGCAGCTTACAACGTACACCGGCAAGAAGAACGGCGTTCTTATTTCTGTTGTTGGAACAGGAATGGGATTCACAATGGTCGACCTCTTAGTTACACAAGCACGTGCAATCCTTGAAGGACCAATCTATCTCATCAGATTCGGTACTTGTGGATCCTTACACGCTGATGTTCCAGTTGGCTGCTTCGCAATCTCGAACAAAGCTTACGGTATCCGCCAATCATACGAAAACGAAGAGTTCCCATATGAATTGTCCACAAAACCATTCATTATGGACGAAGATCTCATGAACCGCATTTACAAGGAATTCACAGAGTCAATGCCTCAATACAGAAGCGTCATCGGACCAGTCTGGTCAGCTGATACATTCTACGGATCTCAGGGACGCCAGGATTCCAACTTTATCTCTCATAATGAGAATGTTATTTCAAAGATTCTCGAAATTGAGCCAGAATCATTGAACTTTGAGATGGAAACTTACATCCTTGCCTTCCTTGGACATATGTTCCCACAGGCACAGCTCAGAGTTGGCGCTGTTTGCATCACTCTCGCACAACGTACTTCTGGTGCATTTTTGTCCAACGAAGAGAAGTATACAATGGAATGTACCGCTGCTGATGCACTCCTTAAGATTCTTAGTGATTTATAAAAACTTTCAAAATTATTTTAATAGAAGTCAATAAATGATAGCTTATTTTTACGATTTCATTCTTATTCTAATTGAATTACTTACATATTTCAATGTATATTATATATATACTTTCTCTTGAGTAGATTTTGAATTTAAAGCTCAAACTATTAGAAAAATAATGATTCTCATCCTTATCGAATTCATAATTTCCACATTTATCGAATGCATAGCAAATATGAATTACTTCAAATGAGATAGATAGCTATCTATATAGGATTTTTTTTCTTCCACTTCACATTCTCTGGCTCTTAACGAATAATGGTGAGTGTAAATTTGGATGTTTGAATTAATTTGCACAATACTTATTATGATAATAAAATCCAATCCCATATGTATTCTTCCTTATGCTATGCAAGTTCCTTCTTATCCGATTCATGTTTCAAACTTTTTAAATAATTTGATGAAAGACAAAATGTCAAAAATTGAATATCCAGATGAATGTACATTGAAACGAAATATTGCTCAGTATGATATAATAATATTTTTTTATTTATTTATTTAGTAAGATGTTTCCAGAAAATATGTGAAGAAGGATAACGTGAAGATTTGATACTTAATCGATTCTTGGAAACATGAACAATATGACATAAAATCATAAGTCTTCGAGGAATACCAGAAGACGCAATCATTTGAATATAATCAGGAGATATTCTCAATAATAACAGGGCATCGAATAGAATTGCAGTCATAGAATGCATCAATCTCAACATCTGAAACTGAACGTGGGAAATTGATGTATTTGAGATTGAAACAGTTGTAGAATGAATATTTTTCAATAATGGAAACTGTATCTGATATAATTTTGATATTATCAATGTTGTGGCTGCAATTGAATGAATAACTACATATAACACTGCAATTAATGTTGAGTTCTTTGTCTTTAGAATTACTTAAATGAAAAATAAGTTCCCATTTAGAATTGTTTATTTGGTAAATAGTATTATCAATACATTTGTATTTGTTCGATAAAAAATTACTGATATTTGTAAGAGATTTGCATTCTGAAATAGAATTAATTGAAAATTTCTCAAGTAAGTTTGTTTCACAGAATATAATTGATTTTAGTTTGTAACAAAAAAGAAATGAATATTCTGAAATAGTTTGAATAGATTGTGGAATTTTAATACCTTCTAATGAAGAACAATTCTCAAATGCTTTATATCAGATCTTCTCTAATCCTTCTTGAATTGTAACTTCTTGTAAATTAGTACATCCACAAAAGCATTGATAAGGAATACTTGAAACATTGATAACATTCTTTAATGTAATGCAATTCTCAAATGCGTTTTTCATAACAATCAAATTTGGAGATGAAAATGTAAAATTTTCCAAATTAATACAATCTTTAAATGATGATATTCCTAATGTTTGTAAATTAGGAAATGAATAATTAAATGATCTCATTTTTGAACAATTTTTAAATGCATCATTTTGTATTTCAATGATTTGAGAATCTTCTGTGAAATAAAACTTCTCAATTGTTGAATTTTCAAATACTTTTTCTTCGATTTTTGTAACAGATTTGGGAATTGTAATATTATCATAGTTGTATCCCCAATATTCATAAATTATGGTTTGATCAGAATCCATAATAAAGTTTTTTGGTGTAATAATAAGATTTGGTTTATTCCTATATGAAATTGAAACATTTGTATTTCTTGAAATTGAATTATATGAAAATATAGTTTTGTAAGTGAATGACAAACTGACATTTGGCGTATCTGTTGTAACAAAATAAGATCTATCAACATTCATTGGTGAATTAGGAAATACAATTAGTTCAAGATTTTTACAAGAATAAAATACCGAATAACCTGTTGTGCATGAAAATTCGGTTCACTTCACTTCTGACAAAAGTGACAAGTTTACATGGCAAAAATATATAGGGTATTTTTTTTAAAAGTAGTTATCTTTATATATAAAAATAAAACTTTTGATATATTTGAGTAAATGATTTATTAATTTATTTATTTATTTTTTTTAAATCAAATCATATAAATATATATATATATAATAGTGAAATAGAACAAGAGATAATTATTGATGATTAAATTGTAGACGAGGATAAAAGTTTAGATAAATTAATAAAATTAGTGTGGAATCAGACAAATTTCGGGTTGTTTGGGAAGGAATTGTTGGCTATGATGTACTGATTCATGATCAGTACATCATAGCCAACAATTCCTTATACAAAGTTCAAAAACTTGGGTGCAATCAGAACTGATTGCACCCAAGTTTTTGAACTTTCTCGAGGGAATGAAAGGGTAAGAGGTATACATTATGAATATATACCTCTTACCCTTCCATTCCCTCTCTGACAGCGGGAAACTTTGTCTGAATGTTAAACTATTCAGACAAAGTTTCCCGCTGTTTGCGAAGGAATTGTTGGCTATGATGTACTGATTCATGATCAGTACATCATAGCCAACAATTCCTTATACAAAGTTCAATTTTCATATTTCATGTATGTAACTCTCTAAAACTATAAATCTGATTTTCATTTGGCAGATCCACTTCTTGTCTTTCCATTTTTTTTGAATCAATTTATACAAATAAACTTATAAAACACAAAATTATTATTTTATAATATAATTCTTAGATAATACATCCGATATGTAAAGTGTCAAAAATGAAGTGAACCGAATTTTCATGCATTACAAAATACCGAATAACCAATGAAATCTATTCGGCCTAAAAAAGTAACATTTTTCAAATATCTACAATTGTAAAAGACTTTATCTTCAATCCTTTTCACATCTGTTGGAATTGTAATTGTTTTGATTAATGATTGATAAAAGCACGAATTTCCAATAGTTATGACTGAATTTGGAATTTCATAACCTGTTTTGTTATAAATAAAAAATAAAATACTTCCATTTTTTGAATAAATGGCCTTTCCATCTGTTGTTAAGTAGTTATTATTAGGATGAATTGTAAGATTTATTGATCTTTGATTTGAAAATGAAAATCCATTGACCCTAGAAACTTTTTCTGGAATCTGAAACGAATAAATATTAGTACCAGTAAATAATTCATGTTCTAATGAAGTTAAATTTGATCCTTCTTCAAAAATAACATTTCTTAGATGATAGAGATCAAGAAATGCATTTTCACCTAGTATTTTAATAGATGCTGGTATAATAATACTAGTCACATGATAATTTAATTGAAATGCACCTCTCCCAATTTCAAGGAGTCCTTCTGGTAAAAGTATCTGTTTGACATTAAAGGTTTCAGCAAATGCATAATTAGATATTTGTTTAAGTTTACTGCAGGATAATAGATTTATAATAGTGAGATTTGTGCAGCCACTAAAGCTTTCGCTTCCAATAGTTGTTAAGTTAGGTTTTTCTTGAAAAGTAAAGGAAAATAACGTTTTAAGATTGCTAAAGCAGTAATCTTGGATAATCTCGCATGAAGATGATATTCTGAGGTTGGGTGATGTTTCCTTAACTTTTGAAAGGATTTTTCTATCTTTTGAATAATATTGATAGTCAATATCAGTTAGTATCCCTAAGTCGTGTACTGTGGCACTGCGCGCCTCCGTACACAATTTAGCGGTTTTGACACTTTACGAAACCGTTAATGTATATTTTACAACACAACCATAACACCAACTTAACCTTAAATATTTACAAAACCATCTGACACATAAACGACTTCACTAACGACTTCACTAACGACTTCACTAACGACTTCACTAACGACTTCACTAACGACTTCACTAACGACTTCACTACCGTCCTCACTAAATAAAAAATAACCTTATTTTTATTTTTTTAAATTTTTTATTTCATTACAAAGACATGTCCGACTACATTTACTATGACTCTTTCCCAGAACGTTTCCGTGAACTATTCAAAACTCAAGTAAAACTGAGAAACATGCATTTTAACAAAGACAGACCCATTGACGATGAAAGAAACCCTGAATATATTACAATCCCTTATGACGCAAAGTTCATTGCATACATTCCTTATGGACGTAGAGGAACGAAAACTATTTCAACAATGACGAAAAATTATTTCTGGAGCGATGAAGAAAATTGCCTTATCTACATAAATGCATACTTAAATAAAGCTACATATTGTACAAAAGAAGGTTGGACTGGATTTGAGCTCTACATATACGACGACGATGGAAACAGACGTTGTGTATACCCATACGATAATATGTACCATTGTTTTCATCAAGCATTAAACGAATACATAGTCAGTAAGGGTCTCATTCCTGTTGAGTAGATATGCTTTATTTTTGTTCTGTCATTTATATAAAAATAAACTTAAAAATTAATGATATCACCACCCTCACACGTATGAAAACATAGCGCAAAAATAAATTTAGGTGAAGTGGTGAAATCTCACCTCTTTTTTCACCTCTTTTTTCACCCACTTGAATTCATTACTTTATAACTCTCTTCCTTTCTCCAACTCTTCTAACTTCTTCTTAAGTTCAGCAATGTTGTCCTCATGAAGTTTAATCTTTCTCAAAATTCCTTCTTTATCTAATGGTTGCTTTATCTTTCTAAACTGAACTCTACATCCTTCATAGTATGAACGTAAAAACCTTCTGGAACCGCTCCTGATTTAATGTATTCTACCAAAAACTTTTGTTTCATTGCTTCAGTGACTTTAGTCGTCATTTTACTCTAAATAAAATGTTCAAATAAAATAAAACTAACATTATTTTTTCAGTAAGGAAACGCAGGAGTTTTACGATTTATTTGAGGAGTAGGTTCTGGTTTAAATGTTGGAGTCGGTTTTGGAGTTGACTTTTGAACAGGAGTTTGTACTTTCATAGGTTCAGGAGTCATTGAAGGTGTTGTTTGTGAAGGCGTTGGTTTTGACGTTGGTTTTGGCGATGGTGTCGGAGTTTGTTCAAATTCAGCTACTTCAGTATTATTTATAACATTTGCTTTGTTTCTTTTCAACATCATTACTGCTCCTGCTGTAGCTAGCAAACCTAGTGGGAGACCATATCTTATATAAGGACTTGACCAAATGCTATTTTTGACAGGAGCTGGTGGAACACCTAACCTTGGTGAGACTGCTCTTTGCCATTGTGCAGCTCGTAAGAAATATTCAATAGGTGCTCCATAATCGTTTGGTAAAGTTTGTTTCACAGATGGTGAAGGTTCACGAGAGCTTGATGAAGAACTCATTTATAAGCTTTAAAAATAAACGTTCATCCTTTATTCCTCACTGTCGTCCGTAGCTAAGTTATAGTCATCTAATCTTATTATGGGGATTCCATTAGCACGCACCTGAATGGCAAAGCAACAATCCCTCATAAATCCAATAAGTGGCTTTGGTACATTTTCAGTTGCTAGTTCAATAGGTCCTTTAACAGACAATTTGTATGTTATTGGAGCAGTAGATGTTTGACCTTGCTGGAAGCAAAAGTCCACTTCTGTTGGAAAACCACATAAGAAATGTGTGTTGTCATAGCTATCCCATTTATGTTCCACACTACCATCATCCACCAATGACCTCATAACATCTTCATTAAATCCTATCATATCATTGTTTGTATTGCAGGCGTTCGCAACCATTTCATAAAATACAGGTCCATATGATTTTTCAGGTTCTGCAGGCATATTTCCATAAGCTCCCATGGAAAGCTGAAGATATTTAAACTTAGGGTTCTCAAAATTAACATAATAGTTGTCTTTCTTTCTAAATAGTGCCCAAATACTTTTAACATTAATAGGCGTATAAGCTGCTGTAAATGTTGCACTTGAACTATCTGTATTCTTTGAGAATGAACCGTCCATAGGAATCCAATCCATAACTTTAACAGGAAAACATAAAGCCTCGTTTGTATAATGTTCTACAAGTTCTGTATAAATGTTAGGGTCTAAAGAGAATGACTTTGGATGAATGAAACATTCATTAAAATCCATCTTTGTTCGAAATAGTTGCTGGGTTACAGTTGTAATAGTAACTGTTCCACTAGCTTCTACTGCCTTCGTTATCATAGTGAATGGTTCATTCCATGGAACAAATTTATTTGTCGGTGGATTTGAATCTGAAGCAAATGCAACTTTAAGAGTTGGATTGAAAGCAATGATATCATTTACAGATATAGATGTGCATTGTAAGGCGTCGCTACTGAACTTTACTTTAAGCTGAATGTTTCCTGCAAAAGCTGGAATAAATCGAATAGCTTCTAATGGAAGGAATCTTCTAACAGGAATTCTTAAACGAAGCTTAAAATCAAATGATTTTCCTGCTGTAATTGGACCACTAACAATTTGTCCTGTTCTGCATGTTCCCGAATGACTCCATACATCTTCATGTCGAGTCTTTGAGAAAACATCTACTTTCTTTATTTGTTCGGTAGTTTGTGAGTTTGAAGTTATATATGCTTCTTCTCTTGCGTTGTCTTGAGAATATACGATACGACCATTTGCAAGGATTTGATATCCAGCAACTGCATAGAAAGCGTCATCGAAACCAATCCAAAATCCTGGTGGGTTTGTTTTTTGGAACCTGAACCAATTTCTTTATCTACAATAAATTGACCTTCCATTTTATACGTAATGAATGTATTGTAAAGGTCCAACATATTTTCACCAGGAGGTGAGAGATTGAATGTTACCCATGTGTTATCTTTAGCAGTTCCAGGTTGTGATGGAATCTTTGCGTCAGAATATTTTCTATTAGTGTCACCAATTTGAACTGCATTGTCTATGATATCGAAATATGAGCGAATCTGATGAATATGCTCTGCTGGAGTAAATTCGTTTAACTGTTCGTTCTGCATGTATTTACTTCGGATAAAAATATCTATTTACTTCATTATTCTCACTCTTCTTCTTGGCATTCGTGGTGGAAGTTGTTTCTTGACATTTTCAATGAACTGTACATTCTCTTTTGTCTCAACTTCTTTCACTGGCGGGTCAGGATTCTTTGACTCGGTTTGTTTTCAATGAAATTCACGAACTTTGCAATAAGCTCTTGGTTCGTTATTGAAAGTACATCTGGCTTCTTTTCTTCTGGTTCTATTGACTTTTCAGTTTGAACAGAAGGTTTTATATGGGCTTCGTGGACTTCACCCTTGCCATGCACCTTAATGTTGTCGCTCTCTGTATTCGCTAATGGAACCTTTCTTTTTCTTACGTATATTTTACCATCTTTACTCTGACTTACATAATAGAAAGGATGTTGTATTCCTCTTGCGTCATTTAATATAATAGACTCTCGCTCTGATTTTGACAAGCTCATTTTACATCGGTTAAAGTTTTAATTTTGTTTTTTATCTGCAGTCAAATGACTCAGACAAGCCCTACGGACAAGACCCAAGGGGTCATAGATGTTGAAGCATTGAAGAAAGAAATTCGTGAGCAAATTTTATCCGAACTGAAGGAACAAAAACAAGAACAAAAGCCAGAGAGACCAAAGAGAAAACTTAGTGAAAAACAACTAGCTGCATTAGCTGCTGGAAGACAGAAGAACCCACGTTTGCTGGCGAAAAAAGCTAGAGAAGAAGCAAAAGCAAAGGAAGAACAAAAAGCAAAGGAAGCTGAAGCAAAGAAAGAGTAAATGGTTTATTTTTATCCAAACTATATGTATAGACAAATACCTTTATCTGTTGCGTTCAGTAGTGAAAACCCTGACGTCAAAATAAAGGGGAACAGAGTAACGTTTAAGTTTCCAACAGACTGGATTGTGAACATAAATGAAGAGAAGTACATTGGCATAACATCTATGTATATAACACGTGCTTTCAGAAAGGTTGACTTTATACTTCAAGTCGAGATAGAAAATGACGAACAGTCTTTAAGCGCCCAAAACATTCACATATACAAATACTTTAAAGACGATACAACATTGTTGCAATGTATGATTTCATTTAATGAGATGTTCGAGAAAAAGTTCAATATTGAAGTACAAACTTTACAGCCTTTACGTGAGTTTCTTGCACAACTGAAAGAAGAAGGTAGTCAGCCACAACTTATAGACTTTCATTATGAATTTAATGAAAATGAAGATGGAACTCATGACTGTCAATTCATTGTATTCTCACCATTCAATGAAGTCGCTAAAAAGAAAGAAAATCCATTACGTATAAGGTTTCAAATCTCTGAACCCAATGAAGACTTCAAGAATGTTTTCAATTATGATGCAATACTTCCGAGGAAAAATGAATTTTCAAAGATTGTAACACCTGGCATTTGGGATAGAAAGCAAGCTATATTATATTCAAACCTAAGTAAAGGCGTTGAAAATGAGTTCATTGGTCATACAAGAACTTCACCACTTCCTAACCCTAAATACTATAAATTAACTGGCTTCAATCGTGAGTTTTGGATAGACATGTACTCCACTCATGACCATAAATGTCCAGTGTTCTTGCCTCCAGATGGGAAGGACTGTCTCTACATTGAAGCACAACTCTTAAACTCTACAATAGCTGTATTGTAAATGACCACATAGGCTTCGCCCATGCCGCTAGCGGCTTATTTTTATCACAAATGACCTCATTGCTGACAAAAATAAATGACCTCAGAACTTCAACTTACGAATAAAGCTTGTTTTAGTCGTTATTGAAAAGTTGAACTTTTCAGCAAAGCAAGGTTGACATGACTTACATAAGTCGAATGCAATCTCTTGACCATCATAAAGTGCTTTGTAAAGTTTCATTAAACTGAACTCAGAGTCTTTGTCATATGTTCCAACAGGTATGTGAATGTTCTTATCTTCATTGTAATAGCATTGTATAGCTTCAGGAAACATTTCATTAGCGGTTAAAGCAATAACATCTTGCTTCACGCCTTTCATTCTGCAGTGAAATGCAACTTCATTTAAATCATTCGTGAGTAAGTCTATGTAGGTCTTCTTTCCACAGAAAATACTTTTATAAGCTAAACTTTGTTTTCCAGGTGTTATTTCTGCAAAGTCGCTATGAAATTGACCAAGGTTCTTTCCTATAAGTTCTCTACCGTATCTCTTCTTAAACTCTGCTGCAAGCTTTGGGATGTCTTCATTATATAAGTGCATACTGTCGGTATCCTGGTAAAATATTTGAAGACCCATGTCCTCTGCAGTACAGAATACTTCATTCATAATACGTTTTGACATAGACAGAATATTAACACCAAGTGGACAGAAGTTAAAGTGTCTGCAAATGCTTTTCGTTAGCTTGAAAATAGTTTTATCTGAACCATCCAAACCTTCGAACTTCACTATATGGTTGTAATTTCTTATAGCATATCTTATAGCATCTTTGTCATCTACTATGGTTATTTTTGACTCAATAGGAGATAGAATAGTTTGCCATAAATGCTGTTCAGAATGAGTTTTATAATTTCTTGTAAGGGGTTTTCTTCTTTTTCTTATACTTTAACTAAAACAATTCTTATATCTCTTATTCATATCTCTGTTTCCATCGTAATAGTATCCTTGCAACACTTCACATTTGACACCTTGATATTTTATGAGGTCTTGTAATGTTATATGGTCAACATACATGAGACAGCAAGTGTTTGAACTTCTTGGAACGTTAAGTTCTGGATTTAGTTCAGGGTCGCAAACTATTAAATGAAAGTGTCTGGGTATACCAATCTCTGTTATCTTAATGAGAACAAAGAAGCCAGACATAAACTTTTCACCAATGGGTTCCTTTTGGTCATCATCGAATAAATGTCTCATGAGATACTCTGTGTTTAACATTTCTTCCTTCAATACTTTTGGAATACCTTCTAAAGTATAAAGTCTTGCTATAGCTGAAGGATATAATGAAACAGTGTCGAAGTCAGCAATGAGTTTCTTTTTGCTCTTTTGTTTCATGTTATCTGACAACATACATCTTCCACCTTGAATGCATCTCGAAATAAATTCTCTTGGTTTATTTGAGAGGTCATAAAGATTTCCATTCGGGAAGTATACTCTGTTCTCAAACAATTTTGTTAGCAATTGAACAAATACTAACGTAGTCATAAACGTTTAAATCAAACTCTTTCAATAAGTCATTGCGGAACTTTACAAAACCTTCTCTTAAAATTCTTACATCTTGTTTGCAGTAAAACGTGCTATATTTTTCTAAGTCGAAGTGGTTCTCATCTATTCTGCAACCTTTGATGGAATCTATGTTTTTCATAAATGTATCTGCATCATGGATAAACTTACATGCTTCAGAAATGACACCAGTTCTGTTGTCATTTGCTAACAAAACACTGCTGTAGTAGTTATATGGAAATACTTCTTTCGGTCCTGTTTGTAAGTTAAACATAGCAGGAAATAGTTTAAGCTTCTTATTTATAACACTGTAAGAGTCTTTTATAATAATTGCCCGTCCTTTATATAAACCAGTTATTTGCATTGTTCGTGAACCTTTAATGATGGGAGTTCCTTTCACTTCTGTCATGTGTCTTAAGATGAAGTTTATGTCATAACTGAGGTTGTGAAAATATATTAAACTCTTGTCAGGGAGTCGTTCCAAAAATTCTGTTGCACAGTTCTGGACCCCATATGCTTTCACTCACTGAACCATCTTCACTGTCGTAACATATGTTAAAAGCTTTATGAAAGCCATCAGTACTGCACTCAAAGTCAGCAAAGAAAACGTGCTCAGGAATGAACTTACATTTAGCTTTATTTACTTCTTTTGACTCTGCTTTCTTCTTCAGTTGTACACAATACTTTGGAGCATATGTCAAATCTTTAAATGGTGCAAGGTTCTGTTTATATAAGTCAGTAGTATATGTGAAAAGTTCTCCATAAGAAATAGGTTCAAAATATTTGCACTCCCACAATGTTTTCATAACATCCCATAACGGTGTTGTTCTATCATAACGAACTACATATTTATCTTCTCTCTTTGTATAAATCTTCATTGTTTCTCAATGTTCATTCCACCACAAGCTTTGAGAATTTCTATATAGTTGTGAATGAAATATGTTGTCATTGGTAATCTTTCGTTTAGCATGTAGTGGTCTTCAACAAGAAGTAAGTCAATAGTTCTAACAGTTTCACATTCTTTTGGTATGTATCTCTTTATTTCATTATGTCTTGAGTCATTGAAATAACCAATGGTAACATTAAATGCTATACCTGTTGCGTCAGAAATTTCTTGTACTTTACTTTGAGGAAAGTCTCTAACACGAATGACTTCTCTCATGTGGTCAATAGTTTCTTCATTTACTCCAGCCTGAATGCAAGCATAAACGAAACAATTGTCTTCTGTCATAAGTGTTGCAGTTCTTTTGTTCAGTTCATTGAAGATTTGGTAGCGTTCAAGATTTATAGGTAATGTGCAAAGATACTTCCAGAACTGACCGCTTCTCTTCTTATAAAACTTCTTTTCACCATTATCTTTCCAAAAGCTTTCTATAAGTGCTGGGTTTCCTGTTTGCTTAAGAGCTTCCAAAATGGCTTTCTGGTCATTTGTCAGTGTGCTTTCATCTCTATATGGTCTCTTTTTTGGTTTGCCTTTCTTTACATCTGACATCGTTAAGCCTTCATATTCTGTTAAATCATACATCTTTATTTCAGTAAGATTCTTTATGTTTGTCAAGAAGAAGTCATAGTGCATTTCAACAATACCTGCAGCATTTGCTTCTATCTCTGATATAAAGTTCTCCTTCAAGAGCTGATGTAGTAATGTTCCAATATTATTGAGGTTTAACGTAGAACATTCATACTTTCCACCAAGTTTATAACATACCATCCATCTTTGTTGTGAGTTTATTTTAATTTTCTCTAAGAGTCTCATGAAAACCTTACCGAAATGTTTGTGTAAGTAGTCTCTGTTTGGTTCATCTAAAGCTTCGATGTTAAAGTCAATGAGTCTATTGCCTGACTTCACATTTCTCTTCCTATTCTCTTCATCTTTCTTTAACCATCTCTCACCTTCTTTTGGTTTGTCGTCAATGGAACGAATGACATCGTTAGCTTTGCGAACTTGTTCTATAGCACTTTTAAACATCTCTCTTCTCTGTTGTTTCAGTGTGTCGTCTCTTCTTCTTGTTTCACCAACGTTCGCATTTGTTATGTCAAACATCTCACGCCTTACTTCATGAGGTATTGAACGTCTATGATATAAGTCAATAGCAACGTCATTTAAAGGAAATGCTATTGCATGGACTTCGTCCTCGCCGCGTTGCGGCTTTATGAACTCATGAATTCTATCATAACTTATTGCACCATTATAGTCTTTAATGAAGTCAGCGAGTGCTTTTTTGTTTGTTGCGTAATGCTTTGCTACTTCTATATTAGCTTCTGTAAGAAGTTGTTTTATTTCCGAGTGTTCTAACTTAGACAACTTCCGATACATCTTTAGTAGGAAATAAAAAAATATTTTTTTGAAAAAATTAGATTACATTTTTAAGTTATTTTTCAAAATAATTTAATATTTTTATTTTAATGAAACACATGCAAGATTGCAAGTTCTTTTCATACAATGCTCTCGCTACTGCCATCAAGAATGAGTTCAATGGTGCTTCAAACGTTAATGTTATCTTTAACAAGAAGTTTGTGAAAGAATCTAAGTTTGGTCAGTATGTCAGACCATTAGCTATTGTCATTGACCGCAAACGTTATACTTCACAAGAGTTAGCAGTAGTTTTGAAACAAAAGAGTATCTTCGTGAATGTCAAAGATACTCATTATACTGTTATAAAGAACTCTAACATTGACTTCTTCAGTATTGCTATGAATCTTTCCGAACAGAAAGAATATAAGAAGGGTGAAACAAATGTGAAATATTATCCTTCATCTCTGAAGACAATAACGAACAAAGATGTTATACAAAAGTTCTTACCAAAGGTTGAAGAAGCTTCTATTGACATTGACGAAGGAAGTGAAATGGTTGAAGAAATTGACCCTGAAGCTATTTAACCAAAAATATATTTTTGGTGAAGAGGTGAGATTTCACCTGTTTTTTCACCTCATTCTCTCTTCGTTAATGTTGTCGTGACTTCTTCGTTAATGTTGTCGTGACTTCATTCTTCCTCTTTGAAGTTATCGAAATATTCTGTTATTTTTTCCTTCAGTAATGGTAAGTCTTCTTTGAATGTAAGTATTGTGCAACCTTTGATGTCATAGTGTGTTTGAGGAAGAGTACTTTTGACAATTTCCTTTATTTGCTCATTCGGTGTCATTGAAATCGGTAAGTTTTCACGATAGAACCAGTTTCTGTCAGATTTATATATTTTAGCAAGGTCGTAAAAGCTTTTGTTGTTTCTTCTGACTAAATGCAACATAACCATATCTCTGTCTTCTTCTTTCTCCAACTCTTCAGTATATATCATATACTTATAACTCTTTTCCTTTCCTTTTGGTACTGAACGCGGTATTCTTTTCTGTATGCTTTTGTCTTTGGATTCAATGACTTCATCTTTTGCTTGAAGTTTCTTTTCCAGCTCTCCACGTTCTTGTCTGTGAAGTTCGTCAAGAAGTTTGTAAATATTCCAAGCATAACGTGGTGAAGCCCACATTGCAACTGCATTTACTAAAAGTCTATGAACATAATATCCTCTCAAACCGTTTGGCAATTTTTCACGGTTTTCATAGAGTTTTGGCGACTGGGATTTTTTACCTACTCGCTGTTCTTCACTGTTTTCAGAAAAAAGTACGTCTCGCTGTGCTTCACTTAATAGTTCTATGGTGCTTTGGTTCCTAAACCAGTCTTTAGGAAGCTTAGTATCTGGAGCAAAACAAGCCGTCAAAATACTTTGCATTTGGTACATGTCATCTTTGACTGAACGAATGAGACGTAACTGTTTGTTATATTGTATGTACTCGTATTCTTCATTTATGGCTTCATGAACGATAGCAGTTGTTGTGTTCTCTAATGTTGACATTACTGTCTTTACATACAAAATAAAAAAATAAATAAAAATAAAATTAGCGTTATTTTTTCTGAGATAAACACTATTTCTTCACAACATTAAATTTTATCTTGTATGAAATGACTTTAAAAAGATTATTGACTGACTTCGAATACTATCTCATTGACGCACTGACAGACCCTCAAAACTGTGTTGAAAGTTCTTTAAGCTTTAAGATTGAAGGTACGACGCATTTTGTCTTCACTTACGTATTGAAAGAATATGACCGTTATCATAACGAAGTGAATCAAACACTAATAAAATTTGTAGATAAAAAATTGGTTAACAATGAATATTTTAAACGTGAAGACCCAAACACTGCTGGAGATGATGAAGAATACAGACAAGCTATTGAAAAAAATAACGCAAGATTAGATGCAATAGAAAAGAAGTTTAATGAATGTCTTACAAACACGTATGAATATCTTATGCGGTGGGAAGCTAGATGGAAATAAATTTACGTCAAATATGCAATTTATAAAATCTTATGTCGACAGGCTACGTAGCACAGTGGTCTAAGGTGGTGTTATGGAGGGGTCAGAGTCTGTGGTTCGAACCGCGACAGCGCCGTATTTTCTTATTTTCTTTGTTTGTCTTGTTTGTCGTGAATAAAAAGTGTCATAAAAGTGCTCTATCTTCCACGGGAATAAATAAAAAATTTACTTTATTTCTTCTTTATTTCTTTGTTCCCGTGGAAGAAGGGTTTTGCTGTTTTTTCTCAGCCGAAATCAATGATTTTTTCATTTTTGGAATCCTTAGCGAATGAGGAATCTTTTCTCTCGTGGAAGCTTTGAACAAAAATATAATTTAGGTGAAGAGGTGAGATTTCACCTCTTTTTTCACCTAATTTTTCACCCTCAGCCGCTAAGCGGCGAGACCCAAAGGGTCTTGACTTTGTCATAACTTCTTCGTAAATGCTTTGTCATAACTTCTTCGTAAATGCTTTGTCATAACTTCTTCGTAAATGCTTTGTCATAACTTCTTCGTAAATGCCTTGTCAAGATTTCATCGTAAATGCTTTGTCATGACTTCTTCGTAAATGAGTGTAAATGACCAAAAATATAATTTAGGTGAAGAGGTGAGATTTCACCTCTTTTTTCACCTAATTTTTCACCTCTTTTTTTCACAAGCGTTTTACATGAATTGTACGATGTATATTTGAAATCCTAAACAGTTTTGTAGCTTCTATTTCTTCGCTGAGGATATCAAAAGTTTTAACAATGCCGAAAGTCTCTTTATATTTCTTCTTGACGTCAGATAGAAGGAAATCTTCTACTGTTGGATAGTTTTTGTTCAGAAATGCTAACATGTCCATTTTATCTTCTGCTGGTTTCTCTACTTCTTTCTTTAAGTCAGCATAGTCGTTTCGCATTCTTTCTATCTCTTTGACGGAGTAGTTATATTTCCTTATTGCTGCTTTACATTTTGAACATTGTGGGTTCATTTTTGCATTATACATTGAAATTTGACCTGCTAGAACAACTAAAGCGTCAATTGCTCTCTTCATCTCAAACATAGCGGGTCTTAGTTGTTCGTTCCATACTTTGCCTCTTCTATCTTTATCTCTTATTTCCCAAACACATTCAGCAACTAACGAAACAAAGTTGTCGTAGGTCTTAAATTCTTCAGATTTATATATGTCAGAAACATTCTTATATACCATATCGCAATCTTTGTCCATAACTTTATGGTTGCAATGAAAACCAAGGAATTCATAATTTACTTTACGTATGAACTTCTTTATTTCTACTGAGTCAGTTGCTTTGACTTCAATTTCGTCGAATTCAGGAATAGTTAGTTTTTGATGCTGAATTTCAGGTAGTTTAGGTAAATGGTCGATGAGGTCCTCCATTTCATAAAGATACTGTTCATTTGTTTCATCTTTCGCACTACAGTCTAAATTACTTGTTAAAAGTTCCTGCTTTATCTTCTGGATTTTTGTTTCGAAAGTAAATGAAGAAGGAATGAAGCTTTCCATCTCTACTAACATAGATGTTGGATTCATGACTAACGAGTTTGGTGAAGTTGTTGTGGACAGAGTCCCGCCGTTCGCGGCTTGAATTGTTGTTGTGCCGATTGTTGAAATCATATCTTTTATACAAAATAAAAAATAAATAAAAATAAAACTAACTTTATTTTTTCTATCTTAAGGAAATTCACGAAAATTCAAGAGGTGAAAAAACAGGTGAGAAAACAGGTGAAATCTCACCTCTTCACCTATAATATATTTTTGTCTGATTTACATCCAACGAAAAAGTTTAGAAGAATTTTCTTATTCTTTCTGGCATGTTTTTATCTTTCCAGTACTCCCGCTCTAATGGTCCCAGATGAGTTGGTTTAGATTCTCTCAAGTTCTTAGATGGTATAACATCTTCAACGCCTCCTTCATATCTTACTTTATAAGTGTCATCGTTTATGTTGTAGTCAAGTATTTCAATAACCACTCCTCGCTTTGCTTCGTCAATGGTTTCAGCAAGTTTGCCATTACTACTTTCGACTAATTTATGACGAGGGTAAAATGCTATGGAGTCGTCAGCAGCTTTTATAAGATATCCATTACCTTGCGTAGAGTCTACGATATAATAATTTCGACTTAACCTTAAACGTTTCTTTGTCAACGGTTTGTCGTCAAACTACACGAACTTTTGTTCCAGGAATGAGAGTAAATTGTGTTGAATTTCTGATATTTTGTGTTTGACTTCGTTTCTTTTGTATATACTTTTCTTCTTGTTGTTGTGTCATTGAATTTGGTGTATGTCCTGTTGTAGAATGTGTTGAGGAATTGTAAACTTCGATGAAATGTTTCATTGTTTCTTCGGTAAAGTCTCGCTCTTGATTTAAATCTCTGAGAGTCCTTATGAAGCGGTTAATGATACCGAGTATGTTATGGTTATGGTCTTCAGTAGTGTAGTGAGTTATGTTATGCTTAATGAGAAATTCTGTGATTTCGTTGCTGAGGTATGCACCGTCTTGGTCTGATGTTAAAATACTTGGGCTATGTTCTGCTACAAACTTTTGTAAAACTCTTAACACTTCATGAGTTCCTTTATTTCTCATTATATACGCAAAAGCTTTGCGAGTGTTAACATTAATGAAGATGAGGAATGGTTTATGTCCTCCTTTTCTGCTTTGAATGAGAGTGTCAAATTGGTATGCGTCAGGAGTGTTGGAGTAAATTGGTAAAAAGTAGTCGTAAGGATTTATTTTTGTTTGATGTACAACATTTTTGTCAAAGAACCTTTTCACTTCAGCTCTGTTAGTAAATCCCGAACTCTTTGCAGCTTCATTGAACTTCTTAAATGACCTCCATGGATGTTGTTCGAATACTTCTTTCAAGCTCATTTATGTAAAAATAAAGATTTTATTCTAGGCTCAAGTGCGTTCATTGAACGCGGTACCATGCAAATACAGTCACAAATGGTGGCATGTAATCTGCACCCGAGCCTGTTGGATTTGTTGTGAAAGTATGGGCATGATTTCCTGCGGTTCCACAGAAAATACCTGCGCTTGAATCTACTGGGTCACTTGAAATATCATATCTATGCATTCCCTGTCTATCCGAACCTGCTGCAAGATTTGTATAACCTCTTTTTGTTATTGAATGTGAATGACTACCTGTTGTGTTTGTAGTTCCTGTATGAGTGTGCGGTGGAAGGTTTGCTTCAGTAATTTTCTTCGAACCTCCTGTTTGCTTTGAAGAGTTAGCACAGTATAAGAATTTGTCTACAATCTGCTGCCATGTACCAAAACCTAAAACTGTTGCTGGATTTGTTGAGTTCATTGACGTATAAATAGAGCCTATAGGATATAATGTTTGAAGTATTTCTGTCTTTAATGTTTGAAGCTCTTTTTTGTCTGCTTTCTTGTCATATAAATCTTGAGCAGTGAATTTAATATTATGTTCATCCTTCATGACATAAACATCTTTACATCTAATGTTTAACATCGTCGTTATGTCGTCATCCGATGTTAAACCTTGTGGAAAGTTAGGAGGTTTACAATATAATACATCCCCACCAGTTTCTTCAACCGTTCCTTCAATACTTTCTATAGCAACAGTTGTAAAACTTGTATGTGTATGAGTCTTATTTGCTTTTTTATCTAACATTGCTGGTAGTTCATGTGTTTCAAAGTTTCTGACATGACCTTCGATATTCATACATTTGTTATTTAAGGAGTTTAGTGTATCTTTTACGCTTGTACTTGGATTCTCTAAAGGTGCACTTGAACCAAGGGTATAGTTCAATATTATGTCGTCTGCTCTAACAGTTGAGAAGGAGTTATGTGTATGATTTTTGTCAGCTTTACTGTCTAATGTAGCTTGAAGTTCATTTATATCGGAGATATTGTGTTTATGAGATTTCAAAACTTTGTTCATTGCTTCGAGTTCAACTTTGTCAGCTTTACTTTTAATAGCATCTTCAAACGTTATTTTTGACTTAACTCTCAAAGTAAATCTTGGTTCAACTAATACACCGTTAACATTGAAAGTAGAGGCATAAATTTCACCGGTATAACCAAATGCTTCTGGTGCTTTAGCTACATCATACTGTACAGTACAGCTTATGTCATAACCTTTAGCACGAATGTATTTATATCTTCTTTCATTAACATTTTTTGTCTTCGCTTCATCACTTCGTGTTAAATATCCATGGTAGTCCGTTATAATCTGTTCGTCTGAAGTTATATAATGAACATGGTTCTTGTCCGCTTTACTATTTAATGTAGCTTGAAGTTCATTTATATCGGAGATATTGTGTTTATGTTCTTTATCTGCTTTTTCGGCTAATTTCTCTTCTATCTCATTTATTTCAAGTTCATGCCTACCACCACCTCCCGAAGAAGTATTTTTCTTCAGCTCTTGAAGAACGTCCACTTCGCCATCTTTGGTGTCAATAATGAGACTTTGAGTTAAAACCTTTCCTGTCTTAATGGATGTTTGTAAAACTTCTTCTTCACCGTGTTCGGGGTCATGGTCGTCGTCATATCTTGTGAAATCAGAGATGTTGTCATACATTAAGCATATCTGTCTCAAAAGTTCTGCTATTTGGAATTGGAACGAAAGATATACAGAACTTTCATCATCTCCTAAAGTCAAGTCTGCTTTCTTAAGTATTTCTTGAATGTATGCAATGAGAACAGAGTACCTTGGAAAATATTCGAACAATATTTCATTAGCTGTTGGTTTTGGTGGTTCTTCTGGAGTTTCTGTTGTTTCAGTTCCTTCTGGAGTTTCTGTTGGAGTTTCTGCATCTCTTGACTTCAATGCTCTTGCTCTCAAAGACCTAAATGTTAGAGCACCGGGTTTTACAAAGGACTTTATAAATGCTTTAATAGTTCCTGGTAAGTTATTGTTAGCATTAAGTAAGTTCCTTATGCTTCCATCATGTACGTCCATAGCACTATGTAAAAAATCTATACTTTTCTTGTAGTCAGCAATAGACTGACTGTGATTTTTTAAAGATTTGTCAATACCTTTAAGCCAATCTTCATGCATGTCTGATACTGAGCCAAGAATATCATTTGCTTCCTTTAGTGTATTTTGTGCTTTTCGTAAAGTATCCAATCCCGTACGTGCATTGTTTGCTATACGTCTTACAGTATCTATTTGACTCCTTGTTTCTTGCATCCAACCAGATAAAGTTTTAATAGTATCCGAACCATTTGAAATGAAGTTCAAAGCATTTTTAACATCATCTAAAGCTTCTTCACCAAGTACTGCCCATATCTTTCCGATTTGGTATTGAAGAACTCCATATGAAGCAGCTGTTAAACCAGTATTTATAAGGTCCCATATCCATGATTTAGCAGTTTTTCCATCCTTTCCATCCTTTCCATCCAAACCGTTTTCGCCTTGAGGTCCTTGTATTCCTTGAGGTCCTTGTATTCCTTGTGGTCCGGTGTCACCCTTCTCTCCTTTCAGTTCATCTTTATGTTCGTTATAATATTCTAATGTCATAAGGTGTACATCATTACTGCTACCAGCAACTCCTAATATTTGTTTCTCATTCATGACTAAATTCTTTAGGCATTTAATGTTGTCGTCAAATCGAAAGCTCTTTAACAATTCAATGAGAACATTTAATACTTTCACTAATGAGGCATCTACTGTAGAATTTATATATTGCACCGTTCCATCATTTATGATAGGAACTTTACTTATTGTAATGAATGGGTCATAAGTGTTAAAAGTATCGAAATCAATGACTTTTTTAGTTTTTCCATCGTCAATGACTAAATCATTGCCTTCAATGGTTAAAGTTGAGTTTTCGTTTACTAGTTCATGTGCTCTTCTTGCTTCATTTGTTTCATACGCATATGCAGCAATAGTCATATTTTAATGAGAATAAAATGTTGTTCTATTTGCAAAGTACTGACCCAAACGAATACGGAACAGTAAAGCTACAAACAAACTTAGGTCTTCAGAATGAAGCGCTTGCTTTCAGAGTTGTTGACTTCAATACTATCGCAACTTTTGTCATAACAGATGAAACAGATTTCATGGAGTTTGAAATAGATGGAAAGAAGCATGAAATAAGATTTCACAATAATGTAGAATATAAGATGGAAACATTAGCTGGAGTGTTAAATGCGCTCATAAATACTACAATAAACAAGGAGAACGAAGAAAACTTAATGAATGTTAAACTTATTGCAGGAGTTTTGAAGTTCAGTTATGCGAAGGAGTTTAAGATAACACGAATGAGTCATAGAGTTCAATTGCTTCTGGGAGCATACCATATGACATTTCCTTTGAAAAGTTTTGACAAAACGATTGAGATGAAATCTGTTCCATACGTATGTTATGGCAATTGTTTATACATTGAGTCAAAAATAGCTAATGTCACAGGTATTTCAGGAGTTAATAGTAAAGGTTCAGTAGAATATAAGTCTTTCTGTTATGAAGTAAATTCAATGTTCATTCCAAACGTTCCTGTCATAGCAACTCATTTAGGTAAATGGGTTCGCATTAGTCCTCATAATTTGAAAGACATGCAATTCAGACTAGTTGACTTTCAAGGAGAGCCTGTAGAACTGAAGGCACCAGTGCGAATGACTGTTGAAGTAGACTTTTTAGAAAATATTAAATGCAACAGCTTACAAGAGAACTCAGAGCTAAAAATATAAAGTATGAATGTTATGTATTAGGTCATGAACTTTGGTTGTTGCTGTTTGATGAAACAAATGAGTTAGTTATGTCAGTCAAGAGAACAGAAAAAGGCGTCAAAGGCGCCGAGCGCAAAGCGCTATATTGTGTTAGTGAGAACTGCACCAAGTCAATAAGATTAGGTTTGCATTATGAAGATGAGTTCGATACTGTTGAAGAAGTTTTGGATAGATATTACAAATTGCTAACTTGAAATTTTTTTGACTAACGGCGCAAAGCGCCAAGATGGGCTCAAAGAGCCCTCCTGACTGCTTTAATTTACTAAAACATATTTCAAACATAATTTATATTCTGTTGAAAGTTTTGTATACTCGTTCGAATATTTATACTTAAACTCAACTCCTGGAGTACCTGGTATTTCAATGATGCGGATGTTACCTATTTTCATGAATGGTGGCGTTTGACCACAGCATTCGATTTCAGGGTCGAGATAGTCAATGACACATTGTTTCCCTGTTATTCGTGATATAACATTTTCAAGGTCCTCCTTTGTTAGAATTATTTGGTTCTTGCTTATAAGATTTGTCAAAAGCTTCTTATCGTCTTTGAGTAAGATAGTTTGATATAACTGAAGAAGGTAATGGTCTACGTTATCTGAAGGATTTGTTTGAACATTTGTGTAAGGGTTGTCGTTGGCTTCTCTTGAAAGAATTTGGTCCAGTGGTGGATACTCTAACTTAACATCTGATGTAGCGTTAGCGTTTGAAGCTGAGTTTAAATTCACGGCGCCATGCGCCAAGATGGGCTCTTTGAGCCCTCCCGACTTAAGTTCTGGTTCTTTTTCTTTCAAACACTCCGAACTATAGTTCTTTATGACAATATTGTTTGTCGTTCGTGAGTCAACATTTGATGTTGGTTCAATTGGAACATTAACGGCACCAGCTAAGATGGATTTGCTTCTCATTTCATATAGAATAAAAACCTTTTATATGTATGAAATGAACAATATACTCGACAAGGGTTTGAATGTAAAGCTAACGAATGAAAATATTGTTGAATTCACTGAGACAGGTGCTGTGTATAAAGATGTAGAACTACTGAACAAAAGAGCTAAGGGAAGAAGCAGGAACATGAACAAAGGGTGGAAGCCTATAAAAATTTATGTCAATGATGGCTCAGGAGGTTCAAACATAAAGTATGCAGAAAGTTATAGAGTTTATGCGCTAAAAGGTGAAAAGCCTTCATTTAAGAACAGCTATTCTAACGCATATCCTCAAAAGTTAACGGATGGGGAAGTGGATGATATGAATGACAGCAAAAATATTAACAGAAATGGCGACAGAGATGCATGGAATTTGTTTACCATCAGTCAATTGAAGGTTAAACTTTAAAACAATGTTGGTCGTTCCCATGGAATATTTTTGACTTTAATGGTATTAGTCATGATATGAATCTCAAGGTATGAACGAGGAGAGATGAGAGACTTATATGCTTCCCAAATTTCTTCAAAAGGTAATGTTATACCTGACTGTTTCCAAATGAGTTCAATATCATAACGTGAGAAACCTTGAAAGATAACGAAGTCAGTTATGAGACGTTTTATGTTTAAAGCTAAAAACCTCATGTTTGCATAAGTATTGCTACAGTTAAGTGGTAATGTCTGACTTTAGTAATGATGTTAGCTAATGGTGAGTCTGGTTTTGACACTAAACCTTTTCCGGCGAAGTCGTCACAAACGAGCAGAGTGTTTGAAGGATACTTTTTGAAGGGGTATTTTGAAAGTTTTGACAGAATGTAGTTTGTAAGTCGTTTCATATCGTAAACTCCTGAGTACTGACGTAAGTGGTGTTTGTCAATAATTCTTTCCATCTCTTCTGAAGTCTTTTGCATTCCTGACTGTATAAATTCAACGATGGCATAATATTTCCTCTTACGTCGAATGTAACGTTGAAGAAATTCAATGAGTTCACTGTCTGGAACTTTAACGACAGAGGCTTGAACTTTTGACATAAATGTTTTCGCTGTTGAGTCCATAGAGTCTGAAGTTGCTGATATAATGATTTGGTCATAATATGAGTCATTTCCTAAACGCTCTGTTATGAGTATATGACGAATGAGGTTAAATGTCTTACCTGAACCCATCTTTCCACAATAGAAATAAACACCATTTGAACAGAACTCATAGTCCTTACTGAAAGGAAGAATAAGAGAAGAGTTAAGTTTGTCTGTAGTTTCATTCATGTCTTCATCTACGTCATGTATTAAATGCTTCATTTTATCTCCATTAAAAATGCAAGTCAGAAATATTCAGAACATAGCACCGAGTCTAACTGACAAGAGTATAAAGATATACTATGAACACGTTATGATGAAACCAACCAAAATTCAAGAAAGTCAGTATACTTATGAATATCCAAGACACTGGGTAGAGTATGTAGGAGGTGAGAAAGCTATTGAAATAAGACAAGTTAGAAGTATTCCAGCAGGAAGGACAATATTATTGAAGAACTTTAATGTTTTGAGATATAATGATGAGACAAAGAAGCAAGATAGTTTTCCTATTGCTGTGTATGTGAACCTAGACACAGGAGATGACATGAAAGTTTTTAACACAAAGCTTCAAACGGTAGTGAGAGAACAACTGACTGCGGAAGGACATCCATTACCTTCAGAAGTTACCATAGCATATAATTTTGAAACAAACTCAATAGATTTTAAAGTCATCTCTGCAAAGAAGTCAGGTTTTACATTTAATGAAGCAGATGTATATTCGAATGAAAACTTCAAAGCTATTGCATGGTTAGATAATGACGATTGCTTTAAGAAAATATTTAAATTCAGTGACTCAAAGATGTCAATAGATGACCTTCGTGGAATGTTACCATCGACGTTTACAGTAGAAGGTTCAGCAGGATTGCTTACAAGATTGTCAATTGGTGGTATTTGGTCTCGTGAGAACATTGTTATAAAATCCAGTATAAGTGAATTTGCTGAAGAATCTATATTATGTCTTTCAAACTACATGTATTCGCCGCCGAAGCATTATAGTATAACAAACTTTGTCAGTAAGTTTAACATAAGACTTGTCGAACCTTCTTCAATGAAAGATGTTGTGCTACCTAAAGATGGAAAGGATGGACTCATTATTGAGATGATTTTAATAGCATATTAAATGAGCTTGTTCTTGAAGGTCATTCATGATGAAATAACTGTTGTAGAAGATGTTAGCAATTGTTCAGACATTTTGAAGCGTATAGATGATATAAGAAAGAAGTTAGATAGACCGCAAAGCGGTGAGGGCGAAGCCCGTGAGAATGTTTATGTTTCATTGACTTTCTCCAGTAAAGAGAACTTTTATGAGATAATATTGAAGAGAGATGATTTTAATATGGTGTAAATGGTAGCTTGGGCAGCTTTAGGCGCAATGGGAACAAAAGCATTAGCATTTGGAGCAAAAGCACTTGGGGCTTATGACGCAGTAAATAAAATGAGTGGAGGAAGAGTTTCGAAGACATTAGATGCAAATAAAGGAAAGATTGGAGGCTGGGTTGCAAAGAAGTTAAGATTAAATAAAATAGGGCTCATAAATAAAGCATCCAATTTGGTTGCGACTGAGTCAGAAAATGCTTTAGGAAAGGACGATGAGTTTGCAAAACATGCAAAAGACTTTAATGACCAGATGAAAGGTGAAACAATGCATTTAAATAGAGTCGATGGAACTAAAGAAAATGTTTCTTCTCCACCAGTAGTTCTTCCGTATGGTCCCTATGGAATGTATGGAAACCCTTACGAAAGACCATTTGACCCATTGACTGGTGGAAGTAACTGGTATCATTACGGACGAAGAAGAAAGACAGTTAAGCTGGAGACAGACGTGAAGAAAGCAACTAAAAAGAAACCAAACCAGAGGTAAGAAGGAAGAGAGTTATAAAGTAATGAATTCAAGTGGGTGAAAAAAGAGGTGAAAAAAGAGGTGAGATTTCACCACTTCACCTAAATTTATTTTTGCGCTATGTTTTCATACGTGTGAGGGTGGTGATATCATTAATTTTTAAGTTTATTTTTATATAAATGACAGAACAAAAATAAAGCATATCTACTCAACAGGAATGAGACCCTTACTGACTATGTATTCGTTTAATGCTTGATGAAAACAATGGTACATATTATCGTATGGGTATACACAACGTCTGTTTCCATCGTCGTCGTATATGTAGAGCTCAAATCCAGTCCAACCTTCTTTTGTACAATATGTAGCTTTATTTAAGTATGCATTTATGTAGATAAGGCAATTTTCTTCATCGCTCCAGAAATAATTTTTCGTCATTGTTGAAATAGTTTTCGTTCCTCTACGTCCATAAGGAATGTATGCAATGAACTTTGCGTCATAAGGGATTGTAATATATTCAGGGTTTCTTTCATCGTCAATGGGTCTGTCTTTGTTAAAATGCATGTTTCTCAGTTTTACTTGAGTTTTGAATAGTTCACGGAAACGTTCTGGGAAAGAGTCATAGTAAATGTAGTCGGACATGTCTTTGTAATGAAATAAAAAATTTAAAAAAATAAAAATAAGGTTATTTTTTATTTAGTGAGGACGGTAGTGAAGTCGTTAGTGAAGTCGTTAGTGAAGTCGTTAGTGAAGTCGTTTATGTGTCAGATGGTTTTGTAAATATTTAAGGTTAAGTTGGTGTTATGGTTGTGTTGTAAAATATACATTAACGGTTTCGTAAAGTGTCAAAACCGCTAAATTGTGTACGGAGGCGCGCAGTGCCACAGTACACGACTTAGGGATACTAACTATATCTATGTATCGAAGTACTAAAAACAGAATCATGATGAAATACTTTAGTATACTTTATTCTTCGCTTTTCTTTTTGATTGTAATTTAAGACTAAAATAGGGATGAACATTTGTCTGGGAAATTTATTAATTATTTGACCTTAGTCCAAAAAAATAATGCTACTGTTATCTCTTCATCTCCATTTAAGTGGGGTTTTTTTATATGTAAAGCAGAAGCGATCCCACTCAAGAAAAAAAAGTTTTGCTTTTTCTTTATTTAGAATTGGCATATGATGTAGATATTAGACTCATAGTTAGTTTGTACTTATTCCTAACGTGCTTCATTCGATTTTACTCTTAAAATGTAAAATGAGAGAGGGTCAAAGTTGCTATTTGTCACTTTTCCACAAGAATATAATGGGGAAAAAGTTATCATATAGTTGATCTCATTCACTGAGGTGAGAGATGCATGTAGTGTAATTTGATAAACAGTGGGATTGCTGCTCTAAGTCCTAGGTTCGAGACACATTGGCTTCATTTTTCTCTTTTTTATTGACGTAAACTATTCAATTTTTGTGTTCTCCATTCAAATTTCAGAATTTTTTTGCAGATTTCACGCTACATTCGAAGTTACCTTTTGTAACAACCACCACTGCCTACGAAAGACGAAAGTGTGTCACGATTTCACCCGGAAATCCGACGGTTGTTTAAGAGTAAGCACTTTTGGCACCTACTCAATGTAAAATTTCTCACTTTTTTCATATTTCGAATCTGATTTATAATATTATTTTCCAGGATAAAAGTAAGGATCCCAGATGGCTAAAATCCACTGGCAATAGCCATTTCCAAAAAAAAGAACCTTCGCCAAGATTTTAACCTCTTTTTTTACTTTTTGCAATTTTTTGGAAGGAAGAAATGTATTTTTATCATACGTTTATCATCAAATTAGATCTATTAAAAGGGAGGGAACTTCTACTTTGAATGCATCGAGACTTCTAACTATTACTAATAGATAATGTATCATAGGACCTTATTCGAATAAAAAAGTTTATTTGGATTAACCGGCTGTAATTCGAATAAAGTCCATATGTAATTATGATTACTTTTGTAATTAGGAATAATTGAGTTTCTCGGAATTGAAAATTGAATGGAAATTCCAACCTTAATTCGTAATTCCAACCTTAATTCCTTAGTAATCAATTCAATTTCAATTCGAATAAAGAAGGTCTTATTCCAACTGAAAATAATAATAGGAATTTGGAATAAACTCAATTATAAGAATTAGGAATATTCATTTCCAAAATGGAATTAGGAAATGGATTAAGGAATTGACTAGATAAAATAGCAGATTAATTAGGTTCCTTATTTAAAATGATCATATTAATCATGAAGGATGATTTTTTAGTCTAATCCTGATAATAATCTTGAATCATTTTTTATCTATTCCGATCAAACTTGTAATATTAACATAAAGTTTTGATTTTTCAGCGATGTTTGATATTCCATCACTTTGTATATATTTTTCTCCCTTGGAGCAAATATCAATCAAAGGGATCACTTTGGAGGAACTGCTCTTCATACTGCAGCACAAAATAATAAAGAATTATTAATTTAGTTTCTTCTGCACCATGGTGCAAATATCAATGAAAAAGATGAAGAAGGAAGAACTGCTCTTCATTAGGCAGCATGGAATTATAATAAAGAAAGAGTTGAATTTTTTTTCATAGTGTAAATTTCAATGAGAAAGATATTGCTGGAATAACAACTCTTCATATTGCAGATGATAAGATCATTGAATTTTATTGATATAAGAATTAAAGCTGACTTCCATTCAAATTTCCGATCACTGGGGTGAAGCATCATTGAAAATTAACCTCATACACCAGAATTGAAGGCAATGTCATTCTGTTGAAGGCACAACCTTTTTTCTCCTAAATTTTTCCCCCTACCTTTATTCCTATAATCAATCCAATATTCGTAATTCGATATTCCTATTCCTAGTTCTTATAATTGAGTTTATTCCAAATTCCTATTATTATTTTCAGTTGGAATAAGACCTTCTTTATTCGAATTGAAATTGAATTGATTACTAAGGAATTAAGGTTGGAATTACGAATTAAGGTTGGAATTTCCATTCAATTTTCAATTCCGAGAAACTCAATTATTCCTAATTACAAAAGTAATCATAATTACATATGGACTTTATTCGAATTACAGCCGGTTAATCCAAATAAACTTTTTTATTCGAATAAGGTCCATATAATTAACGTTTAATTGAGATTCAATTTATGGCTAATTTAAACATAATTTGTAATAAGCTTTTAAGGGTGCACCCGCATGTACGTTTATTTGAGAGTAGGAGGATTACCCTCTCAATTTTGAACGCTTCGTTAGCGCAATATCTCGATGAATATTGTATTAAAATTGAATTTGCCCATACCAATATATCTGATACAATATCCTTAAGTTTTACTAAAAAGAATTTTTTAAAATCCCTGCAGATTCGGGGATTTTTAAATTTTTTGATTTTTTTCGCAAATTTTTCGAAAAAAAAATATTTTCAGAAGAGCCTTAACGGCTAAGTTTTATGTTTAATGTTGAGTATCAAAAAGAATGGGCGTCTGATATAGCCATCATATATCCCAGAAGCAAATAAAAATTCTGACTTTTTAAGCATAAAAAATGAAATTTTATTTTTTGCAAAAAACAGGCCACCCGGATGTACGTTTATTTGAGAGGAGGAGGATTAAATTTTTGAAAGCAGTAAAATTTGTAAATATTCTAGTTATATAATAATATGTATTATTTTAAAAAATAAAAAATTAAAGCACGTTAAAATTTTTTTGATGAATTTTTACAAAAGCTACTTAGGATTATGCAAAATATAGTAATTAAACATAAATTTCAAATCAGATTTGACTTATGATAAATATTTTAAATTTCCGAAAATTAAGTTCAGATCGACTCGATACGTTGTAATTACTAAATAAGGTGCCAAAAACCTATTAAACAGTATCAAAACTATCAAGATTGTAATGTTTTTGAAGAAAAATTTATAGAATTATGAACTTCAAACAGATATTATGTAAATAAAAATAATATAATGGATTTGTTTATTCGTATAATAGCAGCAATAAGTCGATTATTCACTTCTACTTCTGAGATTTGAATTTAATTTCGACAGAAAAAGAGATTCAAGAGGAAAATACTAGGGAATACAAACTGCCACCATGACAGGATTATTATGGAGCCAAGTTGTACTTTTTGATATTTTTAGGTACCAAGTAATTGCTTAAGGGCGCACCCTTAAATGATCTATGCTGACTAAGGTGTCAAATTGCTAAAACCGCTTTAGACCTTAGTCTTTCCCTCAAAAAAAAATAAAAAAAAATATTGAACGAATTTGCGATAGAATTTTGACTCAATTAGTACCATTCGTAAAGGTGTTGATGAATGTATTTACGTTCGATTCTTTCTTAATTGAAATCTTATTACATTTTATTGCAAAATACAAAATTGCATTTTCTTAGATGAATAAATATCCAAATTATACAATCGACATTTAGGCTTACGATATTATTATATTAACATTCTTGATTCAGATTACAAATGTTTTTATTAAGTTACTTTTTACTTAAGTTGACTAATACATAGTTGGTGGAGTAAAAATGATCGAAAAAAAAGTTTACTAATAACTATTTACTATTCATAATGAGCAACGTTCTTCTGGGTTCAATAAATTCAGGTTTGATCTCAGAAGTGAAATGCTCATTTGAGATAAGTGACCGTAATATATGGATGATCGTGAGATAGCTATGCGATAATCTGGAAATATGAGAAACTTTATTCTGGAATCTCTGAATTATTTTACGAGGTACAAAAAGAACATCCTATCAAGTGTATTAGATATACGTGATAACAAAAACTTACGTACTAGCTCACGACGAGCAAAGTTCTTCCGGGATTTAACTTTATTGAATATGTTTTATTACTTTGATTACAAGACAAAAAATGACTAGGATCACCTAAATATGAATTTGATTTAAGGGTGCACTTAGCACTTTCTGACATTCTCTCAGTTTTTTTGACATCTCCGATTTTTGATATAGATTTCATCGCATAAATATTATTCTTAATCTTTTTTGCTAAAAATGAAAATATAGCATATGTATACGTTTTAGGTTAATATTTCTTCGTGTTCAATTCAATTATGAGCAAGCATTTTCAAATATGATATCTTGTAAAGTAAAAAATGTGACATTTTGTAAATAAAAAAGCTCTCAAAATTCCAAAACAGAAAATTGGAGAGCCTAGCCCTTATTTCTCCAAACAAGGTCCTTATTAAATTTAGTGATTTATAATAGCATTTTATCTTTCAAAAAAATATTTGACTCTCAAAAATAAAGATTTCAAATAAGAAAAGTAAAAAAAATTGTTTATGCGAAAACTGTCTTGAGGTCATTGACAATTGAAGCAGTGAGTGGCTGTGCCTTTGTCAAGACTTTGAAGTCGACTTTCTGGTTTCCAAACTTGACATGAATCAAAATCTTGAATGGGGTAGAAACAAGAATACCCATGAAAATCTCTTCCTGGCCAATTCGTTGGACTGTTTTGACTCCAATTGCCAAATTCATGAGTCTAGAAACTTCATCAATTGTAAGTCCTTCACTGCGAGGAATTGTGTATACAATTTCGCTTCCACCTGACTTCCAAGCAGCACCAAATTCAGCTGTTGTTGACTGTTGTGGAGCGATGAAAGTCAACAAGTTTGCAGGTAATGGAACATTGATCTTCTTTCCATTATATTCGATATTTGCAGCAAACTTGAATTGAGGGAATCCTTTCATTGTCTTCGGGAATGAATAAGTTGCCAACATTGTAACAGCGTTTTGTGGTGGAATGCAGTTAATTGTTTGTGGCTGAGAAACAACATCTTTGTTGAGAACTTCTGGTCCATCAATAGACAACTTGAAGTCAACAATTGGATTTGATGTTGCATTCATTGCTGCAAGTAATATCTTTCCATTTGATGCGCATGAAATAACTTTAATTGTTTCATCGGAATAAACAGGTTGTGGAGAAATTCCTGACTGAGAAAACTCAGCAATTTGTTGTGGAGGAGGTGTTTGTAACTCTTGTGTTGCAGTTTCAATCATTTGCAACTGTTCAGGAGTTAATTCTGCTGGTTGAGAAACTGGCTGTTCAACTTGTTGTTGTTGTTGTTGTTGTTGAACTTGTTTTGGTTTCTTTGCAATTGGTTTAACACCTTTGAATATTGATGCAGCCAATTTCTCTTTCTTCTCATCCTGGTTGTTTTGTGCCTTCTTTCCAGCGATAGAAAGTTTTGCAAACATTGATGGTTTCTTTGATGGAGAAGATGAAGAAGAAGAATCAGCAGCATACATTCCATCAGGTAAAACAGCTGGTCTAGCTTCTTCTTCTGGTTGTTCAGTGACTAATCCATCTTGTCCCCAAACAGCAGCAACACCAGCAGTGTTCAATGATGTATTATCTTCTTCAGGAGGAGCAGCAACTGGACCACTTCCACTGACACCTTCACTGCTGTAAACTGATGTATTCTGTGGATAAGCAGTGTAAATCAAAGTTGGTTTGTTGGAAACAATTACATCTGTATCTCTGTCATCAATTGGGATGTATTGTTTTCCTCCTTTAGCAATTGCATCATTGACGAAATCATCTAAGAATGAAAGTGTTGGATCCTCTTCAACATTCATTGTTAAAATGATGTTCAATGATTCTCTGAAATTCAATAATTGCAATGCTTCATAACAAATGTTTTGAACAATGATGGATCTCGATTGTTTGTAGTTCTCAAATACATCTAACACTTCTTGAGGAACTTCTTCAATCTTTGGTAACAACTTCAGAATAGCGTTCAAAACCCATTCTCTTGGATTATCATATCCATCTGCCAAATCACACAACAACAAAATAATGAAAGATAAATCGTATTCATCAGATAACTCAGCGTAATTACCAATTACATGGGCAATTACTGTAACAAATACATCAGATAATCTACGAGCAGACTGTGCGACATCCAAGTAAAGATTGACAATTGATCTTCTCATTTCTTCATCGCATTCATCATCAATAATTTTCATGACTTGGAAAGCAACTTCAGGGCGAACTAAATCACCACCAATAGAGAAGAGCTGCTCCATTGTCTTTGCAAACCATATTGGTGATGGAGAGTATTTGGAAGCGATGTCTGTGATTCTATCAGATAAATCACGTCTGATTGTTTCGTTCTTTGTTTTTTGTAAGAACTTCAACATGTTGACAACAATGATTTGTGAATTATCAGGAGAAGCCATCGCGTGAAGGAGATTGAGTGTGATCAATCTGATGGATGGATCAGGATGCTCCAAACAATCAATAATAATGCCTTGGAACTCAGTGGCAAAGTCTGGAATTGATGATAAAAGTGACAAACCAATATATTTGTAATTTTGTTCTCTTGAACTCATGAACAAGGAAATTGCACCTTTGAGTTGAGGAATCTCTGTAAGTTCGAGGCAAATAGCTGTTCTGATGGCTTCATACAGGATGGAAGCTGATGCAGGTGATTCTAAAGTTCCTGTTTGTAATGATTGGGTAATTAAAGGTTCAATCTGTTCACTGATGCCTTCCGAGTTGGCTGCAATCTTCTGCATAAGTCTGTAGATGTTTACAAGGATGAATGGAGCATTAACCTTCTGATGAACAAATTCAATTTTTGTATTCGATGTAAGGATCTGCTGGGCTGTACGAACAAGGTCTGGAACAAGTTCACAGATCTGACGGATGTTAAGTTTGTTATCGAGAAGTGTTGTAAAGGTTGTAACAACTGCATTTACGATGGAAAGGTCTGTATCTGAGAGAAGACGGCAGAGATCTGGGAAGAAGTCAACAACACAGGTTGGATCCTTCTCAATGAAGGAGTGAACACACATTACAGCCTTTTGACGGATAATCGGAACTGTATGGTTAAGACATTGACCAACAAAGCCTATAACTGGTTGAATAAGCTCTGGTGTAACAAGTTGCGCGATGGCTGTTAAGGCCAAAGCCATTGATGTTGGATGGCCGGATGAAAGGTCTCTTTGAGTAGAGTTGACAATGAGAACAATGAGATCTGACTTCGAATCGAAGAGTGCTGAGCATGCCAAATAACCAAGAGCCTTTGTCATCATTTGTGAATCTTGTGTAAGATTAACTGCTTGGATTTGACCAAAAGATGTATCATAGCCGAGAAGTGTAAGATGAACTAATGAGATGACATTCTCGTAAAGATCTGAAAGACCTATTTTTGACTTGCTTAATGTCTTCTTTACATCTTGCATCCACTGGCCAACGATTTGTTCTTCAGCTTCACGGCTCTTACACTCACCTATGTTGACGCAGATGTCGTGGAATGATTTTGAAAGCTTGATCTTCTGAACACCTTGACTGAACATTGGATCAAAAATTTGAATATCGTTTGCTCGATAATTGATAAAAATATAAAATGCATATAATCTTCACCATTGAGATGTTAATATTTTCATTTCCGATAATGTTCGGCCGATCTGTCAAATCAACGATAATAAATTATCTCAAAATTATTTGTAAACTTCTGAAAGAGTTCGTCTTTCAAAATCAATAGCCTTTAACTTGTGGTTTTAAAAATTATTAATGGCCAATGTTTTCAAATCAAATTAACACAAAAAAATCAAAATATTAGTACGATCATTAAATTGATTCATCAAATTATAAAATGTGGCGGCTTTTCAATAGAAACATTAAATATTCTACTAAATTTTATATTTTGGAATATTATTGTGGGTCAAATAAGGGTGTTTTTACCACTTTCTGACATTCTCTAAATTTTTTCAAATCTCTAGCATTATATTCAATGATTTCATAAGGTAAAAAGTTAATATTTTTGGTCGGGAAAAGGTGATATTAAATTAATGCATAGTACCTTATTTGGCAGCTAGATTTTATGAGAGGATGTCAGAAGAAGTAATTGCATGAGCAAAGGAAATTGTCAAATATTTTAATGCACCTTAGCTCTCATGTTTGATGTAGTTTTATCTCATGCACTATCCAAGATTTAATGGAAACTCGATATCCAAAATAGAAAAACTATTGGATTGTATTATGGATAAAATGAATGCAATGCAGTTTGATTAATGGATCTCCTTTGGATTTTCGTCCATTTTCCCTATCCATATAAGAGTTTCATAACTAATTTCATCATTTTCTATGCATGCTTCTTCCCTCAATATCAAGTAAAATCTCTACGATTTTAAAACAGCTCTATTACTTATATATTTTTATTCTCAGAACGGTTGAACATCAAAGCCGATCTTAGTTATAATTCTATATTAATTGGTGTGTTAAATTCTGTAATATTTTCTTCATTTTTTTCATCATTATCTGCAGACAAGCAATATATAATGATCGCTAATGGAATGTATGTTATCAATATAATGAAAATGGTACTAATCTTTAAAACAATTTCGTATGCTTTTGCGCCACATTTGAAATATAAATAATATTCAACCCATAATGTTCGGAAGAGCATATTATGCAGCTGGTTGTATAGGAAACCAAAAACTAAAGTAAATGCTAAAGATTTGAGATGTTTCCTTAAAAAGTATGGCAAATATTCTTCAACTCTTGGTGATAGTAAAAAGTAGCTAATGAGATATCTGCTGATTCCAAGAAAGTATAGAGTGATCTCACCGAGCTTTCGTTTAAAAATTGTTATTTTATTATTCATTTCAACGTCGAGACGAATGTAAATAAGAACGAATAATGCGACACCGTAAATTAGATAAAGATATTTAAGAATCAAAAAAAAGTAAATGAATATTGTTGTATATCTGATACCAATAAGATTAAAAGAACGAAAACATTGAGCAGTATATTCAAATAATGAAATGTTGATAAGTTGTTGTAAAACTTGATAAATCTTGTAATAGCTGTCGTCATTTGTATGGTAATAATAATTGAATACATCAAACGTAAATGCATATGAAAATAATTAAAATATCACTGCTATGAGTAGGCCAATACCTTTAAAATTATGGCTTTTCTTCATTAAATTTTGAGTTCGCAGTGTAAAGGAAATATAATAGATAAAAGGAAGAAAAACTGTCATATAAATGAACAGGTCTGAATAAAAATATGGGTTATCAAACTCGTCGCCACTTATAAATGTGTGCCCCCTGGACTCATTAAGATACTCGTCAATCCGATATATTATAGGAACATTTATATTCCCCATTTGTAATGATTAAATATTGTTTTTATAATGTTTTCACTTTTTGTTCAATCTTATTTTTATAATTAATTTGATGGCTTTACGTAGGATACCGGTTGATATAAATTTTATAATCTTACTTGGTTTGAACGTTTACTTTTTTTTAGTTAATTTTCGTTCTAAACATTAACAAGAGTATATGTACTCAGAAAATATATTTTATAGCATAAATTCAGTTTAAGGTTTTTCTCAGACCAAACGGTCTGTATCGTCTTTCATATCATATTTCTTTACTTCGAGCGATTTTGGCACTTCGAACATGAAAAATTTCATAAAAATACAACTTGAGTTCTTTTAAATGCTCATATGTAGGGCATTATAACCTCATAGTATGAAGTCCGGAAATGCCGTTTTTGATCAATCTTGAGTTGAATAAACTAAAATTTTATCACAAATATTGTGTTTGAACTGCATTATATGCAAACAATCAGTATGTAAAACATATTCTTTAGTTTATTTTGTAATCTAGATGTCTCTTAATGTTAAATTATTTTGATTTTCCAAAAAAAAATGTTATAATATTAATCTACGAAATTCACCAGTTGCGAATACTCATGTGTTGGATTACTGAATTTGATTCATTTTCGATGTTTGAACAGAACTTCTCAAAATTTGCAATTTTTCACTCAATATATCTCATTCTCTGAATCAGAGAATACAATCAGAAGGTGTTAAATAATATTTGATTGGTATCTGAAAAAATATGAAATTCATTTTCAAATAGGTTTGAATTCACTACGTAATGTATAACAAACAGATTACATAAGCCTATTATGTATTATTTTGGTCAAGAAATTCAATAATTAATAAAAAATAAAATTTCATAGGAATAATTAAGCAAAATATGAAAAAAGTATCGATGAAAATGCATTATCTCAGTAAATACATGGTAAGTTATGATCAAAAATCTCAAAATACTTACTCATATTATCAAATTAATTATTTCTCAATAAATTTGATTCGTATTATTATATATATCAATTATATTGTATATGTTTCTCATGATGTAAGTCAATCTCTATAAATATCCCATTTTTGGCTGGGAATTTAGAAATATTGAAGTAAAATTCGTAAATTACCAACTGAGGCATGTTAAAATTATATTATTTCAATAAAATTTATAACTATCTGTTCCATATTCGATTAAGTATTAGCTAGAATATCCAGATTCAGAGTCATAAGACTTACTTCTTCTTTCCTTCTTTTCTTTCTTTTCGAGCTTCTTTCGATGTTTCCTTTCTTTCTTTTCACATTTGTCTTCTTTCCTTTCGCGTTTTTCTTCTCTCTTTTTTTCTTTCCTATCTTTCTTTCTTCTTCTCTTGGAACTTTCCATTTCCGATTCAGAACTTGACGAATTATAGGATTCAGAATCATATCTATACGGCTCTTCAGGCGGCTTGCTGTAAACTTCGTTTTGGTCGTATAAATCTCCACGATCTGACTCAAATCTCATTGGATCTGGTCGTGAATAGCTGTAGTCGGACTTCTTTTCGTATTCGGATGATGATGGTGATGAAGACAACGACGGAGAGTCTGATGAAGAAGATGAAGAGGATTTCTTTGATTTTCTATGAGAATGGTGATGAGAATGACGATGAGAATGAGGGCGCCTGTGGTGATGGTGGTGGTGGCGATGATGATGGCGGTGTTTGCCTTTTGATTTCTTTGATTTTCTGTCATCAGAGTCACTGTCATCGCTTGAAGAGCTATCACTCGAGGAATCATCATCTGGAGCATGACGAGAATGATATCGATCGTATCTTGCATAGCGCTCAGCTCGGAGTTCCTCTGGACTCTTTTTCAACTCGACAGAAATAAAACGATTGCCAATTTTCGTTTCGTTCATCTTCAAGGCTGCTTTAGCTGTATCGTGATCTTTAAATTCAATGATGGCGCTGCCCATGAAGTCCCCATTCGGTCTTGTTTTTAATGTGACGTTTAAAACCTCACCAATACTATCAAAATGAGTCTTGAGTTCATCTTCTGTAACAGAGAGTGGAAGATTCGCGACATAACATAATTTTGTCGTCTCACTCATAAAAAAAATTGAAAAAAGGTGACAAAAGTCAAGAGAAATTTGTCAGAATATAATACTTTCTGATTTGCAACTTATAAGCTTACAGTGGGAATGATCTATTTGAAGGAATTTAGGTCAAGTTTTGGATAAACTCCACTTCAAATTGCACTAAACCTCAACTTTCTGTTTCTAAGTTTTATCATAGGTATCACTTGCTATAATCAAGAATTCAATGACATCAAACTTCGAAAGCTTTCATACGACTGAAGTTATAAAGGAAATCTTGTATATCTTAAAAATTAGGAAGAAATTGTATGTTTTCATTGGAGCACACTGCATTACACGCTAATTTCATTATCTTTTTAATGGTAATCTGATAATAAGAGTTTGTATTTCATTACTTGAATTAATTGTTTCAAAGAAGTAACTCATCAATAGCTTATATTAAGATATACTCTGTCAATTTATGATATTCTAAAAGTACTAGATGCCTTAATTACCAAAACATTATATAAATTTTACTATAATCAGCATAATTTATTATAAGAATATATAAAATACCTGGCAAAATATTAAACATTTGTTTACTATAGTAGATTAAACTGTCAAATTCTGATTATTCTTAAAATTCTGAAGTTAAATTTGAAAATTCAACATATTAATAGTTAATTATATCAAAATTTTCGAACCTACTAAGTCCATTTGATTGGAAAGAAAAATATATTTGGTTAAATTTGTATGAAAATAACAATTATATCTTTAATATAATAACGTCCAATATAAATAACAAATAAATGTATTTAAGCCGATTCCTCTTCATCATCACTATTAGAATCGTTTCCATCAGGTACATCTTCGAAATCGTCGTCAATAATCGTTTTAGGTTCAATGAAATGAGGATTTAGGATAATGTCGTTGCTCACCTTAGGAACGTAACCGCCGTAGTTCTGTTTGTAAAACTTTATGGTCGGATCAACAGTATTTGTGATAAAATTCTGCCAATCTGCTGGTAATTCGATTTTTGTAAGCGAAATCTTTTCAGATATTTCCTTGGATATCTCAATAATAAATCCATGGTATGTTGTAGTAATACAATTCATGTTATTGTGTTCGTCGATCATTTTTTGCATAATTCCGAGGTTATCAATGAAATTGGCCCAAATATCTGACTTTAGGGCTAAAATACTCTTTATAATATCTTTGAAAGCGGAATGTAAAAAGGAATTTGTTGGCTGTTTGAAAAACAGCTTAAATAAGTATCTGGCAACTTCGAAACAGCATTCTGGGCAACTAGAAGTAGTTTCAATAACAGCATATACAAGTTCTACCGCGTTTCTTTTATCTGCTAAAAAATCTTGATCTCGTATGATATAGTCGCATAAAGGTTTCACATTTTCCTGTAATATTTCTAAAATTTCTTGGAAAGGTGATTTCGCGTCTGGTTTTGGTCTTGTTGTGTCTGAGAAGTTATAAATATTTAAAAGCATAGAAAATGACTTTTCGGCTATCAAGCAGGTTGGAGCATCAATACCTGCTTCGAACAGTAGCTTAACGTTCGATGGTGTGCAAAGCCGTTTTATAAGATCATTCGTTTCAGCCGTATCAAAGAAACAAAGGAGCAATCGTAGACAGCATGAAACAGTATATTCTTCGTCGTTTAATTTATCCATCAAAATTTTGTCGGCATCGACTTTATAAAGCCAATCAAATTTATTTGAAATTGATTTGATTAAGAATTGCAAAACGCACTGGTTATCTATTTTCTTGACAAGGTTTTGAAAAAATGTACTTGGATCTGGGACTTTGCTAAGGAAATCAGAATCAATAGCGAACTGTAATATTTTGAAATAATTTGGATAAAATATATCACGAGTAATAGAATCTGTTAATAGGGTTACAACGTTTGTATCATTTACTAAAGCGTCTATAATTTTGGAATTGTGAGAAACTAAAGCCTTCGTACATCTATCAGGATTAAGCTCTTTATTGCTTTCATCGAGATGGATTGCTGTTTTAATTAAAGTTGGGACATTCTTGGCAATAAAATTTGAAATTTTTTCTAAATGCTGACCAAGAGCATTTAGATAACATTCTTCTTTCAAATATCCTTCAAGAGTTAAAACGCCTTGTTCAGCTCCAGCTTCTAATCGCTTGATTGCTTCATGATGAGAGCCCCAAGACATCTTAGTCACTTTTTCGCGGTATTTTTAGGTGTCCCCCCCTTAAAATATTATAAATATTTTTTTTGTGATTTAAAAAAAAATGGAGACAATTGAACAATTAGAAAGCTATTGCCGTCAGAATACCCTTGATTTGGTCATCAAGCTACTCAAAAAGCCTGATATTTTTCAGTCTCTTTTAAGTCTTGATCCAGAATTTCATATTATTGTCTTAAAATATATATTCTTGGAATATTTAGGAGATAACAAGAATTTCTATGAAACACCGGAGATGAAAATAATCAGTAAAAGCTATATTCAGAGATTAAAAAATTCTGATGAATTTAACGATTTACTTAGCATCATTCCGTATAGGGCAGTTCAATATTTCGAAAAATTAGCACCTCTCATTATATTAAACGCTGCATTTGCAAATTTACTTCGTAATCCAAAGTTGGACAATGAAATAGCAATACTAAACGCTAACCCGATGTTCTTCAAGAATAAGATCGTGAGTTCTATACAAATGATTCATCCAAATGCTCCGAAAGTTTTCAATGCGATATATAACCTTGAAATCTTTAAATTACTCGCAAAGGAACTGGAGTGCAAACAGTTTATCAACTACATGGAACGCTTCGATCCAATTCAACAAGATGCCCAGCTAAAATACGGCTCTTCTGAAATATCAACTAGTTTAACAAAAGAGCGCATATATTCAGCCGTCGTTCCGTATATGCTACTTAATCGTACCTCTGATGTTCAGTACATTTTAAGAAATGCCCCGAATTACGTTTTAAATATCATTCCAAGCGCAATTATCAAGCTCCTTCCTTTAAATAACTTCCCACAGAAGCTCATTCCGCTTACTGCTACAATATTCTGCTATTGCAACATGCATTTTCTTTCTATGACGAAGGATTTGGATTCTTCCATGATCATGAGCTGTTTTATCTTACAGTACTATCCATTTGAAGCATTGACATTAATACAAGAATTGATAAAGTCCAAATTATTCACGAAATTCCTTATTATGTATGGAAACATCTTTTCTGATTGTTCCTACGTAGTTTCTCAGGCCATTTTGGACTATGTAATTCAGACAAACGATATTGAAGAGGTCTGGATCGATCATTTGAACTTAGATGATAGAATTTCAGCAGATATCGCTTCTTACTTGATCCAGAAGAACCCTGAGACAACAAACTCCCTCATAAAGTTGTCATCTAAAGGTCTCATGGCCTTTCATGTTGTTGGAAACTCGATGTTTACAAATGAAGAATATTGGACGAGATTTTGCAAATATTACCAGAACAAACCTGAATATATAAGCAATATGGTTCAACTTGTCTCTAACATTTTGGTGTCAAACTGCACAAATTACAAATTTACTGCAACAAAAATTTGTTACGACTTGGTTTTGAGTCGTTATGACACTTACAACACTGATGCAATGTTCCACAACATTAACAATGCTGCCCCTTCAACTGAAGCCTCAACAGAAGTTAGAATTCAATTTATTGATGTACTTATTTCTGCACATCCTCTTAAGAAGTATCTTATTCCATTACGTGACTTAATTCATGATATATGTCATGTGAATTGGTCACAAGTTTATTATCTCATTTATTATGAACAAAATGATCCGAAAATTCTCTGTATGAAGCTGAAATTATTCAAATACAGAGCGAACCAAAACCCAATCATGCAGATACTTCACAAATATTAAGAAATATTCCTCTCTATTTTGTTATGTAAATAAAAATATTAATAATATTAGCAATGAAACTGTATTTTGCATTCACTTTTCTCCAATGACACCTGTTATAGCGATTATACACTCAAATTCACTCTCATAGGAAATCAATAAATGCGTTCATGCTATGTACAGCTCATTAAAGTGATATCTTACTTGTGTTTAATAATAATTGACTAAAAATTACAGAAAGATTGTAAAATTAGAAGAAATAACTTAGAATTTTTCAAATTATTATTGATATTCTTTGTTTAACTATCATATTAACTGATTTATAACCATTTCAATCCATAATGAATAGTTAAGAAATTCCAAAAAATATTTAAGGGTGCACCCGTATGTACGTTTATTTGAGAGGAGGAGGATTACCCTCTCAATTTTGAGGGATTCGTTAGTTTATTTTCTCGATGAATATGCAATAAAATTTGATTTTTACCTTATCAATATACTTCATATAATATACACATGTTCATGTAAAAACTTTTTTCCAAAATCCTCAGGAATTAAGGGATTTTTGAATTTTAAGAATTTTTTTCGAATTTTTTCGAAAAAAAAATATTTTCAGAACAGCCTTAACGGCTAAGATTTAGGAACAATGTTAAGTATCAAAAAGAAAGGAGGTCTGATATAGACAACATATATCGTTGAAGGTTGAAAAAATCTCTAATATTTGAGCCCAAAATTTCAAATTTTAATTTTTTGAAAAAAGAGGCCACCCGTATGTACGTTTATTTGAGAGGAGGAGGATTATATTTTTGAAAGGGTGAAACATTATGAATATGTTAATTATATAATAATATGTATTATTATAAAAAAGAAAAAATAAAGCACGTTAAAATTTTTCTTTCTTGATTTTTTACAAAATCTACTTAGAATTATGCAAAATATGACTAAATAATTATAAATTTCAAGTTAAATTTTAATTTTGATAAATAATTTAAATTTCAAAATATCAAGTTCAGTTCGACTATGTATGTAGTAATTCCTCAATAAAGTGCCAAAACCCTATTAAAATATATGAACATTTTCAACATTTTAATGTTTTTATTTAAAAATTTGATGGAATATGAGCTTCAAACAATTATTATGTAAATAAAAATAATTAAATATATGTATTTATTCGTATTACAACCGTAGTAAGTCGATTCTTCCTTTCTTCTACTGAGGTTTGAATTTGATTTCGAATTGTAAAGAGATTCAAAGGGAAAATACTAGCGGATAAAAACTACCTCCATGAAAGGGTCATAATGGAGTCAAGTTGTATTTTTTGATATTTTTTGCTTTTCGAGCCTAAATAGGTAGCTAAGATAATGCCTAAAAATAAGGTTCTAAATTCTGAAGTTTACATGATCCTCTCGTGTGCACCCTTAAAAAATTAAAATTATCTTTGAAAAATAAGAATTTTATATAGTTCTCTATGATTTTGAAAAAATTTTGGAAATAGAAAGGATTTATTTTAGTATTTATTTTAATTTTCTTTCAATAAATTGTCAAAATATTCAAAATTCGGAAGATTTTGATTTTAATTTTTCAAATATTTGTAACAATATTATGAATATCAATTTGTTAATCGACGAACTATTAAAGCATGCTATTAAAAATGCCAGTTTTCAATCAAGATTTTGGTCGAGGGAAATGACCGTTTTTCAAAGTTGATTTTTTATGAAACCTGCTTATCAGAGGTTTTATGTCACAGAAAGAATACAAGAAATATGCAGAGATACACTTGGAACACTCTATAACGTAGATTTAGCCTATGTTACTCAGTATATTTTCCGAATTTGCAAAATAACAGACATGATTTCACGAGAAGATAAAAGAAATAAGATTGCTCTTCAATCTCATTTAGAGAAATATCGCAAAGAGATTATTCCAAATCTAAACGATCCTGAATTTCAACAAGCAATCATCAATGCAATTATAAAAGCTCGCATTTTTAGTAGAGGAGCACATCCAAATCCTGAAGATCCTAACCGAGTCACTGAAACACAAGTTTCTACTAATGATAGTAAAAATGATAACCAAAATCAAACAAAAACTAACCAAGATAATAGTAACGATTCAAAAACCGAGAATAGAGATCAAGAAACTGAACCTAAGAATACTAACAAAGAAACAAATATCGAAAATACACAACATCCTAAAGAACCTCAAAGTTCCAACAGGGCTTTTAAGCCTATTAATAGACCAAAATCAAGGAACTCTCGAAATTCTAGTAATGAAATCAAGAATTAAAATCAAGATGAAAAATACAAATAATTTATTAACTATCATTGAATGATTTTGAATATATATTCTTTTGACGTTAACTTTACATCATGATCAATTTGAAATTGATTTCGATATAAAAAGTCAAGAAAAATGCTTGAAAAACAAGCATAATTTTGTTGTTATTACTCATACAACCAAATAGTAAATATTTCATGCGGTTGTATTATACTAAATACCTATTTATTAATTACAAATATAATATTAATGATACATGCCTTGATATGGCTGACCAGATCCTTGAGGAGGCTTCTGCATTGCATTTACTCCTTGCTGGTCGTTCATTTGTATAACATTCGGATAAAATTGATTTTGTTGTTGGTCATATAGTTTCTGTTGAGGGATAACTTGTGGTTTTTGAGGCACAGGGGGAGCCTGAATTTGAATAGCCTTTTGAGCTCGGTTGATAATATTTTCTTGATTAATAATATTAAATTTATCAGAAATAACAAAGAATTTCGAATAGTAAAGCTGTTGAACAATAAACTCTTGAATGAATATATTCGTTCCCGAGTTTGATCTAATAGTGCCATAAACTGTTATATGTAAGTTTGTCTGTATTTGGTTGACTGAATATGATGAAATAGAAAACTGTGAGTCAGGTGTGAGCTTTATATGTAAATCGTTCAAACATTTAGAGATTGGAAGGCCTTCGATATTAGAAAATTCTGGTCTCCAAATTATAGCTGAATCTAAATAAAATTTACGAAGCTCACTCGGTTGGTAGACCATAATTGGATAATATGCTTTAACAAAATACTTGGTAAACTCGATACTTTGACTAGACATTGAGATAGTCTATAAAATGGCACTTTTAGGTCGAGTTGTCACTTTTAGAATTGATTTTTTAAACGTCACTTTTCATTGAAGAAAAATTATTATAAAGAAAAATGACCGAACAAACAACACCTACAGAAAAGAAAGACGTACCAAGTCGCAGAGGATTCTCAGCTGAAGACGATGCATTCATTATGTGGTTCTTTTACTGTTGCCAATATTCAGATAAAAATATATTAACAACAGCATTAAAAATAACTATCAGACAAGCTTACGATAGATTCTTAGAGGTGAAAAACAATCCAATTTTAAAAGATCGCTGCTTAAATTATGTGAAAAATAATCTTTTTAGCTTTAAACCCGTTCCAATTTCCAGATTAGACTTATATTACTACTCAAAAATCAAAAGGACTTTAAACATTCTTGATCAAAATCAGATTATGGAAAAATTTCCGTTATTATTCCACCCAGCTATCTCTCCACTCGAGATGCACAAGAAAACAATTACATCACCAGATTCTCTCAACTTAGGAATTGAAGGATATATTACAGAAACTCAGCAAAGCGTTGAAGGCTTAGAACTTGAGCCATTCCCTGGAAATTTTGCAGATCCGGTTGAAGAAGTACGCAAGCTTATGGATCAGCAGGTTGATATTGAGCAAGTGAACATTAAAAAAGAAATAGATTCTTTGATTGCAAATGCTTTTAACGATGCGCCACCAAAAACATATGCTGCTTTAATTGGCCAGTTCTGTATTCATTATATTGATAAAGCAGTTGTGAAAATTGGTCGAAATTCTCCAAAAATCAAAGTTGATATCGATGTTGAAGACCCAGAAAAGAATGATCTATCAAAAATATCTCGCCATCACTGTACACTCTTTTTGGCAAAAGATCTGAAGTTTTATATCAAAATTTTCGGAAAAACAATAATTATCAATGGTGAATTATTCAATCAGGACCAAGTTATCCTAATGAAGAACCACGATATCATAGATATTGGTGGTCAACCATTGATTTTCGTGGAAAATCAAGAAATAATGTCCAAAATTAGATCTTTATAAATTATTTGACCATTTTACTTGTCTATCCAAGACTATACTATGCATTTGTAATGTTACTATTCCTATACTATATAAACATTTGTTTGTTTATCAAATTACAGAATCATTTTTTTTTTCATTTATCAAACTTATATTATGAACTCATATGCAGACAAATGAGTCACAGTAAATTGTTTAATTTACCAATATGAAATCAAATATTCTATCATAATGTATTGATCATTGGAAATTTACAAAGGATCAAATGAATATAAATCCAAACGAGTAAAAATCGTAAGAACTATAAAAGGAAGTAATGCTGTTTTTCTTAGTAAGGAACCTCAATTTTTAAGAAATTATTTTTCTATCGGAAAAAAGTTTTTATTTCTTAAAATGAGTAAAGTATTCTTGACAAGCACTTTAAGATGATGCGTCCAACCTTAAAAACTTTCAATCACCGATAATTAGTCCGAATTGAGTGACCCAGATGTTCATTGAAAAATTTATTTTATTTCAATGACTATTCAAAATCTTAACACAATTATTTCATTTAAACAATCGACATACTGAGAAGTACAATAGCTGCATTATTAATTCCAAATAAATTCCTCAGAAAAAAATTATTTTTATATAAAAGCGACATTTTAAAGTTCCATAATAATTTATCCAATTATTTTTTAAAATTTAATGCAATTCAGTAAGTTATTGATATTAATTTTAGCGGTGAAACCAACCTTAGTAAAAAGAAATCATTCCTTATACCATTTTAACTAATTCCTCACTTCTTTTCACCCTTTGAAATATTTTTATTCAATTTTGAAATACATTCAATGTTTGTGAGAATATAATGGTGAATTAGATAATGATTAAATTATAATGTACTACCAAAATAATTTGTTTCCTAATGAGTTCGTTTTTAAATCAAATTTTTGACAAAATAAATTATTAAATGTCTAAATCAAAGACTCTGATACCAAAAACAGTGGTTCAGATCTTTAGTGAGACAATATATGACTATTACACATACATCCTTGACAATTTTGTACTTCCTGTCTGGGTTTATCACTTAGTTCGTGTTTACATCACATTCAGTACATGCTTATTATTCACAAATTTTCATCAATCTGGAACAGGTATTAAACCATTGGAAGTATTTCTTAATCTTTATGCTACAGATCTCTCAGAAAAATGGGCAACAATAAATTTTGTAATTGATATGATCTTATATACTGCAATATATACAAGCATCGGATACCATTCACTCGTGTTTACAAAAAAATCACATCTAAGCAAAACTTCAACATATTTAAACGTTATTTGCGTAGAAGTTATAATTCCTATCCTTTTGTTAGCCACCGGAAGCCAAATAGGTAATAATGTCGGTCTTATATATAAAAATATGAAAAATTACTTAATTTGGGTTTATACAATAATTTTACTGTTTTGGCTTATTTTAACATTAATTTTCCATAACTTATTCTTATGCTCCTATATACATTTTGTACCAGGAAGAACATTTACCCTTTCAGCTGCTCTCCAAGGATTTGATATGAATGTTATCATATCCGTGAGATTATTTGCCAGATGCGCCAATGCTCTAAATGGCACAATATATGCCATTGGTTTCAGGGTTGCTATTGCATTAGTTCTTTTATTCGGAATTTTGATAATTTTATTCTACAACGTATACATAAATCGTAAATATTCAGGATTCATTTGTGCAACATTCTGTGCAGGTTTTGTGCTTGATGTCATCAGCATTTTTGTTTCACTTGACTGGGTTATTAGATTACTTATCTTCAGTTGTGTCATAATGATTGGAAATACGGCTATTTACAATGTCCTTAAAGCAGGGTCGAAGAAAGCTAAGGAAATTTACGATGCTTTTGAAAATGAGGAATTAGAATTTGAAGATGTTTATCCAAAGCTTAATGACCAGTTCCTCAAACACTGCTATGAAGCATTTAAGATGGGACATCCATACTTTTTCACATTTAAGCCTATTCTCAATGGAGCTCATCACGAGAATACAAATAAGAAGATCTGGAAGTTCTATTTACGTGTTCTTGCCATTTACAACAACAAAATATATGATCTAATGAATGCCTCACAAGCATTTAAGAGACTTGGATTTAATGATTTACAATCTCGTCTTTTTATTCGAGGCATTGATCATATTATTGATATCAGATCCAGAAAAGTCACCAAACAATGCAAGAATATTATGAAGAATATCCAAAGCCATACGAGAACGCTCAGAACTACATTAGTGAGATACTGGCAAGCAATAGAAAGTGATGAACCGGGATCTACATATGCATACGGATCTTCAGCACAGAATCAAATGGATGAGATCGACAGAATGTACGAATCAGTATTAACAAAATGGCCAAATTGCGCTCCTCTCTTCAAGCATTATGCAAAGTTCTTAAATACAGTTTGTTTCAATAAACTTAAAGGAGAACAATATAATGCTTTAGCTGCAATCAAGAGAAGTGTCGACATGTTGGAAATCAGGGCGAAAAGGTGTTTTCCCCTGATTCCGCTTCAAGTAGAGTCTGACAATCTTTTCCAGCCGAATCAACAACAGCAACAACAGCAAAGTGACCAAGCATCATTATTATCAACAGGACCCATTAGCAATTCCAGTGAAATAGAGCAAAATGAAGAACAAGAAGCTGAATTAGTTGCTCAGAATACGCTCTACGAAATGGGAAAGAACGCACGAGTACCTGTTAACACAGCAATCAACGTTATTGTCGTTGTTGCATTCATTTTCCTCTTCATCATGGGAATAATTTTGGCAGATGTCGTAGTTTTGAAGAAATACTACATCTACGAGACTCTTTTACGCTTTTTATCATGTTTCACCTCTATTTTATTCTACACATCACGTCCTGTTTACAGAATTGCATCATTAGTTACAGATGCCTTAGGAATCTCATATGATTTGCAAAAAACAACATAAATCCTAGGCGGAAACGAAACCGTAGAACTTGACTCTCACGAACAGATATTATCAGATATTAAAACTGTAAATGACTTTGTAATTGAACTCAGTCAACTTAGACCAGATACAATGCAATATATAGGTAATGTCTCATATGTGTTAGCCGCTTTGCAAGTTCCTTACAACTTTTTGTATCGAAATAACCAAAATATAATTAATGATACTAAAGTTGATATTAATTTCCAATCAGCTCTTAATCTACAAGTAGGATCCATTGCAACTTACCATGAAAACTTTGCAGCTGATCCTCAAGCTGTAATTTATTCGAAAGATTTCATGTATTTGCTTGAAAACAACTACAGAGTTAATGGAGCCATTGATCCAATAACTAAAATGATCACTCAACACATGCTCGAATATACTGATGAAATTTCAAAGGTTGCTCTAGAAATCTCAGCTATCTTTGCATGTATTTCTTTGATAATCTTTCCTATAGTTGTTGTTTTACTTAGAATACAAAGTGCTGAATATTCCCAAATTGTTCATTCTTTACACAAAATTCTAACAATTGTTATTATTCAGCACATTTCAGAATTGACATTAAAAAACAGTGAAAAAGATAAAACAGAAAAATTCGAATCTGCTTTACACATACAAGATTCGCATGGCATCCCTTCTTTGTTATTAGGAATTCTTAATGTGATTTGTATTATTGCATTCATCATTATTTCTTTCCTTAATTTATATGTTTTATCCAACTCCAAAAAGAAATTCCAAGTTTTACCATATCAATTAATGAATGGTGCAACAATGGCAAGTAATATTTATGATCAAATGGCTGTTGCTAAGAGAATATGGGCATATAATGCAAGAAAAAGATTAAATGCTGATGGAAGCTTTTTAGCAACAAAGGTTTGGCCAAAAACAACAGGAAAAATTCTTACCAATGTTGATAACGCATTGTTTGGAAAAATTGATAATATTAGTTATGGATTTCTTTTGACTGATTCTGCTTCTCGTTCTCTTTTCTTTGAAACAGTTTCTGAAGCAACGACAAATACGTTGCACCACATGTTCCTTAAGTTTGGATTCATCTTTTCTATGGAAGCCGATGTAAGTGAAATGAGATATTTCTCTGAATTTACGAGAAACAAAAATGTTTTCAACAAAGATAATGAAAGATTATTAAATATGATTCATTATAATGATATTCACTTAACTTCCAGTGTTTTGGACAAATTGTTGAATAATACATTCACTGATATTGATACAGATCTATCAGAACAAAAGTTCTTTGCTATTCTCACGCCAATAATTGGCTTTATTGTTCTTGCAATTTTAATTTCTATTTTTATTTATTATCAAATGCAAATTTTGAGAACTTTTAGATTTACAATTTTGAGTTTGTCAATGTTAGATCAGAAATTCATACAATCCAATGAGAGATTGCTTGATATTGCAGCAGGAAACTTCTCTAGTGATAGCCAGAGTAATTCCATCCCAACACATTACATCGATTGTTTGAAGGAATCAACAGTTGATGCTGTTTTAATTACCAACAAAAATTTTGACATTTTAGAGTCGAATCATGCGGCAAAGACTTTGAGTTCTGCTGCTGCAAATGCCAAAAATATCGAGGATATCATTGGTTTGCCAGAAGAAATCAAGAAAGTTGCAAATTCATCAACTCCAACGTCAGTGTCATTTAAGAAAACACTTAAAAGTGACAGTGGACAGTCGTATGAAATGGACATTTCCTCCACATTATGCAGCAATGACCATGTGATGATTATCATGCATAGAGATTTGATTGGAGAGCAACTGGCTGAAGACAGGAGAAAAACCGAGAAAAAGCTAAAAGATATATTGAATAGAATTGTTCCACATGATTTCAGGGAAATGTTTGGTGAAAGCCCCTTCAAAACCGTTTCATTTGATAATGTTTTGTTATTTGCGGTTAGACCAACAAATATTACTTTTTCTGCTGAAGAGAGTGATGAATCTTTTCAGGTTGTTCTTCAGAGGATGAAGAAATTTAATGAAATTGTTATCTCAGCATCGAAAAATTCAGATGATTGTGCAATTGTTAAAAAGCATAACATGGCAATGATTTTGTGCTATAATCTTAAGACACAGAAGAGGACAATGCAGCAGCCGCTTGCACAAGCAATAGAAGCAATCAAAGAGATAAGGAATGAATGCGACAAACAAGATATTAAGATCGCAGCAGTTGCAGTGTTTTCCAGACAATCTGTGATTGGAATTGCTTCATTAAATAAAGCGAACTTCAACATTTTTGCTCCTGAAATACCTTTACTTCTTAAGGGATTGAGTACTGCAGGAGATGATGAACTACTCCTCTCCAAAGTAGATAGAGATATACCTCAGAATATGAGAGATAAAGTCAGACAAAGTGAAGATTTCTTAGTCATCAATATTCATGATTGTTAATTTCAATAAATTTAAATTAATTTTTTTCTCCAAAACATTATTGGATATTGATTAACCTCGTTCAATATAAGATACAGGATTGAAAAATTTATTCATTCATATCTAGATACAGTTTTCACGGCAAATGACTTTTGATTTCTCTAGAAAAGAAGTGTTTCTACCAAAAATATGAGCGAAAAAGGTAAATTTTATTGATAAAATAGAATACACATACAATACAAATACATTCCATTGGGATGACCTTTTTTCAAGAACGATTATCGTCTGTTCTTGGAATATCTCCTTGTTATTCAAATTGTATTTTGAATTCTTATATTACGTTATATTTAATAAATATTTGTTTATAATTTTTGATGATTATTGATATATTATAAAAATACTAGATAAAATGATATTTCATTTTCATTTCGAATACAATTGAGAACAAAAAGTGATAGAATTTTAAACTAATATAATGGGTAACATTACTATTGGACACTGCATTTGTGGTATCATTTTCAAATTTCAATTCTAAAGTGTTGGGATATCATAAATAATCATAAAAGGCAATGATCTAATAAAAAAATTTCGAAATGCTGGACATTTTATCCTTCTCATATCTTATTTACAATTTATAGCTAATATGAACCTTGTATCTAATATCTAGATCAGATACTAATTCAAAAAAAAATCATAAAGACATTGCCATTTTTTTGTGTTTTAAAAAGTGCCACGGCCAAAAAATTTTAAACAGCATGTCAAGCTCTGAAAATTCAAAAAATGAGACTGGATATTATTTTAATAATACCAAGCCAATTGAAATATTTGAATACCCAGATCAAGCTTCAAAACTTATTTGGGGTGTCAATCGCAATAATATTTTACAAATATCTTCACAAATTATAGAATTCATTAAAACACACAAATTATCTATCCAAATACCACTTTACCTGATTGATGCCTTTTCACGAATTCGTGTTAAAGATCTTAAATTATTTTCAGAACTTTACCAAAAGATATTAAAAGAATTCTCATGCATTATCGAACCTGAAAATGATAAATTGACGACACTTCTACATTACAAAGGTTTCAAATTTGAAAACTTCATACCTGAATGGGGAGAAAAACAAATTCTTAATTTGTATTCACCAAAATCTCCTTTATACTATATTGCATGGGATAAAGTTGATGCTCTTAAGAGTAAATCCCCAAAACTTAAAATTAATGAGCGCATAGGTTGGATATTCACGCCACTTGACTGTGCAATTAGATATGGATCAGAATTGTGTTTCAATTACTTGAAAAATTTAGGAGCTGAATACACTGATTACTCCGAAAAATATGCTGTTCAAGGCGGAAATAAAAACATTTTTATGCAAATGATAGAAGAAGGTAAATCATTTGATGACATGATTAATACAGCATTGGATTATTGAAACTATGAAATTGCTGAATATCTTAAATCAAATCTTGGACAAACTCCTGATTCAATAGCAGAAAGTATGTATTTCGGAAATTATGATGTTGTATCTTATTTACTTACTAATGGTGGAAATATCAGCGAAATTTATAATCTCTTTCTTTTCATATTTACAATTATTTAATAAGATTATATTTCTTTTCAAATTTATCATTGTTTTATAGGATTCTCTTTCATTTCATATTTATCATTTTTTTATGATTTTCTCTTTCTTTTCATATTCATCATTGATTTATACAATTCTCTTTCTTTTCATATTCATCATTGTTTTATAGAATTCTTTTTCTTTTCATATTTATTATTGTTTTATAGAATTCTTTTTCTTTTCATATTTGTTATTATTTTATAAAATTCTCTTTCTTTTCATATTTCTCATTGAAAAAAAAAAAAAAAAAAAAAAAAGGAAGTGGGGCTTCCAGGCACTTCGTGCCTTCTAGCCCTGAGGATGAATGAGTATAATGAAGTTTTTTTTTCTTGGGGTGGGCTTCCAGGGGCTGCGCCCCTTCTAGCCCACATAAATGAAGTTTTTATTCGGAGGGCTTTCAGGCGCTTTGCGCCCTCTAGCCCATAAGAAATTTTGCCCAAGACCCAAGAGGAGGACCGAACCCCAGCCGACCAGCCGTTGACTTTTTTGTCAAGACTTCTTCATCGTAAATGTTTTGTCAAGACTTCTTCGTAAAGACTTTGTCAAGACTTCTTCATCGTAAATGTTTTGTCAAGACTTCTTCATCGTAAATGTTTTGTCAAGACTTCTTCGTAAATGTTTTGTCAAGACTTCTTCGTAAATGTTTTGTCAAGACTTCTTCGTAAATGTTTTGTCATGATTTCTTCGTAAATGTTTTGTCATGATTTCTTCGTCATAGGCACGGAGATAGGACGGTTATTTTACAAAACTGACAACACTTTGACCGAGTAGTTTTTTGTGCTGAACAAAAAGTGTCATACAAACATCTGTCAAAAGCCGCTTTTTAACTTCACTTAAAATGCCACGTAAGCTACGTAAGAATATACGTAAGAGGAAGAGAGCATTGAAACATCCAATAGTAAAACTGACACCACAACAACAATTGCAACAACAAATGCTGAATGACCCCACTATGTTGCAACAAATGTCAAGCAATCCTATGCTTTTAAACCGAGTTGTTGGTGCACAGAGTGGAGGTTTAAGAGCGGCACTTTTAGCGAAAATGGCAGGCTATGGTGGAGCTGCAGACGGAACAGCATATAACCCTCAAAGTCAAATGAATTTGAGTTCACTCAAAAATCAAATAACAGATGTCAAAAAGTCAAACATAGACATACAGAAGCAAATAAGTGAAAACGAAAAGAAACTAGAATATGACAGACACACAAAGAAACTCAATGAGTTAAACGTAGAGAAAAAGAAGAAAGAAGAACAACTGAAAGAACTAAGTACAGAGGAATATGCGAAAAAAGTGTCAGAAAAAGCAACAGAAGTAGCAAAAATGGAACAAGATGTCATAAATTTGAAAAACCATACTACTCGATATAAAGTACTGAAAGATGAAGAGATAAAACAAAAAGCCCTGAAGACATATATGGATAGCGATGAGTATAAAAAGAAGTTGAAGCAAATGTAAAGGCAGAAAAACTTTTACAGTTGCAAAACCAAACCGTACAGTATGAAAACTTAGCACAAGAAAGTAAAAATAACGACGCGGCTATGCAAAAGGCAATGAAAAGCGCAGAATATATAAAAGCTAACAATGACTGGTTAGATGCCCAAGCCAACGCTAAAGCAGCCCAACTCATAGGGTCAATAAGGACAAAAATACAAGCGGATGAAGACAGTTCAAATGAAGCTTTAACAAATGCTGACTTTAAGAACGCCTTCGAAGCTCTTCATAGTAAGGTGAAACAAGTGAACGACTTCTCATCTGGAAAGAAACTGAAGTCTGAAGGTTTCGACAAAGAGTTAAAAGAAGTAGCACAAAATATGACGAAAATAACAGATGCAGCAACGAGACAGGCAGTTCAAAGTGCCTATGACGCCGTTAGAGCAACTGTTGTGAAAAGTCAAGAAAAAGAGTTACAACAGACCAAAACAGACCTAGTAAATGCTTTCTTAAGAACGAAAAGTCAGGTAGGACATTACGCTGCAGATGGAACATATGTGCCAGCTGGTGGAACTTATATACCAGCTGTTGGAATTTATATACCACCAAACCCTCCAAGAGAAGCACCTGCACCAGGACTACCTAAAACATTTACATCGTCACATGGACACAGACACAGGCATGCACCAAAACCAACACAACAACCAACAGTTCAAAATCCAGCACAACAACAACAACAACCAACACAACAACCAACACAACAACCAGCACAACAACCAACAGTTCAAAACCCTGCACAACAACAACCACAAACAGAGCAAGGACATAAAAGAAGTAGAGAACAAGGAAACCAAGAATTCTTAAAAAGGCTTAAGGAAGACTATGGTTACCCAGATAGTATTGACTTTAGTGACAGATATAAAGAAGCTATTAGAAAGTTCAAGGATGGAAATACTGACCCGAACCTATTTAGCTTTATGGTTCAGCACCAAATGGGATATAATTTCAAACCTGGAAAATACAAGCTCGCTAAGGGATATGATTTAATAGCATATCATCCAAATGACATGACTGAATTTACTCCGAGATATTTGATGTCAGAGCTAAATGACAATTCAACTCCCGTCATGAAACGCGTAAAAAATAGAGACGGAACGAAAGAAGAAAGGTTTTTGAGTCCGGATGACTTAGAAAGGGAACTTGTTAAAAACGGTCTCGGAATATATGAAATGCCAGCAGATGAGGTACAAGAAACTCCACAGGAAGAAATAGTTCAGATACAACCAGACATGGAAGAAATAGTTCAGCAACAACAGCTAGAAGAGCCTGAAGGAAACGAACAAGTCACTCCTTTGGAAACTAACTTCACAGAACTAGATGAAGATTTGGAACAGCCGAAAAATCTTGACCCTCAACAAGAGTATGCGGAGAATATGGAATATTTCCAAGAGTCTAAAAAAAATTCGGCTGACATAGTAGAAGAATATCGAAAAATGTTTGCCGACATACAAAAGACTCCAACACCAGATGAAAATATTCAGCATAGAATGGAAGTACTGAAAGAAAATGTACACAAATACAACAACCCTTTTTACTTACGAGCATTTAACGTTCAATCTTTGGATGAACTCGGTGAAAATAAAAGGTTAAATTTCAACAAAACATATAGAAATGAAACATTGTTTAAAGTTCATTCAGAACCTAACCAAGATGGAAACAAACCTACTTTTGTTTCTGCAGACGATGGAACTACAATGAGATGGGGTCATAAAGCTAACCCGGATAGGTGGTTCATAAACTTACAACCTCAATTCCAAGAAGTTGTAGACGCAATGGAAGTCAATGGTGAACCAGATATAGCTGGTATTTTAAGCGCGGCTTTAATGCCATTGAAAGATATGAAACATGCAGATATTTTGGACCAGTATGAAATGAACATGGCTGATGGAAATATAACACCTGACGTTCTAGAACATTTATCTCAAAGAACTACACAGAACCATAAAGATGGTATATTTGGTGAAGAGTTTAGAAAGAAAGTTAGGGAGACAGAAGGAAGAGAACCTATTGTACATGACCTTGCAAACGAAAGTTTACAAAATGTCATAAAAACTTACTTTGCAGACAATGAACCGAGAAGGGATGAATATTTAAGAAAACTCAAATGGACAGTACCAAATGAAATGTTAGTATTGAAAAACATGTTCCTTGACAAAATAAAACCAACTACAGAAATAAATGACGCAAGACTGAAAGATTGGGTAAAAGCTTTCCCATTCACAAAAGATATTGTTGGTAACATGGAAAGAAAACCAGAATGGCTACAAAAACATATATTTGGAAACGAGCATATTCCATATGGACAGGCACTGTTTGAAGAGCTTGAACCGGAAACTCAGGAAAGAGTCATGCAAACAATACGCGAAGACTCAAATACAGACTATGACAAACTCTTTCTAGGATATAGGTTACCTGAGATGGGCGACCAGAGCCAAAAGGCAAAAAGGACATGGGAAATTTGCAACATACTAGATGAACATAATGCAAAGATGCAACAACTTCAAGCAGAGGGCAATGAAGGAAAAAGAAGAGTTAAAAACTCAGTCAGGAAGAAAGTAAAGCTTGGTACGAGTGGGTTCTATTATGACACATAAATCCAACTATTCTATATTTTTACCCATATGAAATGTACGCCGCTCAGAATATAACGCCAACAGTTTTGGATGCTATGAACGGAAATGTTTCCGAATGGTATAACGAATGCGACAATGCCATTAGAAGGTCAGAAATAGTTCCTGGAACTTACGAATATACAACTGCTGTTTCTTATGGAAATGTAGGTGAGTTTGGTGAAGGTTCTTCAACAACAGTAGATATTGCTTGCGACAGGTTTCATATTATTTCTATTGACAACTCATTCTTATACGTGGAACAAGACATTGAAATAAAACCTTCTGCCAAGTTGTCTGACAAGAAAGGTTGCAATGGAATTTTCTATGTCGGATACCAATATGCTCCAGAAGTTTTCATGGGATATAAGATATATTCTAACTCTGACTTAGTTCAAACAGTAACATGGGCAAACTATGAATGGTTCGCTTTGAGAAACTCAGTACAACCACAAGCTAGAGAACAAACAGACCAGTATGCAACTATTGAGAAAATAAGAAGACTTGACCCTAACGTTCCAGGAGTTTATGTTGACCTTTCTGGACAAACTGCAGCAGCAGTAACCAAAGTAAAATTGAAACTTAGAGTTCCTTTGTCATCTTTCCTCATCTTCAGGTTTTTAAGATACTTGCCAAACTGGGCAGGAAAAATTTCTATCGAACTTACTCCAAGCAAAAATAACTTAGTCATTGCACCAACACAAGACCCATTCAGCATTGCTGTAGCTGGAACTGGTGGAGCCAAGTTCTGTGACTTTTGCAAAGACAAAGTTGACTTAGACTTTGGTTTCTCAAACCTCAACACTGAAGTAAACTACTACTTCAATGCTGCTGGAACTGCTTGGGACCCAGTTAAGTTCACATGCGAAAAGTTTGAATGCAAGAGAATAGAAAGCAGACTTGCAGTCTATATGTTGGACCCAGATATTTCAAATGCTTTAGCTGCCAAATATATTGCAGTTCCACTTATGTTCCCTATACACCAAATATCTGTCAAAGACTTTGCAGGTGAAGTTGGAAACCAAAGTGCTGACCCAGGTGCAAGAACAGATATTGCCTTAACAACTGCAATGAAACATGCAGATACTATGTTTGTACTGTTCAGACGAACTATAAATGACTATTCTTGTTTCTACAACCCCGGTATTAAATATCATATAAACATAGATGGCAAATACTATCCAAGAGAAGAATATTCCACAGTTGAGGATATGAGGTCATACAACTTGACATTAGATGCTATGAACTTTAACAACAACTTCACAACAACCATTAACCCTGAAATGCAAAGTTCTATTATGCCATATGTGAAAGTATGGACTCATACAGGAGCTCAAAACACTCAATATACAAATGGAGACCGTTCAAACTTTTGGCTTGGCATTCCATTTGCTGACTCAGAAGACTTTATGGGTGTATTTCAACTGTTGGTACAGTTCAAATACAATATACTGGTGACAGAGACGGTCCAAATGAATTGAAAGCAAAGAAGTTTACAAAACCAATAGCACTTTTCACGGAAGATGCTCTTTTGAAAATTCGTTCGATGAAACCTGCTGGGCTCCTCAGATTGGTATAACGACAGCTTCCATCGAGCAGATTTTGGCAGCAGGTCAGTAAGTTGTTCTTGAACTGACTTCTCTCCGTCAAATATTGACAGTACGCCAGTTTTGATATAATATTGTATTAAAAACTTTCCTTTAGAAATATCGGTCAGTTTTGTTGTTATATTTTTGTCAACGTCAAGAACTTTCACCATCTCGGTTATACCAACTTTCTTTGCTTTATGAAAATATTTGGTTCAGCAAAGACTGCTATTCTATAACATTTTCCATTGTTTGTGTAAAGAATACTCTGTCAATGAACTTGTATTGTTTGTGTGTGTAAACTTTGTTTTGCTTCAATTCGAAGAGATACTCAAATACGTCCATCTTTTTATTCTAAGTAAAATGTCATTTCCGAAAAATAGAAGCGTAAGTGTTTCAAAAGGTTTAATGGCGGTGGCAGATGTGAAGTTAAATTCACCAACTCAAACAAACAGTCAAAGTGTTGTTGTCAATGTCAAAGACAGAGATGTTGAAGTGGGGAAACCATACGAAGACGAAGATGGTATAACAATTGTTCCTGTAAAAGAACAACCAACATATCCTGAAGTTAGCAGAGACTTAAGTTCTTTGCAGATATTCGAAACGACTACCAACAACTGAAAGACAAACTTCAAACTCAGGAGAAGATTTGTCAAGCTTTAAGTATAATGTTAAACTTGGTCGAACACAACCCTGTAAAAGTGAACTCATATGTCATTGCACCTCATGAAGTTTTGAAAGAACTATTGAAACTTTGACAGAGGCAGACGATATAAACATCAAAGAAATAGAACCCGACATTGCTTGCTGTGGTGTTTCATATAATGTCATTGACAAGATATACGTTATGAAAGGAGGTGAAACGTTGAACTTAAAGTATAGTTTCCCAGACGTCATAAAATATTTGACGACCACAACATTTCATTAAAATTTATTTGCTAAGTAAATGGCAGAAGACATAATGGTTTATACTATTACGACTAAAAACCCTGAGTCATATAATTCTATAACAACAAACTTACAAAGTCCTCAAGGACGATATTGTAAACTAACTTTAAACACAATGACGACTAAAGCCTGTTTTGCTCTTTTGACACCAGAAGACTTTTATTGTTGTGAATGGTAAAAAATACTCCTTTGAAGATACTTACTCAGATATACCACCAACAGGTTTTGTTGACTTATTTAATACTTTAAGGACGGATGTAACATGTGCTGCAACTAGAGCAGGTTTCATTATGTTTGGATGTCCGACTGAGTTTACTATAAACATATGAGCTATAATACAAAACTTATTTCTGGTTTTTACTACCAACAGTTCCTATAACAGGAAAAGGTGTCATACAAGGAATGTCTATTCCATTGACATTAAGCACACCAATCTTATATATTGTTTCAAACTTAGGTTCAAAGTGTTATTCGAATGTCGACAGAAACTACTATGACCAAAAGATACTTATGCGTATAAACAATACTTTCTCTGCTGGTTTGCCTATTGTTCATTCGAATGCAGAATTTTCAACCTTAGTGAACTCAAACACTTTGGCAAGTATAACGTTGACATTAGTTGACGCAAACTTTGTTCCTGTAAAACTTTTATGTCCTATGTATTTGTCAATGACGGCAGAAAGTTTCGAATTGGAAGATGCAACTGGTGAAAGTATTGTATTACAAGAACAACTTCAACAACAAATAGCTCAAGAACAACAAATGCAACAAATGCAACAACAAAGTCAAGAATAAAAAAAATATTTTTTTTTATTTTTATAAAAATGTACAGAATAGATGTTTCAGTTTTTATGACTTCCAAGCATTCAGAAATATGTGTCCATTTCGAGACTATAACAAAGCAGTCGAGAATTTGAAACGTTTAGTCATTTATGTTGACTCTGCCCAGAATGTTATGTCATGAAAGAATGGATGTTGTCTTTAACAAACCAAGAGCAACAATAGTTTCAGAACAAGAATGTAGACAGAAACTTAAGAAAATAACAGTCGTACAAGTTGGTATGAAGATGTTAGATGCTTGGGATATTATTGTCAAAGTTAGAAGATTTTTCAGTTCGTGGTATAAAGTTCTATCACCTTCTCCAAACTTCTATTCTATCTTCACTGGATATAAATACGAACAAGTAGAATGGAAAAAATATTATAGAAGCTTGGGTTAGACCATGTCAAAGAAATTATATGCAATGGAAACGAAAAGGTTATGAGTATATCTTATGTTGGTTTGCAAACATCTTAAATCCAAGTGCTAAGAATGAAAACTGCTCTCATTATAATTGGAAAACAAGGAACTGGTAAGAACACATTCTTTACAGATATCTTATGCAAACTATTAGAAGGTTATTCGAACCCTAATATGACAAACTTAGAAAACATCTGTGGCAAGTTTAACTCCTCAATAGAGAATATGAAACTTATAGTTTGCAATGAACTTCAAAGTATAGATACAACAAAAGTTTTGAACTCAGATGCTTTGAAGAGTCTTATAACAGACAAAGTTGGAGTTGTTGAAAGAAAATATAAAGACCAAAGAGTTTGTGAAAATGTTGCAAACTTCATTATGGTTTCAAACAATGTTGTTCCGATGAAGTTAGAAAGTTCTGACAGAAGATATGTAGTTGTCAGAACGTCAGATTCTCATATGCAAGATACAGAATATTTTGACGACTTAGCAGAAACTTTGACATCTGACTTTTACAACCACTTGTTCTCATATTTCATGACATTAGATATTTCTAAGTTCAATCCAAGACAAATTCCACATACCGAAGAAAGACAAACATTGTTAGAAGCAAACAAGAGTGTATATGAACTGTTTATAGATGAGACTAACTTTGAGTGTTTAGATGAAAGGTCATTGTACGATTCGTATAAACAATATTGTCAAGAATATGGTTATATGGCAGCTTCTAAACGAACATTCTTGGCAAATGTCAAAAGTCTTTTAGATGTTCAGAACGGCGTATATACAAAGAAAAATTTTTCTGAGTAAATTTAAAAAAAAATCTTTTTTTATCCGATAAAAAAGATGACGAAATTCATCTCAGTAAATAAGTACATGACAGAAGTCAAAGATAAGTTAGCTCCATTCGCATATTTGAATGTTTACTTCTACAATTTTGAAAAGTCTACATTTGACAAAATTTGGAACATTGCACCAGTTAAGTTTGCTGTTGTTAGAAAAAGTGGTGCAACTTTTGAAGACTTAGACATAGAAGGTTTGTTAGCAGTCAAAGAAAATTTTGACAGAAAGTTCTCAAAACTCGAAGAAGGCAAAGCATACAAACTTGTTATACCTTATGAACCAAAGAAAGCAGACGACTATGAATATTATGAGTCTAAGATAGTTGAAGTTCAAGGTAAATTGGGTAAAAAGATTTTAGAGTCTAAGCCAGTGTTTGCCCCTAAAGAGGAAGAGAACATTGACATTGACCCAGAAATGTTCTAAAAATAAAATTTTATTTTTACATGTCAAATTTCTTTTTCTCTGGAACTGGTTCAGGTTCTTTCTTCTCTTCTACTTTCTTTTCTTTTCTTTTCTTTCTTTTCTCTCTTCTTCTTCTTTTCTGGTGGAGTTATGTCAAATTTCTTTCAGAACCATATTTATGTAAAAGTTCTTTGTCCTTTAATAGCTCTTCTATTCTGTTTTCTATTTCATCTTCAAGAACAGCGCATGTGCCTTCTTTGCATTCTAAGAACTTTTGTTGGACTTCATCTTTCCAATCGGCGTCATCTCTGTCAACAAGTCTGTCATTGACAAACTTAAAGACTTCTCTGCTTAAATTTTTATGGTTCTTGTCATATTCCCAGAAACAGAACTTTAGAACAAATTCACCTTTCTTGTTTACACTATGTAAGATTTTATGGTCGACAGAAGTTTTAGAGTCAAAAAGCTTGTCTCGAATATAGATAGCGAAATCACTAGACATTTTCAAAAAGATAAAAATTTTAATTTTTCTAAAAATATGTTAGAAAAAAAGTTTGCTGACATTGACAAGAAATTTGAGAATGTTTTAAACAAGAACAAGAGGAAGTTAGAAAATGCTCAGATAAAACCCATACATGAAAAGTTCTTATTTGCTCAGAATGGTATAACAGGTCTAATCGCACCACCTGGGTCGGGTAAGACTTTCACTTATCTTAAAATGGCTGCACAACAACAAGAATAGATGAGAAGAACCATTCTATGAGTTAGTTGTTATTTGTAGTACTTCTGGTCAATTTGACAAACCGTCAATTCGTTCAAAGATATTATAAAGAAGTCTAAGTTAGTATGTATAAAGGATACTGAGTTGTTAGATTGGATAAAGAAGTACCAAAGAAGAGTTTTGAAGTATAATGCTATAAATGAGTATATAAATTCGAAGTTTAAAGACCCAAATGAGGAAATGCAGAGAATATTAGAGAAGAAACACTTCAGAACAAACAGAAAGAGATAGAATACATTTCGAAGAAATTGCAATCTTACGATTGGAAAACGTACCCTCATAGATGTCTTCTTATCTTAGATGACTTTGCTTCTCATCCTTTGTTAAAGAACAGAGAACAAGATATGTGTCGAATTCTTAAGAAACTTAGGCACTTTAACATCTCAGTTGTCATTTGTGTACAGACAGCAAGAGTTTAAGTAAGGATGTTAAAAGAATACTTACTGACATTATACTTTTCCCTGGATTGTCCGAAG